TGCTAAAGATGTCAATGGATGGCGCGCGTACAGAGAGGAGGAATTTTCGAGTGGCACTGAGAGTTAAAATGAGGGGAAATAGCACAAGACGTTAAAATTGCTTTTTTTCTATGCGGCGGCAACGCTATGTATTCGTGCGGTGGGCGTAGGCAGAAAAAAAGAGCGGAAATTGAAAAACCTCATTCCAGTGGTTTGACGGGATAAAAAATTCTTGTGCAAAACATGAAGCATCACATAAAATTAATACTGTTAAGAAAAAATTCCTTGCCAGACATATTGTCAATCATTTTTAAATTTTCCTCGTCAGCTTTCCAACACACAACGCCGATTGACACGGCGTTAAGACGAAGGCGCCCTCCTTCATATTTTATTCATATATTTTATGTAAAATGATACCATCTTTCTCTGCGCGGGGGCTGCAGAGGGAGATTGTAGAACAAATAGAAAAAAACACACACACACACACTCACCATGAACTTGTAACAAGCTGTTCTCCAAAAATTCTCCCAAGAAAATCATCTTGTGCGGAAGGCAGAAGCATGCTTTGAGATGTATCTTCTTAAACACTCCGTGGGTGATGTGGCCTATAGAAAATTTCATCATTTTATTAAAATGAAGTGGGACAGAGGGAGAGGCAAAATATACACATGAGATATAAATTTTACTGCACAGCCCCTCGAGGAGAAAAACTTCCCGCCGAGGATGTGAATGAGGCATCTCGAGAGAGCTTATGGTGTCTTTTGTCTATGAGATCTTCTCACATTGTGCTTCATCGTGGGGTGTCACCCATTCTTAAGGCGGAGCGATCAGTAATTGAAATTGCCTGGCTTCCGTAAACAGGGTTACACAGAACATGAGTTATTGCCGCCATACATTAGAATGCCAGCCAACATTTTTGGTTGGTTGGTTTCTGAAAAATTTTATAGGGAAAAATCACAATGCTTTTAATAAGACCCTGTGCAGATTTATTTACCAATATGGAGAACGTTATTATAGAATCAAGTTTTGAGTTTAAAATTAAAAGTTCATTGAAAATGCCTTTAGAAATTAGTTTTATTTGTACCAAAACTAAACATACATATTTTCTGTTGAAAACTCAGTAAAGTGTCATTTTGAAAGCTGAATTGAAGCTTCGTTGCGCACATTAACATATTTTTCACATTCCTCCAGTGTTTACAAATCCACATTAGAATTGTAGGTTTAATTGTTTTAATGATGATTAAATAAAAGGGTATCCAACACAAGTCTAGTGCACTTATCAATTGCGTCAAGTGTTGATGCCCTGCGAATTGAGGCAAAAGCTCTCCACTCACCTGGCGTCTCCACTTGAGATGGTGTGTGTGTAACGTGGAGAAATGCGGGCAAAAAGAGGAACAATGGCAGCACGAGGGAAGGGCTGAAAATAAATAAGGTGTGGGAGCGAATGGGTGGCGGAAGGGGTTGAAAAAGACCCAGAGAGATATGAATAATTACCATTGTGCTGTGAATTGGCTCGAAAGCTCACAAGTGTATGTTTATTGTGGTACAAAATCAACGCTCTTCATGGGTCCGAAATGGGTCGAATAACCCATGGAGGTGAACATTATGCACAGTGCGAATGTGTCTGGGGAGCGGGGGTGAAAAATTATCGCAATAAAGAATATTGTTGGCGTGTGTAAGTGAACTGGGAAATTCGATATCCACTTCACACTCAATTTATTCTTCCTGCTCACACAGTCCTTTGCATTTTATTCCTTCCTTCATCTTTCTGCCTTTCCTGTGCAACCGTTTCAACCCTCCTCATGACTCTTTCGGCACATTTTGACAAGTTGATTGTGCTCACATGATACTGAAGGTTCTCAATTTCCTCAACTTCCAACATTGTTTTTGCCACACACTCACACAGAGGTCGACTTCTGGGCGGAAGAGTGGTCGGAAAGCGCCCCCGAGTGTGTGCATCTGAGACGTGGCTTTTGGGTGTGAGGGAAAGAAGAAAACTAATAGAGCAATAAATTGCCTCGGTAAACAAATAACTAAACTCCATGTATTTGAATACAGAGGGAAAGTTCTGGGGCGGCGGCAAATTCCTCTTCACACAACTTTATCTCAAAATGTTTGTGTTTCCCAATTAAATCAATGAATGGCGGTTAACATTGTTTGCCCGACAATGCAACTTTTCTGCAACCATAGACAGCCGAGGAGCAAAAAAGGTTTCAATTGGATTTAATTAAAACAAACTTCATCACGATTTGTGCATAAAATATACATAGAATTATGCAAAAATTTCTGTTTCGCATTTTACCCTGAAAATTCCCCAACAATTTACAGCCACAATGAAATAAATTGCTAATTAATCGTGAGTAATTGTATCTGTTTTCCGTGGGGTCATTGAGCTCCTGCTTTTTGAACAAGAGTTCTGTGCCATATTCAATTTCGATAGTAAATACTTTTCGCTCGAAACAAACTTTTGCCGTGAATGTTTTCAGCATTTTAATTGATGTGCATGAGTAATTGAAAGCACTCCTGTTCGTTTGGCTTCACGAAACATGACGATTTGAATGGATGTCGGCGTTGAATAACAAGAAAGCATACTTTTTTTATCCACACTTTCGTGCTCTCGCCCATCAATATTTTATTCACATATTCTCACAGTTTTTTTCGCACGCTTCTTCGGAAGAACTTCCCTGGAGGGAATTCATTTGAGGACGGTCAAATAGAAGCCATTTCATCGGGTGTATATTATTTTATTTATACATCCAGCAAAACTCCTAACGAATGTTGCCGTGAAAGAAAGAAGAGAGAGGGCAAAAAGTAGAGCGGGAGAAAAGCTCTGCAAAAGTTCTCTTTTCACACCCGCATTTAAATTGATCCATTCCATTTTACACTTTCATGAATACCTCTCCTCCTATATAGCAATACGCACATTATTGTCGAAGCTTTTGTGACGACAGACCCATTTATTCTCCGGTTGAATACAAAAATTTCATCTCTATGTCCATATAAGCATATTTCCTGGGGTGGCGAGAAAAAATACCTCGCCTCACATGTATCGAGAGTGTCGAGAGATACAGCAGTTTGGCAAACAAAGAAAGGTTCTGTGAAATATTCCGAAGGCTTAACGATTTATCCGCGACTATATGGATATGCGATGAAAATTGCCAATTGCTGAGACACAGAATGTTTGGCGCAAATGTGGGTCATCGCGTGTGACCAGTGAGCAAACAAGGATTTGCTCATGGGGAATAAACAATCAAATAAATGGATCATCTATTCAAAATTCAATAGGATTGACTTTATCTTCTGCGTGACTGACCAATATATGTCCTAGAAGATGCATATTTTTATGATGTCAGAGACATAAAATAAATTACGAAAACAGTGACGAGCTTAATTCGCTGAATTGGGATTCAGTTTTTGGTGTCGCTGGTCTGCTGAATAAATCTATATGTAATACCAAAAACCGTAGAGCCAAGTTGCCGCAAGAGAGCGGGAAAAACAAGACAATTGTGTATATCAAAGTCGGAGAAACAAACACAATGAACACCCTATTTTTGGTTGCTACATAGATATGTGTAGTATTGTATAATAATACAGTTCTGCACCACATTATTTTTCTTATCATTAGATTACCCTGTTTCTATCTCTTGCGCTTCGCCTCCTGAAAATGATGGTGAGCACGAGAGAAATCTCAGTTGATTAGAGATCATCAAACTGCCTTTATCCGTCAGCGAATTGTGTATCTCTCCTTTTGCAGATACGAGAAAGCCAATATATAGAAGAAGGAAGGAAAGTAATACATGGAATATATAAAAAAGGGAATGTCTCTTCTTGCAAATAATTGGCTCAAGAAGATTTGATTGGAGGCGACCAGCACAAAATAATTTATGTAATAAGTTAATAAATCCAGAACGTTGTTTCTATCTTGTCTCCCCATTTCGTGGGCGGGAGAGATGGCGAAAATGGGGACAGTTGAAAAAAGTGGAATCAATTTATGCTGTATTGGGGTTTATTCTTTTCCTCGCCAATCCCGCCTGTGCCCATTTATTGGCTCAACACAAAATTCTTAGGGATACTCTCACTGCGTGAAGCATTAATTAGAGCTGTTTGTTACTTGTTCCTGGCGCCACAATCCCAATTATACTGCTCAGAATATTCGAAATGTTGCTAATTTCTTGGCCAGAATCTTTTATTCCGAATAGCTTTCGGGAAATCTCAAAGAAACCTCCCTCAATGGCATGGCAATTATTTCTGTTCTCCAAGGAGAATCTTTCGTGTTGGCAGGTAATTTACATACATCTTCATAATTGTCTGCAAGCCTAGAAAATGTACATATATTTCGTCTCTATAGAAACGACTCTTCTCAAGGGTGAAGTCTAAAATACACAAAAGCACAGAAAGCTCCTGTGCTTGCAATTAAGTTTCAAAGTTTAGGAATATGTAGTTTCATATCTTTATGCTTATGAAGACATTCTAATTTTATTTCGACATTATATTGAACTTGTGTTTTCGGAGTATTACGTAAGTTCATTATGCACAAATATGGCATAAATTTTTCAATATTCATTGATTAGATGTCGGTATGAAAATTGTTACGACATTGTTAGTTAATTAGTGAACAAAAGTCAGAGGTTGTTACTGAGGAGTTTCTAATGTTAATGCTTTCAAAGCTTTAAGCTTTCTCACGATATTATCTACATCTACATCTAGACGACGCAAGAGTATCGCTTACAGCCAGTGCATGTTTGAGCGACACCTTCAGCAATCAATCATACGATTTCCTTCAGCACGTCATAATTGACTGAATAATTAGTGCGATAAAAACACGATGCTGTGCTCAATTGATGTGTCACTGGCAGAGCCAATTGGGATTACATTGTCCATTAACTGGCAAAGTGTGAAGGGAAGGAATTCAGTTGTGCGCAGCTATTTAAAGGCATATTTCTTTATTATTGCATTAATCATGGTATATTCCACGTGACACTAAGTTAAATTAATGTTTTCCCTCTCTGCTCGTCTTTCAGGTTTCACCATTGCCGATAGTCTTGGTGGGTGTTGGCGCAGGAGTGGCAAGAGTGTCCGGGTAGTGAGATGGAAATAAATCATAATAGAAATGGACCAGAGACAATCCCACAATAATTTGGTCTGACGTGGATTCAGCAACATGATGCATTTTGAGTGCTAATTTAATTGGATTTCTGGCTCCTCCTGGTGCGCAACCCCAACTGAAGTATTGTTGCGTTGGTGCTTTCCACACCCCAAGTGTGCACGAGGCCCCGGGCGAGTGAGATTGTGTGCGTGAAATACGAGGTGGGCTTAAATAATGACAACCATAATTCATAATTTGATTAGAACTTTCGCATAAAGTGTCCAGCGTCACCACATTCGGCCCGGCAATCCATTCGATGTTGTGCGGGGGTGGTTGTTATTGTGGCGCAACGATCGTGGTCCGGTGCTAACGTAAATAGTAATTTTCACTCAACCAAAGCCCCGGTGGAGCATTTAGACTCCCCGGCCATGCACTCTACCCACCGACACTTGATGATGGCGCGGGTGCTTAAAATGTAAATTCTCGCACGGGCTTTATATTCGCGATTCACGGCACTCGCATGTGTATGACCAACAATTTATGTATAGTGTCCAGAAAATGACTAGCAATGGCAAGTGGAGGCCCGTAAATCCTATTATCCTGATTAGAGTGAAACACTCATTTACATGAAAATGACTTGAATTAGTTTATGTAGGCTAATTAGTGTGTGCAATAGAATAAAACACGCGAAATACACGTGAAATCGAATTGCTGGCCATTTGTCCATGTGAATTGCTCCTGGCCATCAGGAGAGGAAGAAAACACACACACACTTACCATCACATCATCCCGGCGAGAACGTACAAAAGCCCACCTTGGAAGATGAACATAAGGCACCCAATTGGCTTCATTCTGATGTACATCGTCACGTTAGCGCAATGCTCCTCAATGGATATCTACAAGAACACCCATCTAAGCCCGAGAATTGTGCAGACACGCTACGGAAGACTACAGGGAATCATCTTGCCCTTGGACGGCTACAAATTTCTCAAGCCCATCGAGGCATTTCTCGGCGTTCCATATGCCACACCACCAATTAAATCAAACAGGTAAGGAGTCACACCAATTGAAAATCTATCTGTAACGCACGTCTACATCTCGTAACAATTCCCCTGATCATCTCCACCCACGCGACCTTAATTTCCGTTTCGTGTCTAGCAATTTAAGTTTTATCAATTAAAATGAAATTTCGCAGCACCAATTTTCCCTCGAGTGCAAATTGTTTCGAAATTCGCTCATTTCTCTCGCACACACACACTCGCTAGAGTGTGAGGGATTTTACTTTACCCTCTGGAACACTGTAAAAAGCATATCCATTATGTATGTTCCATGAACGCCGTGTGTGGCACACAAAGAGAGCCCAAATTTCCGCCCACCGAAAATTTCCAACACGCTGAAATGCGCTACAACTCGAGGCGCGCTACATATGCAAATGGGCGGGAAGAGGGAGGAAAATACATGAAAGCGTCCCATTTTGAGAATATTGCTTGATAGTTCATGAAATAAGGCATAGAAACAATAGCAACTTTACTAACTCATTTTACCTAACACTTGCAATTCCTTCCACAAAACACGATGGCCACCTTCCATAGCACTTTTAATGATCCATTCGACCCATTTAAATAGCAAAGTTTTATATTTTCAATCTAATTGCCTCTAGTTTCGTCGAATTTCTGGATATGACAAATTTCAAATTAAAAATTCAACTCAAAAATTCACTCAATCAGAAAAAAACGGGGAATGAAATACATGCTCATTTCCTGTCTCGTAATTTAAAAAATGTGGGAAACCTCTTCACTTATATAAGAGTTAATCCAAATTGTAAAAATTTAATCTTCAATTTATGCATTATGAATGCAAATCAGTGCAAATTTCCCACATGGCAAATTAATCAAACCACATTACATATGAGATCTTTAAGTCGCATTATGCAACATACAGATTAATTTGCATAACATCTAACCTTATATCTACTCTTGAGCAAATAATGATTGCTCAATTTAAAATTAACCAACAATCACACTAATTGCATAATGGCATTCCCTCAATCACGTGCCCGTTTTGCAGTTCAATGCGGTATATTAAATAACCCCATCATGGAAGCTCTTCACTTGTCAATCGATGAACCATCGATTGAGACGAGGGAGAAAAAAACTTCAACTATGACTAATAGCATTTTTTGCTCATTATCCACGAGTTTATATTATGATTACATTCTCGTCTTGTCGATATTCAGCGAGGGAGGAAAATTAACTTAAATCACAGGCCGTAGATTAGGTTTCTTCCCTCACTCTTCGTCGGTTCTGGCATTACGTTTCCCTGAAACGCAAAAATGCTATAAATATGTAAAGTGTTCATTGGAGTGCGTCTGATTTACTCGGTGATTATAAATCCATTTATAAATATTATCAGACACACTTCTCTACGCTTTATTTCCTATCCATCATTATTATTTTGACTCTCCCCATTCGGGAGTTGTTCTCTCCTGACTTAATATATATCAACCCCTCATACCTCAATATCAAAAACGTTGTGCCTGAAATTTATTATGTTAGAGCACAGAAAGTTGCCCAAGACGGAGAGAGACAGCGTCGCTCAACTGCTTCTATCAGTTTTACACGTACTTAAGACTTCCTAAGTAGAAAGTTCAAACTTTAATCATGGCGCGCCCCTTGTTTACCTGGGTCCATAAATATTGTGCATATACAATTTGTCAGTCAAAGTTCTTATGAGCTTTTACACAGCCCCAAACGTGCCGCTTCTCACTCTCCAAACGCCGCTCTTTCACAATTCCCAGAGGTGGAAAACTTTTAATTACTTGCATCAAGACTGCTCTTCTAAAAGCCTTCGCTTTAGTCTTTTCCATCCCAAAAGCCCAACATGCGTGAGGCAGAACAGTCACAAGCGCGACAGAGATATAAATATTGCTGCCCTTTGGCAAACACCAAATGGAAATCTCAAGAATAGAAACACCATGAGTTAACCATATATCACGATAATTGCCTGTAAAGCTCAAATTGTTGCGACGGGGAGGCATTTTCCCGAAGACTCTCTCTCTCTCTCTCTCTCTCTCTCTCTCTCTCTTCCAGAGGACATTTAAGCGCGGCACTATATACATTCGTATATCTATATAGCGCGGAAGAAGCAAAGCTTGCAGAAAAAAAACAAGAAAAGCAGTTGAGAGTAGTGCGGCGCCATAAAATATGATTTACGGAGCTCTAAATTATTTCACAATGAAAACATACAATGGCACTCGGAAATTCCTTAACGCGCCATTCAAACTAAATATTTTGATAAAATCTCTCCAGATTTTTTCCTCTGTTGTTTTAACTTGCCAAAGCGTAAATTGGGAAATTCTCTCCACTTTTCTTTGTCTTCATTCCTGTGTATGAAGGTCTTCTTATGTTTATTCAAGAAAATATTCAAGCCCACTTAATACTGTTGCTTTTATGGCATTTTAATTCATAAGATGTCCATGAAATTTGAATAGACTGAAGCAAATTGAATCACTCTCTGTTTGTCATCTATCGATTGTGGGTGAGGCTTATGAGTAGGCGGAGCTTTGGCAAAATATCAAAGAAGGATCGATATTTTATGGCCATTGAATTGACACGCATCGGAAAGATTCATTATTCCCAATTTAATAAATGAAATGTCCTTTGACGTCACATTTCCACCGTGTTTCCCAGAATTCCTAGGCCTCTTCCAAGCCTCATCAGAGTGACATAAAAGGAAATATGGGTGCTTTTAGGAGTTTTCTCCCACTCGCTCTAATGCTGTGTCGACAGGCCAAATTGTTCGGAATGTCGTGAGCATTGGGAATGAAATCACAAATTTGAGTTAGAAAATCTCGCATTGTTAATCACGATGAAAGTAAAAAATTGACATCATTTCTCTACACTCTTTTCTCCCCTCGTGTTCGTCTTTCCCTCTTTCTGGGAGAAAGGACGGGAAATGTGTGGGTGGGATGCCGAAATGTTTAACACTGTGCGGGGAATTTTGGGCATGCTTGTGCTCTATTTCCTGGATGGAAGCTCTCTATTTATTTCCACCCAAACTCCCTAAGCTTTTTCTCATGGCTCCGCCAGAGATGGCTGAGAGTACACGAGACAGTGAATGAATAGACACTGAGGAGTGGTTAAAGAATACGGTAAATATTAGCCATAATCAATCACCTCGGGGAAAACGACACGCGGATTTTTTCTCACTGGCAATCTTCCGCGCACCAGTTAATGTCGGGGAGTCTCTTCATGCCAAAAGAATAATCTTGGTTATGGAATCTCCCTTCTGGGAAACAACAAATATTCAGCGGGAAGATGGATGAAAGCAATCTGCAACGTAATCCTTTTTAAAACGTAATACACAGTGAGAGGACTCCCCATGATTCCGAAATGAGCCATACTGAAGATGGAATCAATCTTTTATCTCACTTCACCAAGCACATGAGGTTTACTCGAGGTGCTCGCACACTAGTGCCTGGTCCAGATGTTGCATTTCCAATTAATCAATTCATCAATAAGAGAATACAAAGCTCAGATCCATCAAGGAATGTGTTGCATGGCTGCGTCCCTAACGTGATTGTGATTTGGATTTCAATATCTGCAATGGAAGTCTCTTAGAAGCTATAGTTTGAAATGATTACTCAATATAGACATCAGAGCTCATCAGCGACCTTATTCTTCTAATAGAAGCTGAATTTGAAATTACGAAAACCTTTAACAAGAGAGTTATTCGAATGATCTGTTTTCAATTGGCTTGAATTGAAAACACCTGGACAGAAACACTGTGTGAATGTGGCCAAATATTGAGATTCTCACGGTGTTCAGAGCGAATCGCTTAAAGCAATTTCAGAGATTAAAGAATGCACACTATCAGCTTCCGATACTGTGGATACCGGAAAAATATTGACGGATTTTCCCCGAACCGCACTCGAACAGCACTTTAAACTCAATTAATTCAATTGGATTTTTCCACTTGAGCTGTTGAGTTTTGTTGCGAAGCGTGTCCATATGATTGACACATGATGCGAATGAGGGAGAAAAAGTCGTCACAATCGATGTTGGAGCATTAAAAATCACAGTTTTAAATGAAATTACATTGAAAATGTGAGTGAATAATGGGTTGTGAGTGAGAGAGATCGGCACTTCGCACGATGGATGATTATTGAATTTTGCCGAGGGGTTGGGAATGTGGAGATCATTCCGCAATGCCCAAGCCTCAGCATGCAGTCACACAAGTGGGGTTTGGGTGACGAAAGTGTGTGTGAGTATGAAATTGTCACACAATATAACCTTGCCCAAGACTCTGGAGTGGTGAGAACAGCCCCCAATTCTCTCATGTCCCATTTCATTGGTATTTTGGACGTGTGTTATCCTCGACGTGGTGCAAATCGATAAATTTTGTATTTTGATTGACTGCCGGCAACATATCATGTCCAGCCTCCCAGAGGAAATTTTCAAATAAATCATTTCCAACTTGCTATATTTCACAACTTTTCACTCAATTCACTTTTCATGTTCTACCCGCACGAAATGCAGGGGGAATGGAGGGCATTTTTCCAAACTTTTCCCCACGCGCCACACCAAATATTCCCGCCCTTCCTGTGCGGCATGCAGGAGGGAAAAAATTATGACTAGGGATTTACCGAAAATATGCTATGCAGAATTTTGTAAAAACAACTCTGCCGAAGAGAGAGTTTGTCAAAAATTTTAACACATCCCACCGTAGAAAAATATTTTTCGACAGTAGAGAAGAAAGAGTGTGAGTGGATTTTTGGGCTTTTCCCGGGATAACGAGTCAAAATTCCCCTCTTTTGCTGAAAGGAAAGTTGTGAATTTTGTATGAGGATTTTCCGGTTCTTGTTTTTGTTCCTATTTCAGAGTGAATGTATTATTGAATTATGTAAAAGGTTTTGAGAAAAAACAATTTTCGAGCTTGATTTTATAAAAAAAAATCGTATTCAATAAAATCCTGTTCAATTAGGCACTTTTGCAATTCCAACACAAAAACGTTCCGCCCTTCGTTTAGGTTAATAATATCAAAGCATTCATTCGTAAAAGCATTTCATTGCGCATCAATAGACTTCACTGTATAGTTATTAATTCATTTTAATACATTGTTATCAAACTACACTATATTATGTTTTATCTTATGTATACATATGATAATGAATAATTTCTCCACTAATAAATAAACTGGGTGTAGTTTTGACAGAAAAACTGATTCTGCCACTGTTTAACTAAATTAAATCTCATCATTTATTTGGATTTAATACTGCAATTGCACATACCGCATGCATTATTAAAGTATGATGCAAATAATGTTTGTAAATGTACAAAACACACAAATTTAATCTTTACCTCATAAAATTTCCAATAATACTTATCAGAATGTGTAGATTCACTCTGTGAAGTAATTAAATATTTTTCGCATTAGAAAATACGATTAATTTCAATACATAATCAATTAAACGTGACTGTCATATTGCACAATAAACATAACATATGGATAATTTATATTTATTAATTTTACTCATAAAATTTTCGGGGTGTGTTGATCAATAAAATCATCAATTGTGACCCAAATTCGAGTCACTGAATAAACCCTTGATCGAATTCCCAACAACTTATATTCCTTCCTCTCTTGGAAATAAATGAATATAAGGCTTTAATTAACCCAACTTTACCGATGATATTAATAAAAGTTAATGAAAATTGCTGTACTTATAAGTTTATATTTCGTGCCCCGCACTGTCACTCGGGGAGATTGTCTGACCATTTGCCAAGAGACAGAGGGAAAAAGAAAAGTTTTCCGCCTACATGTACATAGTAGAGGGATAATGATGGAAGTGACGAGAGGAAGGGAATTTGTGAAAAAGAGCAATTTTCTTGCGGAGACAAAAAAGGCGCCTAATCGTGGTCATAACTATAAGATTTAATTGAATATAAGAAGAGATGGTCATAAGTAAAATAGATATAATTTCCTCAAAATTCCAGAGAAGATTGAAGGAAAAGAGAAATGCGAAATAACTCTCACACTTTAATCCCCACAAGACTCAAGCTATAGTTGTGGATCGCTATGAGACTCTAGCGATGTGCTGTTCGTAGTATATTACCTAGAAACACTTTGACTTTAACGCTGCGGGAATGTGCATATTTAACCCCAGCACCTACGCTAAAACTTCTATTTTGGTGCATTTCCACACATTTAATTCCATTTCATACAGTCAAATAGCCGTGGATATAACTTTTAGCATAAATGAAATGAATTTGCGTTATGATGTGATAAATTTGAGGGCCAGCAATTGTGCATAAACTTTAAATTAATTTTCTCATATGGCTTAGTTACTACTACTATCATTACTTTCGTGGATATTCAACAACCATCTATAAAATCTAAACTGACAATATCAAGATAGAAAGTTTTACCTTAAATACACTAATCAATATTGTATGATTTCTAACTCCTGAGTTTGAGGGTATTTTATACGTGATGTTCTCTAACTTTTGAATAATGTACATAACAAATATTGTTCTCTACTCTATACTTCGTTTTTGCTTCAGGAAAGTATTAAGGAATAAACAATTTAGTTAGAGGAAATCCCAGCTTAAGTTCATCAACGTTTTTGATGCCCCTCAGCTTCAGCCTGAAAGTTTATTCATGGCAAATGTTCCAATGTAAATTCTTAATAATAATTCAAATGGACATTTTATCATTCCAATATGTTAGCTCTGCCATCAATATTTTAATCCCATGAAACATGTAAAAAACGCTTCAACATCCCCAGTGAGAAATGTTACAATTTCTTATTATCATTGCAGATGCGTTCTGTGGAATTCTTTTGTGCAAAAAACAACAACAGCACAGACAGAGTTTTCCATTCCGTGTAAATTACCACGAATAAAGAACACTTTTTACTTCCGGCGAAGAACAAATGGGACCGGAATGTACTTAGATATAGGCAACTAAATACACCTTTATTCACAAAAGTTGGTTTTTGTTGGCCACAATGCGGGTTCTCGTATAATTCGCACTGTTGTAATGCGGTCGGGAATGGCTAGTGGCCCTATTATGTTCACGGCGCCCCATTCTATTAATTTAATTCAGCAGAAACAAATTTACCGAAAGGTATTGTGAATTTCTATTGTGTCACACAAATATCTCAAGTGGGTGGCTTTTGCGAATTGCTCGTATCCTCGGATGGCGTAATGTGAGAAATTTTATTTAAAGCCCCACCCAAATTGGATGGAAGAGAGTGAGGAGCACAGAGGGATTCCGCATTAAATCCCTATTAAAGTTTTCGAGAGGGCGGAGAGAGAGAGAGAAAATCCACCGGGAATCCACATGGATTTTCTCACACAATCGTCATGAGGAGACATGACAATTTTTCTGCACATTTGCCCATGGAAATTGAAATGCATCCACCCAACAATGTTGTGTGTGCGCCCCAACTAATATCTCTCTGAGGATACAAATTGCTGCCAAAGACGCTGCCGAGGGTGATCTCATAACCCACATGATATTTTTGCCCGCGTGGCTCACAATACCCAAGAATGTCATTATCGTTTGACTTGAGGAGTCATAAAGTCAAGTAATAACAACAAATGGGGCACGAAGAAAAATGAGAATGGTTCAAGTTACCTTTCCTCATACTAATGCCCATCCATGTAAAAGAATTCCCACACTATTTCACCCATCTCGGGCTTTCAGCTCTTCCGGGAGCTTTTTTTCCCTCCCCTCCCTTTGTCCACATCTCCTATACATATATATGTGTCCCTTCCCACGTTTGCACATTTATTTGGCTCGACTTATCAATTCCAACAATAGTCGACGGAAAAGAATAAAATGGAACGCTTTCTATATATCATTTTTCGTCCTCCCTTCCCTGGCGAACACCCTCAACTCAATTTAGAAACTTTCCTCAGCAAAACAATTTAAACTTTTTAATATTTTCTATTCACTGTCAATATCACTGTCTTACTGCTCGACGTATCAGCAAAGAAATATGCAGAGGGTGAATAATTCACTTTTATGTGACACATATTGATTTAAACAATGTGAAATATGAATTTTGGCGATATCACTGTAAAAACACTGAATTTGGCATTGAGTTTCACATGCAAATAAGTGTGTGATAAGAATTTTCCAATACATAAAAATTTTATAAAAGAAAGAATTTTAATGAGAAAACACAAAAGCGATGTATTATCAAATACAATTGATCACGAATAAAATTGTCACTTTTTGCCGTTCTAGAAAGCGAGAAAAACAGATTAAAATGTTGGATCCAAACATTTTTCTTCAACCTTAATTATCATTTACATGTAGTAACTTCATTAGTCTGCCATCATCTTATATAGTTTTTAAGAATAAAGCAGATGAGAATTAATCATCTTAAGAGAAACTCGCAGCGCCATAACTTCCCTTGAGATGTTCATATAAAAGCTCCAGGGGATCGAGAAGAAGCGACTTCAGCTAAATTATGACCTATTATGGTCAATGGCAATACAATTAGAGAGCGAGATAGTTGAGAAAATACGCCACCATAAAAATCCATATAATATGGTGAAATGTGAGCCGGGAAAAAGGGTTTAATGGAAAAGTACTTTGGAGAAAATGTGAAAAGTTTCCCATTGTATGTGTAACTCCCTTTCGTTTATCATGTCGAAAGCTCATGCTCATCGCTTTCGTATATTGGAACTGACGATATGCGAGTCATATCGTGTGAAAATATCTCAGTTAGGAGTGTATCGAAATTTTTCAATAAAGCTACACACAGCAAAAGTGCACGTCCTTCAGTTTCTTGGTGCCATGTAATCGAGAATACAAACAGATGACAAAAACCCGTGAAATTGATATTGATATTGACAATGTGATAGAAAGTGTACAACTCTTGCAACAATGTGAAATTAAAGGACAGTCAATAAGCTATCTCTCTCCGAAGCGATAGCACAGGAGCGTGAACGTTTAGCGTGTATAACTCATGTGAGTTTCTTCTTGAACAACCCTTTCAGATTCAGCCCCACGCGCACCCCTTCGCCCTGGGACGGCGTTCGGCTCTCTGACAAGTACAGCGCAGTGTGTCCACAGCGATTGCCAGATATACAGAACGAGACGGCGGCACTTGAGAAGATGCCCAAGGGTAGACTTGAGTACCTCAAGCGTCTCCTGCCTTTCCTGCAGAAGCAATCCGAGGACTGTCTCTACCTCAACGTCTTCTCGCCCGTTTACGGTAAGGCTATCGATTTTGCACATCCTCTGTAAAAATTCACACTCCACCCCTGAGATGTGACTCAATTTTCACACGCAGCTGCCACAGCTGAGAAAAAGCTCCCCGTTATTATGTTCATACACGGGGAGTCATTCGAGTGGAACAGTGGCAATCCATACGATGGCTCAGTCCTGGCCAGCTACGGAGACTTAGTAGTTGTCACACTAAATTATCGATTAGGAGTATTAGGTGAGTTAATACACTTGTCGACAAGCACACACTTTGCGCAATTGCCCGATTTCGTTGCCCTTCCTAAGCCATAAGCACCCCCAATTAGTCAATTTTCAGTCATTAACTGACCTCTCCGGCCCAGGTTTTCTCAATGCCAATCCGAGCCCTCAAATCCGAGCTCGCGTGGCGAACTATGGCCTTATGGATCAGATGGCGGCGCTGCACTGGGTGCAGCAGAACATCGCCAAGTTCGGCGGCGATCCCACGTCTGTGACGCTTGCGGGTCACGGCAGCGGCTCGGCGTGCATCAACTTCCTTATGACGTCGCCGACAATGGTGCCGGGTCTGTTCCACCGCGCCATCCTGCTCTCGGGCTCGGCGTACGCGTCATGGGCTGTCGTCGAGGACCCGGTCGTGTACGCCCTGAAGCTGGCCAAGGAGCTCAACTGCACCGTGCCCAGTGATCTCATCAAGAATCACGAACAAATCGTTGACTGCCTGCGAGAGATTCCATTAGAAGACTTGCTCAATGTTAACATTCAGGCGCCCAGCTATCTGAGCGCGTTTGGTCCATCTGTTGATGGGGTAGTTATACGCACAGGACTGTCGAATCAGGATCCCGACGAGCTGCTCTCGGCGGGTCCGTCGAAGCGCTCTCACGACTCATATCGACGATACGATCTGCTCTTCGGTGTAGTCACGGCTGAGGCTTTGTGGCGATTCAGCAATGTCGACATCCTGAATGGCTTCGAGGGCGAACGTCGCGACAGGATCATCCGGACGTACGTCCGCAATGCCTACACTTTTCATCTCAGCGAGATTTTCTACACGGTGAGTGGCTCGCAGTGCACGCTTTGGCGAGAGTGACACGCACCCAATTACAGGTGGTGAACGAGTACACGGACTGGGAGCGGACCTCACAGCATCCCATCAACACGAGGGACGCCGCAGTGGCGGCTCTGTCGGACGCGCAGTTCGTGGCGCCACTTATGCACACGGGAGACACGCTGGCGCCCCCGCCGGCGCTGCCCGGCCAGGAGAAGTCCGGCCCCAAGTGCTTCTTCTACGTGTTCGACTACCAGACCAAGGAGGGCGACTATCCGCAGCGCATGGGAACGGTTCACGGTGAGGACTTGCCATACGTCTTCGGGGCTCCGCTGGTGGACGGCTTCAGCCACTTTCCCCACAATTATACCAAGGCAGAAGTGGCACTGTCAGAGTCTGTAATTCTGTATTGGAGCAACTTCGCCCGAACTGGGTGAGTATCCCACAGAGCTTTCCACCCATTTTCCATTCTCTCTTTCGTGTTCTGTTTGTGTGAACATCCGAGAATGGGGAAAGCATGGGCGTAGCCATTGAATTTCAAAGTTTACTTCAACAACAAAAACTCTCAAATACGTTTGAGACCGTGCCATTAAAATAGAAGTTAGAGGACGGATTTTTGTGGTAGTTTGCCAATGTTCATGAATGAAATTCCTCAAAAATAGCAATTTACTCCCCACAGAAATCCCAATGAACATCAGAGGCCGGACTCGGTCTTGGCTGCAACGAAGGAACGCAATCGATTCAAGAGCATTGTGTGGGATGAATATGATCCCGTCCATCAGAAGTATTTGGAAATGGGTGAGTATGTGCTTTCCTTGTTTTGGCACGTGATGTGCGAGGTATTCATGCAAAATTTATGTCCTGATGGGACAATTACGGGTTTGAAATACCACAGGAATGAAGCCCCGCATGAAGAACCATTTTCGGGCACATCAGCTTTCCATTTGGCTTCGACTAATTCCCGAACTCCATCGAGCTGGGATGGAGGATGTCATTGGGCGGCATAATTTATTCAAGAACCACGACAACATGGATCTCTACGAGGGTCTCGTGAAGCCAGATTCACTATCACGCCTGTCACTGTTCGAGGAGTCCTTCAAGAGGCGAAACTCCAACGACTCCCTGGGTTTGGGCGGTGAGTAAAGCAAGAGAGATTCGCAAATTTTTATCAGTGTTCGTCAGTAAATTTTGCAATTAACCTCATATCTTGCGTGAAAGTTGGAGAAAGCCATATTGCAAGAAAAGTTTGCGGAAGTTTGCTTAAATATGCCGCAGAAGGTTGAATGAATATTTTTCCGTAAGCTCGCGTCTAATAAGGGCTTCTCTTGCAGGGATTACCACCATGGAGCCATTATCATTAACAACATGTATGCCAGTGGCAAATTACAGCGCGCTAAGCCCAACTTCTGCCATTAATGCCACTACAGACACCCTCAACAGCCTCGAAGCGGCTGGATATGCCGCCTACTCCACTGCCCTCAGCGTCACCATTGCCATCGGCTGCAGCCTCCTCATCCTCAATGTGCTCATCTTCGCGGGCGTCTACTATCAGCGCGACAAGACGCGCCTGGAAGTGAAGAGTCTGCAGAAGCAGTACCAGCAGCGAGGCACGCACCAGCAGCCGCCCTTCGATCCCATCAAGCATGCCCACTACCACCTGGGCCACCCGCAGCCGTCCAACGTCATCGTGGACGTGGAAAACCACGACTCGGGCACAATCCTGCTCTCGAACGACATCAAGTCGCCGCACATTTGCTCCAACAGCATGCAAATCAACACAACAGGTGGCTGTCTGCAGACAAAGATCCCCCTCAGCGACTCGGCGCCCTTCAAGAGCACCCGCAACGAGCACGTGCCAATGAAGAACACCCTCAATCGCACCACCAACACCTCCGCGGGCTTCACGGGTTCCGGCATGATGACGCTGCCGAAGCCAGGAAGCGGTGGTGTTCAGCAGACCAGCCAAATGTCCGTGTACCGCGGCGACGCCTGTCTCACGCTGCCACGGAAGACAAACACTGCCAATCTCAGTCTCAGCAATGCGGGCAATAATGGTAAATGACCCTCTCTCTCTCTCTCTTTAATTATGCTTACCATGCAAGCCTTTGATCTGGCGCGCGTCCCGCTGCACCTGTGGGTTTGCATTCGGAAAAATCGTGATCCCGCATGCAATGCACCTCTCGCAGCTTTCTGACAAACACAAAGTACTCTCTAAATTGAAGCCACTCCAATGCCGTAAATCCCATGAAATCATTGAGCAATATCTAATTATTGAAATGGGAATTTATCACTGTTTAGGGATCATTACCAAGCGTACCAAGAGTTTTACCAGTGTTTCTATTTTCCATTGAATCACGAGCCTCGCGAAATAGGGAATAATACAGAAGCGCTTCCTAATCCGGTGTTCAAACATCCAATCAATGAGCAGTCATTCTGAATTTTAAGATCTATCCCATAGAAATTAGAAGACACGAAAATATTTACCCAACAGATTGGAACGATGCCGATGAATTATCACTTGTGAGTTTAATAACTTGTCGCTTTATGATCACCTGACGTCATTCTCAAGGTCGAAGGTGAGCGTGATGTCTTTTTTCTTGCTTTTCTCCTCGTGCTCCTTTTATCACCGGAAGCTGGATCAATCTGATGATCCAAGATGGCGAACTACGAGAATGCGATGTTTCGGTGATGCTCATTATTGCAGTCCTTTCTGCTGCCGCCATCTCGGTGTTGGATTGAAAACAATGGTTGAAGAAGCGGCAAAGAATAATAAACCCAAAAACTTTTTTCTCATATTCTAGGTCAAATTTTCAATTTCGCTCCTAAATTATTTTTAAATCGATGCTCTGAACTCTTGCCAGCGTCTCAAGTTGATTAATTTTGTGCCAAAGATAGCATATTTCAGGCATGAATTACGGAAAAAATTTCGCATTAATTTTTTCCGGCCATAAAAAGCCCGAATACATTTAAGGTCAGAGACGAAGAAGGGCTCTAAATTTTCGAGAGATACACGCAGTGCATTTGTGTGAGAATAGAGATATAAAAAAGCTGTAAATGGAATTTTTTTCTGTGATAAATTTTCATCATCTAATTGAACTTTGTCACTTCTGCTCCATTTGCTGCCAAATAGACATTGAGATGCACGATAGAAAGTGCGATGTGAGGAATGGGGTGGAATTTTACGGTTTTGGAGTGGAAATTTGTGGTGATGTTTCTTCACAAGTGGCAAAAGTCATGTTGGATTAAAGTTGTGCACAAGTGATTGTGTAATTCAATTTTTTTGCCGTTCATACCCTCGACTTCCTGCCTCTGGGTGAGGTTCACATGGAAACTTTTCCCTCATTCATCCCATCAAGGGTGAAAAGGAGCGGAGGGATGGGTTTTTAGCATGGTGAACCGTACTTTGTACACTTGAGAGAAGAAAACTTGCCCCATTTTCCCGTGAAATGCGATTTGCCATCCGGGGAAAAAAGAGTTTTTCCACTAAATCAAGTGGAGAGAATCCCTCTATTCAAATAATTAAATCGACCTTCTCATCCAATTTAATTATATCACACGCAGTCACACAAATTGCTTGCCATGAATGGACGAGTGGAGTGTCGATGGGACATAATAAATTTATTTTATTTGTGTATATAAAATTCACAGTGCCATTCATGGCTCGATTAAAATATATTGCGACAGTTGTTTCGACACAGGTCACATTGTATTGCCCTGCCGCGCGTCCGCATTTGCAGGTGTGGCAATAAATTTCACGCGCCACTTTTCCAAAGAAACCCACACTTTTGGGAAGAAAATCACCCTCTCGACCAGGCGAACTCCGCTTGTTTACTGAAGGCATTTAAATTCGACACGAAAGCTGTGAACAATCCACACAGAAAATCTACAGAGAAGCTTCGGGCCATTCGAAATTCTCGTGCAAAACTTTACACTCACCAATTTCCCTCCTCGAGCAAATTGCCGTGGAAATTAGAACAGTGCGCTCATTATAAGGAAAAGTAGACACGAGTCACAAAACTTCACCGCAAATCAGAGATAAAAAAAGCCTTTTATTTCACATTCAATTTCCACAATTCGCCGCAGAAGAAATTTAACCAAACCGAGAGGTTCCAAATTTTTCACATGCCATGGCAATATTTTCTTGTCGAGAAAAATACATGTATGTTTTGTAATTCAATATTTATGTAAGATAACAAACAAGCGACGTTAGATTTGCATTTCATCAGCAATGGATCAAGGATATGAATTCCAGACGGTCTCTCAAGAGAAATACATGCAAATACATTTTTATTTACATTGAATTTCTTCGTAATAGCGCAGAACCTTCACTGCAACTTCCATAATTGTGTTTTAGATGTGCTCTTGAGGCATTTTCCAGTGCGAAACACTCCAAAATGTTAAATATGGTGTTAACCGTAAATTAGCGAGCCAAAACTCTATGCGAAGCACTTCCTTGGTCCTCAGCTTAAACTTTAATTCCATTCTGCGGTCGGCAAATTAGTAGTGCTAAAAATTTAATTAGGATTTAGTGTCAGAACTCCTTTTTCTCATACACACAGAGTTTGTGTGTGCATGAAATTCACAAAGTTTCGCATAGTTTTCCATCTGGGAGTGTGAGATTAATTACTGCATTGTAGAATTAAAAATAACACGCGAGTGAAGAACATCTCACGAGAGGAATGCACACCAAATTCAATTACACTTGAATGAAGAAGTGCGCGAGAAGAAAGCGTTCCACAGACGCTTCACTTTCTCATTCGGGAGGTAATTCGGTAATTACATTGAATGGAGGCATTCATCAGAATGATGATATCAAAAATGAAATATCAGGAGCCTTTTGTGAATGGGTAAAATATTTTCCCATTGCGAGCACGGAGTGTGTTTTATTGAATAGACAAAGATTCAGTGTATGAATTCAATATCAGTGGCATGAAATGGGAATTGTATTGAAATGCGAATAACAAAGGGGAAATGTGCGGCGAAGATATTGGATGGAACTATTCCGTCCTGTGCAATGTATTGTGGCTGGAAGGTCGATTAAAATAATTATGAAAGTGGTCGCTGGCTTCGCATCTTGTCTGGCGTGGGGAAAAGTTTGTGGGGTCGCATAAATCGCAAAGCAAAAGGAGCTTTCATATTTTACACGGAACAAAAGGACCGGCACTCGCTCGTAAATCACGGCACCACGAATGAATTTTAGTGTGACGGAAGTTGAGCGTAAGAAGTGAAAACTGGACGTGAGCCAATAGCTTCAGTGGGCGTCATTTCCACCCACTCTGCAACTCATTTTATGCTCCACAGCTCCCGACAAGCTCTCAAAGAGACTGTTTTTATTTCCACACGATGGCAATTTGTTTATGGAATTGGCTGGATTTTAGCTGATTTGGATATTATTCTTGTGCGAGGACTTACGATCATTCAGAAGGGAATTACAAGGGTTATAACTTTACATTGTTTCGTAACTATTTTGCAGCACCGTTTGCGAGAAATATTCTCAAAAACTATACGTCAAACATTTATCAAAAACTGTCGTATTTTGAGCAGAAAATATAAACATTTTCAATCTCTTTGGGAAAATTCTCCTAAATCAAAGCCCTTACCTCTTCTTGTTCTGTTTTATGATTTTTCAATTCATATCAGAGGTGTGTTTTTGTCACTTTGACGCTGATTTAAAATGTGTACATATTAGAAAATCAAAAGAGTTCCACTCTTTGTGTCCCTTCGCGTTTGACGGTTTTTTCATCAACGCTGCGCGCGAAGGCCTTTAGCTTTTTTGGATGCATTTTGATGTGAAACATGCGAATTAATTGCGCCCCACTTTGTCGTCCGCAGAGGCGCTCTTGAGCAAGATCCAGCCAAATGGCAGCGCCGTGCGGGCGCCGCGACCGCCCGTGAGGAACGGCAGCAGCGTGAGCAACAGCAGCAGCCCGCCAGAGAACACGCCGCTGCTGCAGGGTCTCAACCATCAGCACCAGCAGTACCACCTGCAGCAGCAGAAGGGCAGCGCGGCCCAGCAGGTGCCGCAGGCCGCCATCAGCGAGATGCGCGTCTGAGCGACGAAGAAAGCCTCACAGGATATTGAATAACGTACATATGCGATAGTTAAATTCACACAATTACCTTTACGAGTTGATTAATTATTGTTTTCGAACTCTCATTTGTAATCTCTAAACACTGTGCTGTACATATTCCATTACATGAGGAGGAGAAGATACGATCTTAGAGGTCAGAGGACATGTTTCTATACTAAAAAAAAGAGAATTAGGAAAGAAAAACCATAACTATATTTACTAAGAAAATGTGAATGATGAAAATTGTTAAATCTTTTTCTATATTTATCGACGGACAATCGCGTTTATAATTTGTTTCCGTGATCAAAAGAGTGTTGAAAATTTATTTACAATCTCAAAAATCTCTATTTTATTTTCTAGGTGAAACATATCAAATTGTAGATATACATTGATTTCTCAAATGACAAAGAAATAACATAACAAGCCATAATGAAAAATTAAGAAATTAACACACACTCATAAACTGATATGTATTTTCTCAGAATGAAGGAAAACAAACTTCTGTGCTTTGCATAAATTTGTATCGAATTTAGATTTTTGATAAATTGCTCAAGAGTGATTATGAGTAGGAAACATTTTTTATGTTGAATGAGTGCATTTGTTGACAAAACCTTATTGTATTTCACACCATAAAATGTACATTGTTACTTAAAAATAATATAAATCAAGTCGAATTAATACTCCACGCCTTTCATTTGGTCATCTGTCTCTTTATCAGAAATTCCGTTTCAGATTCCATCAGGAAATGAGAGAGAAGGAGTAAAATATCGTCGGATTATGTTAAATTTAACCAACAATCATTTCGCAATGTTTTTTTTTTAATTTATTTGCTCATAAATTCAATAATTTGCTGTCATACTCTCAAAATTAGACAAAAACTCTCAAAACGAGAGCTTAATTGCATCATTTTTGGCAGTGCAATCGATATTCATTATGTATTCAGAGGATAGGATGGAAATTTTCACTCTTTTCTGTGTGTTATCATGCTTAATGAAGTGAAAAATTAACTCTGAAAAATAACTATAATTTTGCTTCGTCCAACATCTGTTCAATTTTGTGCTTCGATGGATGTTCTAAACAAGATTGTCACTTTTATTACCTTATTTCCAAACTTGAGTGGAATAAAGTCGTTGGCTGTTACATTTTCAACCGTTCGAGCTGCCAACAATGCCCACCGACGTTCTGCATACTCTGCGGCGCACGGGGCAAAGTGCCCTCGGCCACCATCGCGCACACTCGTGCCGTGACCGTGACCACATGTGACAGCTCAGTACTCACCACAGTGTCCGTGCTTCACCACTGTGTACAATTTTTCCGTGGAAATTTCACAGTGGCAAGTGTTTGCAATGGCGATATCTCGGGCCGAAGCAAGTGCAGTGAGACAGTTGTAGGCGTCCGCGGGTGCTCCAGGTGCTGGTGGGCAGCATGATGGACGGTGTGCAGGCGCGCGGAGAGTAGTGGATGCCCGTGCGTGTCCCCGAGCGCCCCATCGCTGATTGACAATGGTGGTAGTGAGTCCGGTGGGCAAAAAATCAATGAAATTTTCTCACTTGCACTGCCATACACACTCTCGGGGTTTGTTGTGTAAGTTTTTGGAGGTTGATCTCTTACTACGCGATTCACGACGCGCGATGCTTGCGGCTGCCTCGGCTGGGGGGCTCCGCGGCCGTCGTGCGCTGGAGATATTGTGCAGCGAGCTCCCTTCATGGGCGCCCATATCGTCGCAAAGCTCTTTTTTTTATCATTGTCTTCCCATTGAATGTGATGTGTTTTTCCCTTCACGGCTCTGCAGCCTCTATTCAGTCGCGAACTCCCGCGAGAATTCACAATGGCTGGGAGACACGGTGTGTTCAATGGTGGAACACAAGTGGGCAAACCTTGTCCTACAGTCCGCGATTTCCTACATTCACCCACGATTTCTCTCCCGTTCGCGCTATTCTAATTCCCCTACGCACACGCGAAAATGCGCCTTCTGGCCAGTGACTTGGAAATCTCGATGAATGAACTCTCTGCGCTTCTGGGGCTGCAAAACCACCCCAAAAGCCCCTTCTCTCCAGTTTCTGGGGCGCAAAGTCCCCCCGCGGATCAGGTGCGCGGCAGGAGTGACACGAGAAGGGTGGTGCTACGCCACTGGGGCACCTTTCGCCCGTCGCCTCGCATCGCCTGTTCATTGTCATCATTCATTCATTGATACTGTTGAGGAGCGCGCCATCGCGAGTGTGTGTGTGTTCATTGATTGCGCGCCTCTGTGTGTTGGTGGGACTCTTCTTTTTTCTCCCCAGCGACTCTCGAGGCGAAAATACGCATCTTTCTCTCGACAACGTGAAAATGCGATGGATTTCCACTCTGGCCAGCGAGCAGGGCATTCCCGAAAACACGTTTCACACAGCTTCGCCTACACATGGAGTGAGAGACGCTGCGCTTGTGGTTGTTTTCACTCCGCGACATGGCTTTATGGTTGAACTTTTGTCCGAGGAGGTGTTTTACCTGCAGACTCACCATTTGACTCTCGGGGGCTCTCTTCTTTCTCTCTCTCTCTTCTTCTCTTTCTGCCCACAGATCGCTGCTGCGCCTCGTCTCGCGGCCCGCGCGCTGAGATGCCCACAGGAAGTGTTGAGCATTGCTAGAAGTCTGACTCTTGCTGTGGCCGCGGATTGCGCAGAGATCACAGCTATTGCCATGAATTGGAGGCTGTCTGAATGACAAGACATTCCAATTCTCCGCAGCTTTGCAAAGCGCCATTTTCATCGTGACACATTCTTTTCATATGTGCTCAAATGATGATGTCATTTTCATATACTTTACCTTAATTGAAGGACACTGAAATGTTCTCTAACTTTGAGGATAGCATAAAAAATTCCTGGCATTTCCTGTGGGTGATAATTTACTATTTATGCTGAAAATAGTGGTCATTTAATCCTAAAATTATTCTACAATGTTATTATTTGGCACTAAATGTATCAAAATTAAAGCTAAGAACGAGATTGTTAAACTCGTCAAGAATATTTATTGCTTTTGTTGGATATGAAATTTTCCACCTGTGTGAATTTATTGAAACATTTCTTAGTGTAACAAATACATAGACTGACAAAATTGTGAGCGAAGTTCCTATGATTTAATTACTTAAAATAAGAACAACTAAAACTTCTGAAAAAAGTTCCCAAATTCTTTGTCTTCGAGTTAATGTTCCACGACTGTTTTCTTTTATCTTTTTCTCAGAATATATGAGAAGCTAGATTTTAGCCACAACTCTCTATCTTTCTAAATAAAACTGCATAAAAATTTGCCTTCTTGTGCCTCTTTGAAGCACAGGATTGCCCAAGGCGGCTTTACCCGGTTGACTGGAAATTAATTGCTTCAGCCTAAGCAAGACCCTTCTGGAAATCCCATCGCTTATAGCCAAATTCTGCCTCGTGAACTGAACACAATCTCTTCTCATTTCAGATTTGTGACTGTGGCATGTGAGATGTGTCGTCGATTTGTAGTATTCATCGCATGCAGAGTGAAAGAGAGTTGTTTCTCTCACTGAGGAGTGAATTTTAAAGTTTTAGTGAACAAAAACAATAATTGTAGAAAGAGATTTTAGAGGAAGCAATTTGACCTGGAGAAAAGTGTGTGTGTTTAATTGTGCGCGCTTTGTGAAACAGTGAAGGACAAGATGCACGTATCAACTCACTCGTCGAGCAATCTCAACTTCACTGTTCCCGTGTCAACGGCGCAGCGTCAGATATCCTCGCAGGAGCAGCAACAGGGCAATATTTCCAATTGTGATACTGAAGATGAGGTAGGAAAGACGCGATGTTTACGCCACAAGAGAGAGAGAGAGAGATTGAGTGAGCGCGTGTGTTTGCAGATTCCAGCTTCGGTGATAAGCAGCGTGGGCACGGTGAATTATCAGCAGACCCCGCATCAGATCTACGTTGTGGCTACTCAATCGCCGAGCACTCCGATCAAGTTGCCCGCGAAGAGCCACACGGAGGCTTCTTCCAGCCACGCCAGCGATCCCGGGTCGTCCGGCAAGATGGTGCAGCAGTCTGTGATTGGACAGGCGGCGCCACCGGCCAGCGTTCAGCCGCGCCTGCATCCGAAGAAGCGAAAATTCGACCCGGCTGAGCTGGAGGAGATGAACTCCACGGCCGTGGCGAAGGTGGACGAGGGAGCTCCAGCTGCGACCAGCGCAGAGACTGTCAGCAAAGTGGCACCGGCAGTGACGGCGTCCAATGGCGTGACCACGGCACAAATCATCTTTACGACGCACTCAGTGCCCGCGTACAGCCACGCCAATACCTACCATGTGCAGCCGACAGCCGAGTCAACGCCGGTCAGAGAGGTGAGATTTGCAATTTTTCAGAGCCTTTCTTTTCTGGTCGCGCGAGGGAATTAGAAAGAATTGTAATTGTAAGATGAACTTTCTGAAAATGAAGAACTCATTTATGTTTTTTTCACTCATAGCAAGAAAACAGGAATAGAAATGCCGATATTCGACCTTCTACTCCTGTTTCTAGTACTAAAGAAATCTTTAAGCTAAATATATAATATACTTATGATGTTTATAAGTCTTTATCCATTGAACTTCCTTTCAAAATGTATCTTTTTGCTCTGGTAATCACTGCCAAGCTTCAAAGACACAAAGTCAAGCTTGGAGTTGTCTTTTTAACAGATAAACTCTGAGCATGAAATTGAATTGCTCTTTTATTCTTAGCCTTTCATTGGCAGTTCTAGCAACAATAATAAAAGAAAGTTGTGTTTTCAACTCTTTTCTTGTGAAAGTTCTGAAAATCCTTTGATTTTCCAACTTCAAAGCAATGGGTTTATAAAGAGAATTTCGTAGTCAATGTAGAATCGTTCTCCAACTTTCATCTTCTTGACAATTTTTTCATAAGTTAAGTTTTGCATTTTGAATCTCTCTTTGGCCTTTGGTTGAGCATAAAATTGCAGGAATGTCTCATATTAAAGACCGTCTTTAACATTCCGCAGCCAGTCAGTAAATCAATAAGACTGACGATGTATCGAATTTCACGCAACAATATAACTAAATCGACTCCCTTTTCCACCTTTAGGCACCGGCGATGCCGAGTATTGATCTCACGGAGTGGCGCGACCATCGGGTGCTGCTGAAGCACATCTCGATGAACATCTACCAGCCGGGCTCGATTAAGGCCGTGGAGCAGCCTCACTCCGTGGTGGTGAAGATGGACGGCGAAGAGGGAAGCTGCAGGAAGGTGGTGGACGTCTTTGGCGCGAACAGATTCGACATTGTGAGCGATGCATGTCCTTCAGTGTCAGCGGTGAGTAGTTTTGCTGTGATTGCACAAATTCCTCAATTCGAAATGATAAGAAGCTTCTGGCTGAAATTCAATATCACGGGTTATTGTGAGTAATTTGCGATAGAGACTTGCTTTCGCTGCAAAAATTCAATTTTGTCACAAATAGAGAAGGGTGCAAATTGAATTCGTTTTGTAGCTGAACTTAACAAGATTTGACTCTTTTATCTCTTTTTGCTCTTAGGTGTCTGTCGGAATGCGCGTGTGTGTCCGGTCGCAGATATCAGATTCGCCTGGATATGTTTTTGTGGAGGGAATTGTGAATGATGTGTTGAACAATACGAAGCAGTTTTCCGTGCAGATGGCGAACAACGTTCAGGATGTGAGAATTGTGAAGCGGGCGGACTTGCGTCTGCTTCAGCCGCCGTGGTGGGATGAGCTGACAGATGTGATGAAGGGCGGGAGTCAGGATGATGCCATGAACACGTTGAGCAGTACAAATAGCTCGGGATTACCACAGATGGGTAATGCGAATAGCCATAAGAGTGAGGTGAGTGAGGCCGAGACGAAGATTGTGTATGCGAACTACGTGAAGGGTGCTTGTCGCAATGTTGCCATGAAGTCAATTGTGGCCGTGTCGTCGCGCGCCGCGGCCAATTACGGTGCGCCAATGCATCGATATGACACTTCACCGCCAATTCAGGTGCATCACGTTCTACCGATACTGCACAATCAGGAGGAGTACTATAGAACCACGGCCACATCACCTTTTCAGGGGACAAGCGTCACGGCGACAGAGGCGGCACCGCCGGGCGGCTCAATGGACGCGCTGCCGCCGGGTGTGTCAGTATTAACCTCTACGACCAGTCCCAATCCGGAGGAGCTGATGAGGCGCCAGCGCTTTGACGACTACGAGAGTGACGACGAGCTGCGACGCGAGGACATCAGTTTCCCTATTGACGGCGACGTGGAAAAGTTGTCCGGGAGCAGCAAGAGGAGCAGCATGCAGAGCCGCGGCAGCACGTCGAGCTTGCTGGACCAAAGACTGACACCGCGATCTCAGCCGGCAACGCCGCGGTCTCAGGCCGCCACGCCGCACCGCTTCAAGAAGGGCGACATCGTCACGACACCGAGCGGAATTCGGAAGAAGTTCAACGGGAAGCAGTGGAGACGACTGTGCTCCAACGATCCCTGCTCCAAGGAATCTCAGCGGCGTGGCTTCTGCTCACGCCATCTGAGTCAAAAGGGCAACTCTTTGAGATCTGCCGGAGGTCCCAATCAATTCCCAACGAGGTGAGCGTTTTGCAACCCTGTGTGTTTTAGCTAAAACCACAAAATTGCGCTTTTTACTAACTTGATATCTCTCTGTGTCTTTCAGTCGCTCCAGCAGCAAAGCTCAAGCTGACGAGGACACATCGAGGGATTCAGAAACATCACCGAATTATCGAGTTGCCGGGAGATTTGATCAGGAGGAAACTGACGTTGCCAATATGCTGGGTGAGTGAAAATCATGCCATATCGAATTCATCAGCTCTCAATAGTATAGCCAATATTGATCTGCAGCAGTGTGAATAGACAAAAAAGAGTACTTCCCAGAATGGAATAATCGTCGAATAATAGCAAAATTCTGTGAAATCTTTTCATTAAATTCATTGGTAGTGACGGCAAAAAAGGCGAATGGGAGAGGAAATTTGGGGAGAGATGATGTGAAACAAAGGGTTAGCCGAGTGAACAGTTATTGATAAAAGTGCCTGCATAGGATTTTTGGGACTCAAAGCTCAGTGCTGGTCGCAATTTCAATGCAGATAGTCAGTATATCAAGTAAATCGATATCGGGATGAATTATGAGGACATTCTAACAGGAGCTGAGCTGTACCTTCGATGCTTATGTATAGTTTATTAGTGACTTGGTGTGGTTTCGTGTGAATGCCTTGTGATTTGTGTCTCCCTGTTTGGCTCTTGCAGTTTCGCTGAGTAGCTCACGATCAGCCACACCGTCATTCTCCTCGCCGACAAACCACGGCTCACCACCAATTCACACCACGCAGTCTCCAGTGACGGTGGGCAATCGCCAGAACGTCTTCATGCCCATCGGCAATCCGGCGGCGCAGTCGGAGTCCGCCAAGTGGAAGGCCAATTCGCCGAGTCCCGTGCAGCACGGCATGGCGGCGCACTCGCACGTGATACGGCCGGAGCTGGTGAGGCCGCCGCAGCAGACACAGCCGCCGCCACCGCCACAGGAGATGCACCATCATCATCAAGCGCAGCCGGCGATGTCCACGCAGCAACAGGTCTCGGCTCCGCCGCCGAACGTGCCCATGGGACATGCAACAAGTGTCATTCGCATATCGCCAGCTTCGAGTCACGCATACCACTTGCAGCCGGTGATTATGGACGCGGGGCACATGGTGTCCTCCATTCCGTCAGTGGAGAAGCCGCAGACAAAAAACGGCATCAATCCCAACTCTGTGTATCCTTGGCACACGCTCCTACCCGTGATTAATCCGCCTCAGGCGCGTCCTGGGCAGACGCTCTTCAATTCCAACGCCAAGCCGCCCTCGCCGCCACCGCCTGAAGCCGCAGAACCCACCGCAGACGATGATGGAGAAGGTAAGACAGAGGCAAATTTGTCACTTTATCAAGTGCTCGTAGGGAAGCTATTCTTTCTTGATGTGTGAAGATTATTTGATTTCTAGATTAATTAAAAACAGTTCAAGTTGATTTAATTCTGCCTAAAACGATACATCAATAACATTTCGGAAACAGTGATATTTTGATGTCACAACATTAACTGAAAATGAGTTATTTTATATGATTTTTATGCAAATTCTCTTTCTTCCTGGCAGACGATCAAGGGGATGATGATGTTTTTGAGACTCCGGCGCCAGAACCTTCAACGTCTGGTGGTCCGAGCGCTTCGACGAATGACAATTTTCATCCACCCTCGAGTATGGCGAATGGTAGCAATATGGCGTGCAACTTTCTGACCAGCCACGGTCCATTTGGCAATCAGGCGGACAACAGCGAGGCCTCGAGTGAGGGTGAAAAGGGGGCTGGCAATCAATATGTTGTGGGAAATGTGGCTGTTTCGCACACGACAATTTTGCCAAAGATTGGTCAGCTGGAGTCAAATCCATCCAAGACGCGGCGGACGCAATCTTGCAGTGCCATTGAGGCGAGTACAAAGGATCCACAGAGTCCGCAGGCGAAGAAAGAGGGCGGCGGTGCCAAGATAAGGCGTCCCATGAATGCCTTCATGATCTTCTCGAAGAGACACCGTGCTCTAGTGCATCAGAAGCACCCTAATCAGGACAATCGCACCGTCAGCAAGATTCTGGGTGAATGGTGGTACGCTTTGGGGCCAGAGGAGAAGGCAAAGTATCACGATTTGGCCACTGAGGTCAAAGAGGCGCACTTTAAGGTGAGTCTGCACTCGAACCTACGTTGAATGTCAATTCCCATTCATACTGTGGGCTTTTGGTGTAGAGTGGCTATTTGCAATTCAATCGTAATCTTATCTCGATGATGATGTGAGCAAAAATGAGAGTTGTAGGTGGAGTGCATTAAGTCATTGAGAGAGATTACGTGTTATTTGCACGATAAGTTGTGGGTGAATGTATGTTTTATGTGAATGAATGAATATTCTCCCTTTCAGGCGCACCCAGAGTGGAAGTGGTGCTCAAAGGACAGAAGAAAGTCATCGAGTTCAACAAAGGACGGTCGTGGGCGGACGGATTCGATCGATGGGGCGGATTCTCTGGATGAAAAGAGTCCCAAGACGCCCGGTGTGGATTCGTCAATGCAGCCGAATGACGTTATTCCACTCACAATTTCAGCGTTCAATGCAATGGATGATGCAGACATGTCGGTGACGGTGAAGAAGGAGGAGGAAGGCGCCTCTGACATGAACGCTCAAGTGCAATGTGGAGATGGTACAGAGCAGGTGCCACACTCCAGCACGACGATGTTAATGGAGCAGCAAAAGGAGGAGGCAATGTCTGACGATGATCAGGTAATTAATACTTTCCTCTGCATCAAGTCATCACCACTCATTGTTCGACTTTCTCTCTCTCCATCTGCAGATGGTGATAGCCGAGGATACAGGTGCAACTGAAAACAATGCTGATATTGATTTGCAGTGTGCAGAAAAGGTAACGGATTCAGATGTTGAAGAAGCGAATTGTGATGACTCGGAAGAATCACACAAGAAGAAGAAGGTCTTTAAAAAAGTTACCATCGAATAACTTTGAGACACTTTGTTGAAACACATGTGATTAATTCTTGTCTTCTCTTGTCCTTTTTAGATGAATGAATCGTGTGATGAGACACCTCAGATTGGTGCAAATAGTGGCGTGTCGAATACCAATACAGGAATTAGTGGTGATTCGCATCCAAACATGGAGATTCGATGCAAACCGAAACCCATTAAGCCGGCGTCTCAAATGGAGAGTGTCATGTACAGCTATCCACAAATGCCCATCGCCACTTATGGGCCGAAGAATCCATCGGGCGTGTCAACTTTTCATCCAACAGGTAAATATATTGTACAAGAGCTTTGGAGGGAGGACATTTAACCCTCGCTCTGTCCAATGTTGGTTTATCAAGAGTTAGTATTTCAAACAAGAGACATTGCAAATTGTAATTCATTTAAAGCAGTTTCTTCATTGGTTATTCAAAAGTTTATCTTGTCATCAAATTTTCCCATGAAATCCCAGCTGTATAATATAAAGATTTTAAAACTTACAGTGTCTCAACAGGGCAATTGTTAACTCTCACTTTCATTCTTGAACAGGTGGTGCTTTCAAAACCATGCCAGCGAGCCCGAAGAGCGCCAAAATTCCACGCACAATGGATCAAGCGAGCGCCGAGATGTTTAATTCGCAGATGCAATCGTCGGTGAAGATGGAGAATGCTCTGGACTCGTGCAATGCGAGCAAGAACTCGGCCATATTCACGTTCAATCCCACCCAACACGATCAGATGCAGCTGCAGCAGCAGGAGCAGCACAGGCAGAACATGGAGTATCAGAAGAAGGCCTATGCGCACCATCATGGCGCTCAGTCGCCGGCGGAGGCGGGCGGCGGTGATGGTATTTACAATAACAATAATGTGAACAGCAAAGGTAAATTCGTGGCGATAAGTTTCACTAACCAAAATCACCATCATCATATTGATCATCAAATCATCAATTCTACTATCTCTACTTCTACTACTTCCTGCATTACTAACACCACTAATACCACTAATTCATCGACAACGAATCATGTAACGGACGATACGATTGTTTATGAGACAATTGTGATTGAGAATAACAATAACAATCATCAGACTGAAATGTGTGGCGTGAATAAGGCGGGACAGACGGGATATGTTGTATTGACACCTGCATCATTTTCAGAATTGATTGCAAACACAAATTTGGCCACAGCAGGTGATTTGTGTGGTGTCAAAGAGGCGAACAAGGGCAAAATGGTGGCGACAATTGGTGGCGATGCCAACAAGAAGCCACCTGTCGCATCGCAGCAGATTCTCATGATAAATCCAAGCACAATTGCGACAGTGTCGACGCCCGCCTCGTCAAATCCCTCGCCGGTGGTGAGCCAGAAGCCCATCATGCTGGCGCTGAGCAGCAATCAGCAGGTTAGATTTGCACGCTAGTTCGTTAGTTAAGGACTTTAAGTGATATTTTTTCTTCTTGACTCTCTTGCAGATTGCTTTTGTGCCCGTGACGGAGGATAATCCGTACATGATGCACAAACGGCCGAGGATTCACACCGAATTTAACACTTCGGCGCAAACTATGGCCAATACGACAAAGACCACAACAGGAGCTGCGCCAACAGTTCAATATGTTATTCAGGGCCAAATGCCCAATCTTCTGATATCCACACAAAACTACTCCACGCAGAGTCTGCTGAAAAGTGAGTATTTGGAGTGAGTTGGTAATTAGAATGGATGCTAAAACATTTTTGCGCATTGCAGTTAAACAAGAACAACCACCGGAATCGCCAGGCATTAAGAATCTTCCTGCCACGCCAAAGTCCAGCTCAGCTGAGTCTATGGACGTGAGCGAGATGACAAGTGAGGAGAAAGACAAGGCATTTGACAACTTTGAACCACCGGAGAAGAAGACATTCATCCTGGCGCCGACACCAGCTCAGCTGGGAAAGGCTCCACTCCAGAGAAGACAGAACATGAGTGAGTTGCAAGTCTCTCAGAGCACAGAGTATAGAATTTTGGCCATCATTCTTCAACGTCTGTTTGTTTTCAGCATCAAATGGAAGCTCAATTGGCCAGAGTGCAAATGAACCTCAAATGCCAACAACTGTCAGCATGGCGTCTATAACAACGCTGAACAACAGCCTCACGACAAATTTACCCTCATCCCTGCCCACGCCAACTTCAGCGACCATCGATGAGGTTCACGGTCAAATGTCGCCGCAGCAGAAGAAGTCATTCTTCAAGAAGATCAAGAGCGACGACATGGACAAGTGAGTGCACGACAATAATTTTTCAATCAATGGATTGCTTTAACTCTGCTATTTCCTTGCAGTGTGCTGAAACAGGTTGATTTTGAAAAGAAATTCCAAACGCTGCCTCAATTCAAGCCCGAAGACTGCCAATCACCAAGCGCAATATCAATTGCATCCTCACCGCGTGTTTTCACGCAGAACTACCGCAAGAAGGCGCAACCTCTGGCCAAAACTCGTGAGTATTTAAATCTCCCAGTTCTGCGCTATTCTACAGTTCACAATTCAACCCTTTTCGCTCAGATACAGGTGACGAGGACATGTCAGAAGCGGGAAGTGCTGCATCAACTGCCACACCGTCAGCGTCTTTTATTGTGGGCAACCGATTCTTCGGTGCTGACTTCAATCTCGATCAAATGCGAGGTGTGTCTCCACTCAAGCAATTGTCACATCTCTTTCCTCTGGCTGTGATTAATGCAGCGTCTGTTGCAGCTGTTGCCGATGCTGGTGACTGTGACCGATCGCCGCGCACGCCAAAGACGCCTCTGCAGAGTGCATCGTCCGTGCGGAGTGCCACAATTTGCGGCAGTGCTGGCCCAATGTGTGGCAGCGCAGCCGGCGTGGGATCGGCGGGCGGCCAGGATCCGGCCGAGAAGGGACACCGCAAGATATTGGAGCAGCGCCGACAGCTGGTGATGCAGCTCTTCCAGGATCACGGAACATGGTTTCCCACCTCTCAGGCGACAAACAGCTTTCAGGTATGTTGAATTGTGAAACAATTTCTGCCCTTCATAAGGTGAAAACATGAAACATTTCATGTTTAATGAGATTTAGACTTCAAACTCCATTTAATCATTAGTTTGAATCTTGAAAAGGTCATAGAATGAACGAAAACAACCCTTATCCCTTTCTTGGCATTAATTCTCTTTGCTCTCAATCATGTAATAATGCTTAATTACTCTTCCTTTCACGCAAAGTTGGCGCACAATGACATCTTCCCCACGAAGCAGAGTCTGCAGCTGAAGATACGCGAAGTGCGGCAGAAGTACATGGCTCAGTCAACCGGACCGACAACTCCCAATGACATTAGTAAGTTGCCACGCTGATGCGAGTTTGTGTGCATGTTTTTTGTTCGTTTTGTGTGACGAATGAAAAAAATGTGTATCTTTTTCAGGTTCTCCTATAGAACCGCCTCCACCACAAACGCAAACATCTCAGCAGCCATAAATGATTAAAGAAAAAAAAAAATTGATTTCTCGTCGTTTGTAAGATATTTTAGTCGATAACAAAGTTGATAATACTTCTTCCACGTCTCTTTTTTAGCACAGAGAAAAAGTACATGATAACATGTAACGCGCGTTAGAGGATGAGATAACGTAATGCGAAGCTGACTTTTTGGGGTAAAAATACAAGGAATTTATAGTTAAGCGACGGGAATATGAATAGAGTGGAAATTATATTGTACTCTCTCGCGAACGCACTTTCTTCACAATTGTAAAAGGAACAAATTCACGTAAAATACAAGTTGTAGTAATTTTGTGCGGACGAAGGGAAAAAAAAGCGCCAAAAGCAACTTTTGAGCTTTGACAATGAGGAGTTGCGAAGGATGTTATTTCATGTTGATATTGAACTGATTAATTTGTATTGCAATATTTTTTATAGTTACAATTCATTATGAAATCACTCATTTATATGATTTTTTTTATACACTATGAAGGGGGGAAGAAGTTTTTTTTCTTAATCTTTATAAATTCATTATTTGAGGGAATTCTTTTTTGTTGAAAAGATATAAAAGTATAAACTTTAATTGGTGCCAATAAAATTGAACATGTAATGAGAAGAAGGAAAGAGAATAATGATAACGGAGAAATTTAGTGATTAGTGACTTAAATGGTTAAATGAACATGAGGAACAAATGCAAGCATATAATCTCTTATATAAAATGATGTTGCAGTGGAAAATTATGTACAATCATTCACAAATGGAATGACTCTTCTTAACAATTTTTCTTCTTTTTTGTTTCTGTAGAGAAGGAAAAAAAAAATGTGTAGAGAAATGCAAGAATATTTACATACAATTATGGTTAACTGTCATGAGAATTTTTGTCTAGAAAGTCGTCTAATGTGAAGAGAGAAAAGAAAAAGTAAAGTATAGGTGAAGTTTTTTGTAGTTTTGAAAATGCTGCATAAGACCATTGAAGATTTATTGGTAGAGAAAGAAGAGAAATATATTATAACTCAATTCACAAGTTCAGTGTTATTGAAATAACCAAAACAATGATAGAATGCACAAAGCATTAAACCCTCTTATTAACTTGTCCGGAAGAGATTTTTCACTTTCTCTTTCACCCTGGCAGAATTGTAGATCGTCTACTTAATGTTTCCCACTGCATTTAGTGTAGAATTGCGGCCAGTTCAACAGCCAATCAATGTGAAATCACGGTTGCGCTTTTCTTGGCGTGGTATTCGGAGTAGGCGAAGCCACAAATCTGCAGCTAAAGTAAACATCCACCCCCGAAAGCACTTTAAATATGCACAGTAGAAAGAAATGTATTTGATGTTCCACGGGCGAAAGAGAGTTTCTTATAGCATTGCTATGTTAGTGTTTGGAAAAGAGGGCAATTTTAGAACTTGATATACATATTTAATGGAAATATATTGTGATCGACGCACTTCCCCAAAGCAAAGAAGAAACAACATTGATCGATTTCACGGTGACACGATAGAAAAGCCGCTCTTTTCGGACTTTTTAGAGACGATTTTTGGCTGATGGATGGTTTCGAAAAAAAATGCACACAGATTAAGAAAGACAGAAAGAAAAAAACGAACAAATTTATTCCGATTTCAAGTGAATATTTATTGTAGTCAGAGTTGTAGAAAAGAAGTTAATGTATGACTACTCAATGGACAATATATGATTAAGAATATTTTCTCTAAAAAAAACAAAAGAAATTGAAATCTACCACAAAAAGAAAACTTTCTATCGAAGAAATGACAAGCTTAAGGAAGAGAATCCCTATTTTTACACTCTTTACCATGAATAGATTATTTGTGAAAGAACTTCTACTCTTTCCCTTTAACTCTAGGCGTTACTTTTTATCACATTGTCCTCCACTTTGCGCCCCAAACTTAAGATGTTGACCTTAGGAAGAGGAGAAAATACAATTTAAAGCTGTGACTAGATCTTTCTTCCTCGTAGACAGACAAACAATCCCTTTGCTATTCCACAAATTACATAAAAGGACGGTCACGGCAAACCTTTTTCTCTCCCAACTCTAGAGATCCTCGGCATTTTTACAAGACACACACAAATAAACTCGATGTGGAATAAACGAATTAATTAGTAGGATGTGAAGGAAAACAAACAAGATATTTTAAATTGTATGTTGTATTGAAACATAAACAAACACGTGAATAATTGTGTAGAGAAAACCCTAATAATTCTGAGAGAACCAAATCCGTTTCTTGTGCGCGCAAAGATGCAATTTAGATGCAATCTTGGATCATGGTTTTCATCAAGGAAAAAAAAATATCATTGTAGAGAAGGAATACGAAAAAAAAATTATATAATGCAGAAGTGTAAATTATTATATATATCTAATCATACAATCAATTGGTTGTTATTTGATGAAGAAAGAAGAGAAAAAAAAACAATGAGAAACTTGAGATGGAAAAAAAAAATTATTCACAAAGGAAAAGAGGAGCATTATATTGATTATTACAGACTTAGGTAATAATACTAAGAATACGTTTAAATTTATGATAACAAGAAACAACAAAAATATATGCTATGAAATGGAATAAATGAAAATATTACAGTAAAATAACTGCATTATTCGTATTCACAACTTTTTCACAGCCTTTCCATTTCTATTATCTTCAGAAAGGAAGCAAATTTCCTTTTGCTGATAAAAACCTCACCTTTTACTTTGCGTTGCAAGATTCTCACTCTGCCGATGATCCAATCGTTGTTATTCAACACTTACGCCATGATTTTCCTTCTACAAATCTCACTTCATTGCCAAATCAGCTTCAATCTAGTTAATTTTAAACCAATTCTTAATGTAGAACAAAGTATTAGGTACTAGTTTATTTCAGACGCTTACAGCATTACTCAAAAAAAATCCTTATCCTATTATAGTCTCCTCATCTCCATAATCCTCCATATCTTCATCTTCCTCAATGGCGGATGTCGCCTTGAGGAAGGCGCGTCTTCAGATATCCAATTTACTGGCGGTACTGGTGGTGGTAATCTTGAGTTTACGTGTAAAGTCACTGCTCATTGTCTTCAGCTTGTTCTGGTCTAGGCGGTATTTGGTCATCTGCAGATCGTTGAGCGACATGACAAGGCCATTGGGGAAGACCATCAGCGTCTCCAGCAACGCCTTTGTCGGCCAAGAGAACTGCACGGCGCTCAGCTCGCCGGGATGATCGTTCTTCATGTGCTGGTGCACATCTTCGCCCGTGCTGAAGACCTGTGTGCACGTGCTCACTGAGCACTTGAAGGACTTGATGTGCGTGAGGAGCGTGTGGAAGAAGGAACTGGAGTCCGTGTCGAACATTTGGCTGCACTCGGCGCAAATGTACGACGGATTGCGAATGCCAACGAAGGTGGCAATCACCGAAGCGCTGTGCTTCGTCCTCAAGTGCTCCTCACTCTGGCGCCCATCGATGTCACAGATGATGGCCTTGCAAGCCGTGCACCTCTTCATGTGATACATCTTGATCTGCAGCAGCTGCTCCAGCACCAGTTGCGTGATCGCCGGCCTTGCTGGCGCATTGGTGTGATGCAACTTCGCGTGCCTCAGCAGATTCTGATCACTGCCCGCCTTGTAGTTACACGCACCGCAATCCATTCCATCCTTCGCCTTCTTCACGATAACAGAATCAGTCTTGTGCACGGCCTGCAAGTGCTTGGACAGCGTCTCGAACGTGCCGCTTACTTCGAGACACAGGCCACAGTACATCGTCTTCACGGCATAATACCAACATGGCGGTGTCTCTGGGATTCCCTCCTCAGTGTGCGTGCTCACGTAGTGAGCCTTGAACTCCTCCACGGTCGGCAGTTCCTCGTCACAGTGAAAGCATTTGTACAAGAAGCTGGCAACACCTTCACTTGTCGTCTTGCTTGATCCCTCGCCCAACTCCACATTTTTGCTAACAACTGATATGATCTTCGTGGTCACAGGAACACCGGGATGGCATTGTGGAAAGTGAACAATACGCATTGTGAGGGCAGATTTGGTAGTAATGTTGCAAATAGTGCACTGAATCATTGTCTCAACACGTCGCTTCTCCACCACATTTTCCACATTTTCATCTACAGGCAATTCCTCACCCAAAAATGTCGCTGGCGAGTCTTGCGGCAGGATTTCCTCATCGCTCATCTCCTCCTCGTCCTCCCCTTCGCCCGTTCTAGGCAAAATCTCTGACGATTCACACGGAATGCCTCTGATCGTCTTGGTGCTGTGCTCATCTCGTCGCCAAAAGTTCATAGACTCACTGGGTTTCTGCGCGAGCTTCTGTGCATGTCCATCGAGAGCTGAGTACATCTCCTTGATGATGACCTTTGATTCAGGGTGGCGCGATTGAATATGCTCCTTTATGTAGCGCAAGGTTATATGGCGCGTCGTGCAATAACCACACGCGTACTGATACTTGTGCCCATGCACGGTCGCCACGTGATTGGCCATGTCAGTCTTGAGGTACGTCGTTTCATTGCATTCATTGCAGATCCACTTCTTGGGCAGCGCCTCGTCCGGGCTCTGCGCCGTTACCTCGCTCACGATCGGCGTGTCACTCTTCGCCTCATCGCGCAGCACATATATATTTCCGGCCCCAGAATGGACAGTCTTAATGTGTTTCTCCAGGTTAACAGTGGACTCATTTAGGTGCTGACACTTGTCGCACATGTACAGCTTCGGTCCGTGCAGACGATAGTGTGCCAGAATAGGATCCACCGCGAAGCTACCCTTCAGCAGCTCCGTCAGGCAGTGCGGACACTTGTACGACGTCTCCTGCGAGTGCAGCGTGCTGAGGTGCGATTTCAGCATCATCTCGTCGATTGTGATGTACAAGCAACTCTCAACGCCGCAGACAAATCTCTTGGACTGCGCAAGAAATACTGGATCGTTAGGACTCCCTTTCACCTTCTCCAGATGAGAACTGCACGCCAGATTGGTCATTTTGTCGAAATTCCGCTCACTTGTGTTCAGACACGGCACAGGATTAACGGGATCCAATCTCGGGACGAACACATCCTGTCGATGCGCCTCAAAGTGTCGCACGAGATTCTTCACGATCATTGTCTTGTAGTCGCAGAGCTTGCAGTAAATGTTCTTCGCCACCACGGGCTTCGTGGGCAATTTGTCCTCATCATTCGGCCCATACGTGTCCGTCGCATCTCTTCCGCCATCCTGGTCAGCTTTGCGCTGGATATGAGCCACAAACTGCTCCTTGAACCCATCCACTTGACTATCAGGTATGTCATATGGAAGCAGCATATGAATTCCCCCTTCGACACCATTCGATATCAGCACCAGTTTGTATCCTCTCCACTTGTGAGCAGTCTTCATACAGTGCTCCGCCACCTGCAGTTCATTCTTCCCCGCGAACTTGCATATGGCACAAATGAAGCGCTTCTGACTGTGACTCTCCAAGTGATTCCACAGCGATGACGACGAGTGCCAGAAGACATTCACACACCGCGGACACTTGAGCAGCGAATTGGCATGACTCCTGTCGATGTGTTCCATGAACTCTCCTCTGCCATATGCCTTGTATTTGCAGTCACTTTCCGAACAACAGAGCAGATCCGACAGCCGCGCTCCGCTCTGTCTCACCCAATCAGCAATCAGATTCGACATCCTCCTCGACCGTTCCGAGTTACCCAGTCCATACTCCTGCCTCTCGGCTGCCGTCAGAGTCCTCGCCGAGCCGACGATCTCCGGCACCTTGAGTGAAAGAGCCCCCATGAAAGGGATCTGTCTTAGTGTCTTTATTCTCTCTGTGATAAATTCAATGTTGTACCTTTATTGGTTCTGCCCTGACTTCTGAAGCCCTGACCTCTGCCGTCTTCGATTCCAAAGATTTTGCCTCCTCTTTCGACAGTGTGCAGACATCTTTGATCACAAGCGACGGCGTTGTTTGTTTGTTCAGGCTCACCACATTCGAGATAACCGGAAAGTTTCCCTCAGAAGTGGCGTCATTGCTGGTGCTCGGCTTCGGAGTAATTGGCGCATAACGCGTCGATCCGGCAGGACTCTTTTGCGCTGAGACTGAATTGAACACCGGCGATGTACAGAAGTCGTCGAAGCTCGATAGTTTGAATTTGTCCGCAAGATCCTGAAGCGGAAATATAGAAACAGTAATCATACATCAATGATCGTCTCCAATATTTTGTCAAGTTCTACTAAATTACAGCTCAAGATTGAGAAGATATTATTTTTCTTTTACATCTGCCTAGACAAACCCCCATTTTCCTATTCAATCCAGAGTCATTTCAATCCGTGACGTCGAGTCGTGGCGAAGAAATCTGGTCTATATTTTTCTACCTGACACCTAGTTGCTTATGAACTCTCAATGAGGGTGCTTTTCAGAATACTGCGCTTAAGAGTGGATTAAAAGTATGCTCGGCATTAGCGTCTAGTCGGTCTAATCCATATAATTACAGAGAAGATGTGAGGAAAATGTGAAAAGAATGATAACGCTTGATGCTATTTAAAGACTTTATTGTGGTTTAGTAGCTTATGAAGACCTGACTTTATCATCAGATGAACTTACGATACCTTCTTCTACAGTGATGTATAAAAAAGCTTCTTTAAATCTGCAAATTCAACATTAATTTAGGTGAAAATTATGTGCATGAGAAAGTTAATTTTGTGAAAATTCTTCTATTCTTTATTGATCTTTGAATTTCTATAAAACTATGGTAGTTCATTTGACAAACACCAATTTTATGTACATCGTTCGACGTAGTATGATTCAATACTAAAAGTGCGATAAATTCTAATTACAAATCTACAGTGTATTTAATCATAATGCGAATTACCTGATCCTCATCACGATTATAGTACAGCAAAGTCTTGTTGGGATGTTTATCGCAAATATGCTGCGCCAAGTTATGCTTAATGCTCGTCGCCATTTCACAGTAGATGCACTCAAAGTTCCCAATCGAGTGGCAAGCCATGTGCTTCTTAATGTTCTCCACACGAATCATACCATCGCAGAAGGTGCATTCAAACTTCGACTCGCCGTGCTCCCTCAGATGTTGCTCAAAGAGAGCGTAGTTGAGAAACTTCAAAGGACAATCTGTACAAGAAATCAAATAATTATTCAATAACCAATGAAAGACTGGTGATGTAGCAATGATAACTCACGTTTGCACAACAGAAGCTTTACATTCTCTCTGACGCTAACCACCGGATTTTCCTCCTTGGCTTCCTTGCGCTTCGACTGAATCCTGTAAGCCTTCATGAAGGAGTTGTGATACACCAACAAATGCCTTGCCACGTAATTGGCATTACATGCACGATAGAAGCACTTCGGGCAGAGGTACTCGCAGTACAGGTGCTCCTTGTTCACGTGACTGATGAGATCTCGCGTGCTGCCAGCCATGTAGTCACAGTAGCAGCACTCGAGCCACGATGAGGTGTCCGTGATGGTGGTTGTCTCCATTTGGTCCTCGATCATTTTGTCATGGGAGGACAAGTGCATTATCATCACATACTCATCGTTTGTGGAGTAGGAACATTCCATTCCCATGCACTTGTACGCGGCAAAAATTGCGTCTCTCTGCAGCATCTTCATCACAAGTTGGGGAGCCTTCAAGCATGGTTTCTTCGTCCACGGTTTCAGGCAGAACGCTTGATTAAGTGGAGTAGGCTTCAATGGTGGTGGAGCTTCCGCAGAAATCGTGGCTCTGCGCTGACTGATCTTCGCTGTAGGTTGAGTTTTGGTGGCAATTTGGCTGAGCTTCCCAACATCTGCGTTGTCAATGGACTGAGACTCCTTAGGTGTGCTGCTTTTCAAAACCGAAATAGCGTCAGAAGTCACGGTCGATGAAGAGCGAGGCCTGATAATGAAAGTCTTCTTGTTGGTGGACACTGACGTCGATGCAGTCGCTGGCGGTGATCTGGATGGCGAGATTACGCGTGGCGCTTCCGGAGATCTGCTCACCTTTCGTATTATCACAGATCGCGGTTGCTGCGTGGGTAAAGTGGGCACCTTAAAGGCTTCTGTCTGTGCTGACAACTTATCTCCTGACAAGCGTCTAATCCTAATTGCCGGGCGCGATTCCTCTTTGATTTGTGATTTCGGAAAATTATCAAATTTCCTCCATTTGTGTTCGTTCACCAGATGATGGAACTCCTTCACCAATGTTGTGGGCATGGAGGATATATCGCGCTTACAGATATTGCAGAATCCCGTCCAAACATCATCGTCATGCACTTTTATCAAGTGATCGACAAACAGTTCCATCGATGAACTGATGTATAAGCAATTCTGCAGTAAGCAATGATACTCCAGCTTACCATAAATCAGCTTGCACATCAAATTGTTCACTGTGCCACATTTAATTTCATACTTCTCTTTCTGCTGTTCCACGTCAATCACACCAACAATCTCTTGAGGCACATCGATTTTCGCCTTCTTTGGCGTTCCTTCAAGTCCATCGAGTTTTCTCTTCTTCTGCGCCAATCGAGCCAACTTCTTGCTCTGAGTGAATTTAGATTCTGACTCATCACTGTCGCTCTCTATATCTTCCCACTCGTCGTCATCGTAGGAAATGGGATTATCTGTACTGTCAACGAGAGACAAATTCATATCCTCTGACTTGCTGTCTACCGATATGGTGTCTTGCGAGGAACTTGCGTTTAATGGCAACTCAGTCTTTACGACAACATCACTCGAGTCCACGCTGACTCTTGGTCTCTCTCCAAATCTCTCATGTAACTTGTTGGCAATACTTCTCACCGGTTCATTTGGAATAGTCTTAGAAATGTCCGCCAAAATGGACTTGCTCGTGATCTCTTCATTGTCATTCTCGCTCGTCGTCTTGAACACGCCCTCTTCCTCGTGATTCTCCGCATTGAACTTATACATTTCCAGGAACATCTGATGATGATCCTTCACGGATACATCATTGAAATTCAAAAGCACAACTGTGTGAACTTGAGGCACGTTTGGGTGCTCCGTAATCACGTGATTGCGCGTATTCACCTCGAGCAATTGAATGAAGTTACAATCACCACACATATATGCCTCGATGTACTTCATATCAGGATTGTGCACAATCTCATTGAAAACGTACGTTCCTTGCTTCTCACACTTCTTCTCGTGCATCTTCATGCTCTTCACCGACCATGACTGAAACCCGCAACTGCACTTGTACTCATATTCACCAGTGTGCCTCGTGTAATGCGTCAGCCATCCTTTTGGCGACTCATACACCTCTTCCTTGCAAAAGATACAGTGTCCAAAAATTTTGGCACCGCTATATTGCAACTTCATGCTATGGCCATCAGCATAAAGCATTCCTTTAGCGTGAGTCTTCAGGAACTCCGAAATGTTTTTCGGCAATCGAGAGCAGAACACCTCATTCAGGGGATGAATTTTCAAATAATGCGAAACCATGTTCTTTCCGCGAAAATCGCAAATTTTGCAAAAATTCGGATTCACTATCGACACACTCAAATCAGTGTTCTTCACTGATGAACGTATCGGCTCGGGTTTCATAGCATTGTACGTAATATCCATTGGTGCTGCAGAAGTCTTAGTTTCTGACTTCTTGACTGAAACCGGAGAAGGAATTTCAGTTTTGGACTTTGGTCCTGGACGCTTTTTCAATAGAGGCGGCTCAGGAAGCTCTGCAGTATCTTCGAAATTCTCCTCTTCCTCCTCCTGTGCTTCTTCCTCCTCGCCATCGTCATCTTCATCAACCGGTGACACAGATCGCTGCGACTTCTTCTTCCTCGAGAAGATCCATATTCCCCTGGGACTTTTCTTTTTCTTCGGTGTTGGAGCGTCACTCGGTGTCTCAACAGATACCTTCTTCGGACGTCCTCTTTTCCCACGCAATTTCTGCTGAATATCCTTCTCATCGAGTTTCTCCAACTCAACTTTCAACAGTCTGTTGATATCAAGCCGTTTTTCCTCAAAGAACTTTTTCGCTATGTCCTCGTCCTTTTTCTCCGTTAATGTGTTCTTTTTAGCTTCCTTCCCTTTTGTCTCCGCAGAATCCTTCTTACCGCGAGTCCTCTTTGACGGTCCAGGCTCAGATCCTGACTGCAATGCTTTCTGTTCTTCTGCTGCCTTATTCTTCAACGACTTCTCGGGACTTGCTGTAGGGCTACTTTCGTTGTAGTTTATTCTCTTTCTCCTCAGTTCGGTGCACATTCGACGACCTGTTGCAGTCAAAACACCTTCGGATATGAACATCGTGCGAATGTCCTCATTCAGCCTCTCTAACTCCTTCACACCAGGCTTCGGTGGCTTTTTCTTTGGTTTTGCTTCGGGAACAGTAGTTGGAGCATCAGCTGCTGAATCAGTCACAGTCGTTGTGGGCTTCTCTGGCACTTCATTGCTTGCTTTCGGCTCTTCTTGTCGCGAATTCTCTTCCTTGTCTTCTTCATCGTCCTTACCATCCACAATGGACTTCACTTTCTCAAATTTCTTCTCATCCAAAACATTCTTCATGATATCCATGAGCTTCTCCTTTGTTAGCATATTAGGATTGAACATGTTGGAGAGGAACGATTCCAACCACACCTTGGTTATTCCATCTTTTGCCGTCTCTGTCTCTACAGGAATCGTTTGACTCGATGAATCATCAGATTTTTCGGGAACCTCATTATCCACTTGACAACTACTAGACACGGGCTCCGGTGTTGAAGTTCTGGATCGAGCAGGACCATCTTCATTTGTGTCCTCCATTGCTGCTCTGGATCTTTTCTTAGAACTCTTGTTAGCCTTTTTCACCTTGACCGCTGTCTCTGATTTCTCACTCCTTTTTGACAATGTGATTTCCGATTCCATATCTGAAGTTTCCGAGTCAGAATCAATAATTTTGATTCTCTTTCGTGATCCCTTACTTTTGACATTCTTATCATCTGACGATTTCTTCTCTTTCAACGACTCGTCTTTCGACTGCTCACTTGCCGTCACTTTTTGTATCGGTTTCTCACTCTTCTTTTCTTTGCTAGCATTGCCAGGAGTATTTTGTGCCTTTTTCGGTATTTTAAAACTCTGGATACCTTTATGAATACTCTTCACCTGCTTGTCATAATCATGCGAGAAACTATTTTTCCGGTACATGTTGTCGAACTGTGATTTCATACCTTGAGACGTTGAAGTTGAAGCCTGATCATTACGTGGAGGTGCTTCTATAGCTCTAGATTTGTCAAACTTCGCACTCTCAGATGAATCACAAGGCTTGACGAGACTATATCGGTCAACAGTGTCATCATCATCCAATTCGGATCGACGCTCCATTGAATTGAATGGCTTTTTCGGTGGAGGGGGGTTCTTGCACTCATAATAAGAGGTGGCGGACTTCATTTCCGTGACTTTTCGGTGCACATACTTTGTCACCGTGTTTTGAGGCTTGTTCTGTGGCGCATCGTATCTTTTTCCGTGAAAGTCTCGTCTCGGATCAGTTCTTGGTGGTGGAAGAGGTTTCTTCAGCCTGGGATCATCCAAACTCACAGTAATGTTCCCCGTTGCGTCAATTGGTAGATGAGATGATCTCTCAAAGGACTTCTTCGGCGGATGAGGATTGTATTTAAGTGCCAAGCGCACTGTCTCACTCTGACTGACTGTCGTTGTGCTTCCACTCGGAGCACAATCAGTCTGCTCTCCCATTAGCGACTGAATATCATCGCTAGACAAAGGCGGGCTATTTAGGATGTTCATGTCAGGATTCATTGAAGAGTTGTTCGGCAGCATCGGACGAATTTGACGTGACGGACCCGGATATGTAGGATTGAATGACTTCTGTGGAGGTCCATTATTTGGTGTTGGATAGCGACGCTGGTAGAACATATTATCTTGAGTTCGGCGACAATACAAATCCATTCCTCTGCCGCCACCTTGGAAGTTCGAAAGTGGAATCGGATATCCGTCTGGTACCACAGCATCTTGAGGTGCATTCATCAAACTCCTATCCGATCGAGATGAAATCACAGTTGATATTTTGTTGATATGCAGTGTTATTGAGCTGGTTTCCGATGCCACAGCTCGGCGTTCAAAACGTGGATCCGTTGGTCGAGCTTTGTCGCCAATAATGGCACTAGCCTTCTGCTTCAGCAATGACTCATTCACTTGCTTGTCAGGAACATCAACATCTCTCCCCTTCGAAGCATCTACTTGGAGAAGTTTCTGCTTGACAGCATGCAAATTCAGTTGACTTGGACTGCCCTCCGAGCGCACGACATCTAAATTAGGTCTTATCGCCACGACCTAATAAAATGACAGAATTTATAAAAAAAAAATTTCTTAAGGAAAAAATTAAGTATAATTACCCTTGAGCTGTTGGACTCATCTCGTTCCTTCTGATCGATTGCCTTGGCCTAAAAATAAATTTCCATGATATTCTAAAATAAAATAAATTATATAAAAAAAACTTACTGGACCAAACTTCTGGTACAAATTTATCAGAACATTCTCCGTCTTATCCAAAATGTCCGACTTTAGTCTGTAGTAAATAAAAGATAGCGTACTTAATAATACTCTCACAAACCATACGAAAAATAATCAATAATTTACGTTTTTGGTTTGTTTTTCAGCAGATCATAGAGACTCTGCATCTTCGTCAGCTGCGCCTCCCTCGAATTTTCGGTATTGGCATTCTTCAACTTTGTAATCAGGTCATCGAGAAAAGGAATGTATTTCTCCTGAAGCTCCTTCAATTTTTCCTTGTGCTTTACCTCATCCATCTTTCTGTAATTTCAATCAATTCAAAATAAAATAAAAGAAAATAATATTCACTAAACAGGGGACTATTTGTAAGAAAACTTCAATCTTGCATCTCACTGTGAACATTTTGTTACCACCTTGAAATGGAGAAGGCTCTGTTCCTCAAAGGAAAGTTAATGCCACTTAAATATCTATGACGGAGAAGATAATTGAATCCTTCTCTTTTGACGAAGTTAGTAGCTGAAATATTTCAATCAGACAGAATACTAAATTTACATATGCTTGTATTTTGCTACTGGGACGTCACATTCTGTGCAACACACTTTTTGACGCGGAGATGAGTTGCTGGCATAAAAGATTAAGCATAATGTCGAACACAGTACATTTTCAGTTGTAGCTCAGAAAGTCTATGCATTTCCTCAAATGTGTTATATTTACTTATATAGTTAGTAGTGAAGTAGTGTTGAAGAAAAGTGAAATACGGCTAAATTTTTAAAGTGTCCCAATCTATTCTTCGATACTGTATAATACAATGAACAACATTGACTCGGCGGATACACAAGAAAAAATCACTTTATCAAAGGTGCACACAAAATCACAATTAAATTATTGATTCAAATTTTTCCTCCACTTTCACAAAATGTATTAAAATTATATTCACTGCACTTATTATTATATTATAATTACCTCTTCTTTCGGAATATGAAGTTCTCCATAACAGCGAAATCTGTGGCTCGCCAGAATCAATCAATCTGAAATCACCGCAAAAGAAAACCAAAACTACGATATAAATAAGTATACATAAGAAAAAAAATTAATATACAATAAATTGTATGCGGGGGAGAAATATATAAAGCTAAGCTGTACCTATTGCTAAGCACTCTACCAGAGCCAAGCATCAATGTTGAGAAATTTGAGGCACATCGTGGAAGGCTTTGCTCCGGAAATTGCGCAGCAGCGCTTGGGTTGCGCCAAAATGGCGTTCCCGAGAGATCTCGGAGCAAAAAATACCACCCCAATAAACGCGATCAGATTCACAAGCCGTTTAGCCCACAGCAAAAAACTCAGCTCCAAAGTGTTCTCTAACACCCTCTGCACACTTTCACACAACGCGATTTCTATTCGCAGCGCCTTTAGCAGGGTAAAATTGCCGAGTTAAGGGACGCTCCCAAAACGTGCTAAAGCCCTCACTTTTTCCTCACAAATGACAGAAGTTGCCCGATGAAGACGTCAAATGAAAACATCGAACGTCACTCGCATTGCGGGAACTGGCGATGTTTAGCAATGCCGCACACGCGGCCAAATAAGGGACTTTGCGCGTGGAGTTCTTTGTCACTCAGCCACTTGAAGGCGAAGCAGCAGAGTGGAATTGTGAGAATACACGCTCAACAATCTCTCGTGTTCTGAGCCTCTCTGTGCCCTAGTGTGCAATAATATGCCATACAGCGACCCAGTGAAATTGATGTGCGTGTTGAAAATGCCCAGTTTGTGAGAAAGTGGCGAAGAGAGCACTCTTTGACACCGCGCTGCACAAGAACAGTGTTTGCCGCATTTGTGGTGAATGCTCGGGCATCTGAGTAAAAATTTACTAACACAACTTCTCCAAGCAATTTTTTTACACTCATGAGGTGCTAAAAAGGAAAGGAAAACTAGTATAAATTCTTACCGAAGTGTCTGAGTGCCGATTGCTGTGCTCAATAGTAGTGGATAAAAAGTTTCATGAAATTCATCTGACAGTGAAATTTTACGGAAAATATTGAAATTTAAGATTGTGGAGACACGCTTCTCCCCGCGCTATGTAGGAATCTGAATAGAATCTGCTCAACTCCGACAAAGTGTCCTAGAATCCCTAGGCTCCGGCGGTGGTGTCTCATATTGGAGGCTTTGATTTGGCTATTGATAGGCAATCAAACAGGTCCCGAAGAGCTATGCTGGAACTATAATTATTGCCCACGCTAACTTGACCTGTGTGGACAATCTGAACAAAGTGCCAAACTGGAATCCAAGAAATACTTGAGATTAGTATAGTGGCACGATAACTTTGATTAATCACAATAATCTGGTTTTAATCTTTATACAAAAAATCTCTATTTTTCACTGGCACATCAAAAATTGCCATATTTGCAATTTTCTAAATTGATTAATGCGTTTTTACTTTTCACTCCTATCTTCCAGCGATGAAATGAAATCAAATTTCTAATCGAATTTTGTCATAGTTCTCTGTCGAAAGAATCACTATCGGTAAGTAATTATTCAAGGCTCATCAGAATCATCTGCAAGTGAAGTTCGAGGTTTAAATTTGGCAAACATACAGTTGCCGAGTGGTGAAGCAATTGTAGATAAGAAGAAACAATAACCGCTTTCTGTATAAATTGCATTGAAATAAACTCGTTTTGAGTGGAAAAGTTTCCAGCTGTTTTTGTCCTAATTTTACCTCAGTGTATCTGCTCTCCACGGCCAGGTGGCGCGCAAAGCGGAAAAGATTCATAGACTGGTTCAAATGCGTTCTCAAATAACCGTCTATATTTCTTTATTGAAAAATTTAAATTGTGTCATTTTGCGTGATAATTTTGTGTGAGATTCCTTCAATTCTCTTTAACAATCACAGTCTGCTGTTCTCATTGCGGAGGCCGTAATTGGTGTGTCCATTGGCTCTCAGCGTGGCGAGATTTGTCTCATCGGCCGTGCTAAAGGTGTTGTTATCGTGCCCGTAATCCCTGGGGCTGGAGTCTCGTCGCGGACTCGGCGGCGATGCGTCCTTCTTCGGCCCCTCCATCCAGAAGATGGTGATGAAAAACAGCAGAGTACCTGCAATTACGGCATTGATTGAGCGTCACAGCGGGTGTTTTTCTAAGAATACTCACTTATCAGGTAAAATCCGGCGTAGAAGATGGAAATGGACTCTCTATAGCCGATGGCCTTGGCGACGGGATCCACGAGAATGGGAAGATTTCCCCCGACATTGTTCATGACGAAAAGGAAGATGCCAACAGTGGTCGATCGAACGCCCATCGGCACAATTTCCACCAGGCATGCAAATACGATGCCAAACCACATTTCAGCTGCAGAGAATGAGCACAAATGAGTGAGCAAATGAGTCGAGAGAGGGTGCAAATTGCGACTCACCGAAGAAGTAACTTATGCCGAGTGTTATCATTGCCCACAGGGGTTCGAAGTAAACTGATCCGAAGGCAAATGGGGCGGCAATCAATTGACTAATGGCCAGGACGGCCACACGGGAGCGAACGCCCATCTTGGCCACTATCTTGTCCGATACGACGCCACCCACGACAATGCCGATGCTCCCAATTCCGACCGTCACGACGAACAGCCACCACCCGAGGTCCACGTCCGGGAAGTAGCTGGTGTAGTAGAGATCGCAATTGTATGCGAAGGTCATGCCTAAAAAATACACGATGGCGCAATTGTGAGAAATTGGGCTGAAAGAGGTCTTGCGAATTTTTTAAATTACCTCCGCAGTGTCTGATTGAAGAGGCAATGATGAGGAGAATGATTCGTGGTTGCTTGAGAACTTGCCAGATGCTGATCTTCTCGTCCTGTCCGGAAGATTCCTCGCCGATTGTCAATCTCTTGGGCTCCTTGAGAGTCACTCCGGTAAGAATGGCCAGAATAAGACCCAGCACTCCGGCACCATAGTAGCAAATCCTCCAGCTCAGGCCGAAAAGATTCGACTGAGTGATATATCTGCCCACGGGAAATGCGATTCCGTAGCCACCATAAATGCCCCAGTTGAAGATCGCCATGACCAGAGCGCGCTTGCCCTCGTCGAAGATGTCCGACATAATGCCCGTGGCCAGAGGATTGCAGCCCGCCTCACCCAACGCCATCACCATTCGCAGCACTACCATTTGCCAATACTCCTTAACAGCGCCTTGCAGAATGATCGCGATGGAGAAGATCAGCGTGCAGACGAACAGCATGCGCACGCGATTATACTTGTCCGCCGCGATGCCCAGAATCACACCCATGACCGTGAAGACGGCAATGAAGCTGGGGCCGGCGAGGACTTGGTAGTCAATGCCAAGTCCATTGTAGTTCCACTCGCAGTACGGAATTCCATCTTTCTCCACCAGCATGCACCTGCACATAGAGGCAAGATCGTGGCGTTTTATGAAGTCATAAAAGTACGCTCTGTCTGAGAAAATGCTCATAATTGCGGACCATTGAGGTACATAAGTCTTGCAGTGCTTTTCAAGTTCATTAATTTGGTATTGACTTTAGGCCATTCTGTTGGACATTTAACTCAAAATTATAGTAATTGATTAAAATGCGATTAGATCGCGCCTTCGACCCTCCTTATCCGAGTGTGATAATAACACAGCACACTCAATTGTGCTAAGGCTGCTCATATAATCACAATACGCGACTCTTAAATTTAAAAGATTTCCTATCTTCTTTCCCTTGAAATGTTTTTGAACTAATAAAAAAATTATGTCACACTTCTATTCTTCTTATACTAAAATATACCTTTGAAAGCCTTCTAATCCGACCAGAAATTTCAGGAATTACATGAAAAAAGATAATTGTAGTCCAGAAAACACTGCGAGCATAAATCTTAAATTACACACTATACTATTTAATGAAGCCGCGTGTTTGTGTGAAAATCCTTGTAGCAAAAATAAACTGATAATTTTTAGCTTTCGGACTTCATGTGTTAAAACTGTAATAACAGGACAGAAAAACTTGTCGGAATTGAAGGGTTAAAAATTACGTATTTGTCCACATTTCTCTTCCGCGACTATTTGTCTTAATGATTTCAATACAAATTCATTATTTATTGCAATAATATGCATAACACTAGACAGTCTGTAAGATAATTACAAAACGGTCTCAAGTGAAAAATTGCACATTGAAAGCACCTCTAGTGATTTACTGGTGCTGAGAACAATTGACGAGTGATGCAATGCAAAAGTGATGACAATATCCAATAAGAAAAATGACCAACTCACTCTTCTTCTGTCTCCACTTCGCTGCACTGCACGGGCAGTTCCGATAGCTTGAAGCTCGTGCTATTGAGCTGGCATGAAATGTCTCCGTAGATGAGCTCCCTGGCGGTCTGTTTGGATGTGACACCGATCAAATAGTGGCCCAGTTCGCCCACAATGTACCCTATTGTGAGGACGCCCAGCACGTATGGCTTGTACAGGAAGGACAATTTCTTGAACTTGTCCATCATTGTGCGGCTGCAAGTGAGAAGGCAGAGTTAAATCAGCACCTGAAGATGACGTGATGGCATGCAGACGCAGAGTTTCACAGTTCATACATCATATCGTCGCACAAATCGCGTGAAATTGTTTAGGATGGAACGTGTGCGGGAGTCAACTAACAAAATACACATGATATGTAGGAGGAAATCTCACAAAGTTTATCACAAAGTTTGTGTCGCTGGAAAATGTGCTGAATCGATGGGATGAGTTTGTACCGAAGGAGTCCAATAAGGCATACATTATTCATACTGTGCCTCTTAACGCGGCAAAAGTTGAGAATGGCTTGTGGTTGTGGAAAATCGTTCAATATTGCTTTATGGCCGGAGATGAAAATCTCTTCCCATGGGATCGCAGAACTGGGAAACCAATTAGGCAAAAAACACTCCAGGCGACCAATTAGGGAAAACTTGGCTCAAAGTTTAAAGTGGAAAAAGATCCTAACACATTTTGTGCTTGTGGTGGGAATTTTCTTTAATCGTGCGGCATTGCCATTAATTGCCATATCTCTATAACCACTCTCTCTCTCTCTCTCCCTCAGTCTTCAGAGAGGGTGTGCCAATGCGGAAGTCTAGTGGTCTTGCAATTGCGTTTAGGACAGATAAATGCCTCTCATTTTTAGCTGATTAACCCCTCAATGGAGCCTAAATATTTTCGCAATTTTTTATCCATGCGGGTGAAATTTGAGAATGTAGCTCGGTTTTCAAGTTTCCAACAATTTTCTCCCATCACCGCACGAAATTTCCCCCAACAATGCCGAAAGAGGATAGAAAGATTGGAGATTGCAAAATTACCATTCTGCCTGCCATGCGGTATTCAAGGTCCCAGCATAAACGGCTTAAGTTCAAAATTCATTTATTGCACATACGATTAATTCAATGATTTCACTATACTTAATGGTACTCAGCAAGTGAATGAGGTGGGGAAAATATGCAAATTTATGTACTTAGGGATTTATTTACGCCATTACGCCTGTCTTTAATGTCTCCCCTTGAAATACCTCTGGAAAAGCTGCCACTGAGCATATCAAAATTTAACTCGCAGCCTTTTAATCCGATATGGAGCAAATACTCTGTGTAAACATTTCACATTATAAAGCAATTCATGTGCATCTGGGTGAGGCGGAGTGATGTGACAATTCATCATAAGAGAGAGGGAGAGAAGAGTTGCTCAAGCTCTGGAAAAAGTGCCTCCAATCGATACCCAACTAATTAGTTAATTCAAATGAAATGGGTTAAGGTTGCCGTGTTGTGAGTTTGATGCTCAGCCTCATGAAAATAATATTCTAAAGCTCGAGCCTATCACCCATTCCAATGTGTACTGGAGTGAAAATTAGTTTTCCCGTTTGGAAAGCCCTTCACACGGTATTGGTGGTTTTCCTAACTCAGAGAAGAAGAGAAAAAAGGCAAATGCTTCCCCATTTTGTGAAATTACTCCAAGACGGTCGAAGTCAAGGTCTTGCTGAATAATCGTCACAGAACAGATTGATTAACTCAGCTGAGAGTCACGCTTCCATCCACAGCATCCAGATAATGAAGTCTTATGGATGGAGAATCGCAATGAAATAGGGAAATGATTGTGCAATACATTCCTTTTCAATGTAAAATTATCATCATCTCCTGTGGATGATTTTGCGCGATATATTGTCATGTGACTGGCACAGTACATTTTATTTATACACAAGATATTGATTTATTGCCGTGCAAGAGATACTAAGAAAAAAATGCCCATGCGAGAGATGCACGAGCTCAGGACACGTTGCGATGCTCTGTAGGTGTTGCATTTCAATCTCTGCATTAACTGTGCTGCACGGCAATTAATTAATCCAAACGCGCGCACGAGGGAAAAAATCAAGAGCGAAAGTTGCAAACCTTCGCACAATGCACGATCTTTCGAGGAAATGTGTGAGTTGCTGCTTTTGAAGATCAGCCTTCCCTGTCCATTAGGAAAAAGTGATAAATTAGTGCAAAGACTGCAAGGTGTTGCACTTTGATTGGAATTAGAACTATAGCCGTATCAACGGAAATTCTATTACTAATACTAATTAACGCCTGGAAAATCCTTTGGGTTTAAACAATTAGCGCATATGCTCAATATGGTTATTACAGAGAAATTTTGAGAGAACATCTTCACAGAAAAGCAATCTGGAAAGTCTGGTCACATGTTTTGGAGCAGTAAGAGGATTCTTGGAATTAACAAAAAACTTGGTGAAGAATGAAATTTTTGACATCACCTTAAATGTTTCACTATGAATCAGAGAAATTACCAAAAAGTGTCGCAAGACACTTTTTCGGAAGGTTTTCCCCATAATATCATGAACTTTCAGAAAACAATTAACAACCTCTTGGGCCGACTAATTGCGTCAAACGGTAGCAAAGAGGCTCGTCACATCAGCTGCTCAGAGATTAATTTACAAGGCAGTTCCACTTAACTATAGTTGAGATTTGTTGAAATGTAATTGGTATTATGTGTTCTTGTTCAGGAAAAAAATGCTAATCTCATCTGACAAGAGGCCGGATCTCTTGTAAGTCCATATGTGAGGGCATTAATAATGCATTCGAGAGTGAACAGAATCAGGTGGAAGTTGCATTAATGAGGGGACGAGTGTGCACAGGTTCGGCCTTGGGAGTGGACATGGAATTGGCAATCCGGAGGAGGCACGCCGGACACGTGTTGTATCTCTTTCACACATCTCAAACAGCGCAAGTTCTCACATTCCAATTAATGTGACATTATATGGTTGATTTGCCGGAGTTGCAACACCTATAATCTATTAGCAGAGATATTGGCACTGGGAGCTTCCTGTGTTGGGGATTTATGCGTGTAATCTGGGGCGCTTGGAGGCGAGCTTTTCGTCTCACGTGCGTAATTGCATGCGAGACTGCAAGATGACAATGCGGCACGCATTCTAATTTAATGAATATTAATAAATTTAAACATTAAGTGAGTGAATGAGGAAAATTATGAGGATTATTGCGTGACACTTCACGCTCTGCCTAATAAGTGGGTTACAGGTAATGTTGATAGTTTAATTTGTAGGTTCGCCTATCTGTCAAATCATTTTCCCATGGCGAGAATTATCGTCATGAGATTTGAAATTGAAAGTGATTTCTTTATCTACTCATCGCTAAACATTTTTCCCATTCAACAGAATTCCATCACACAAAATGATATGCAATTGAGCTTCACAAGCAAGGGTCTCCGTTTTCAGGTCAAGTCTATTGATGTTGGACACCACGCGCGCATAATGTCAGCATAGGCGAAATTTGGAAGATATTTTGATAAAATACGTACAAAAATTATCACCTTTCTGTTTGAGATTACTGTCTTAATTGAATTATCCACTCAAATCCACTTAAGCTTGAGGCACAGCAATTCCTTTCACTTTCAATTCCTCAAGCCGAACACTTGAGCACTTTGGTGCTTTACCGTGACTCCTATCACAGGACCGACACTTCACACCTTCTGGACAGTCACAGCGGTAGTGACTGATCCAAGCACAGGTTGCACAGCATTTGGTGGAAGCTTCACAAAAGGGAGTCCGATTTTACCACCTCCAATCTTCGCGTATTCTCTCCTTCCACCTTTCGTATCACAGAATTTTCCTACAGTCTTCGCAGCTATGCTGTGTGCGTGTCTCTTATGTATTTGAACGGTATAGGATTGATTTTTATGTGGTTTATGATTTTATCTTCTTCTCCCACTCTTCTCCCGGATATTGTAATCGAATTGTGCGATTTAATCTACACGAAGGTCTCGTAAAGATCGGAGAAAGATGCCGAGATGTCTTGTTTTCTAAATGTTCTTGCCTAAAAGTTCATAAGAATCACCTTACACTGATAAGCTGTGCACATTTTGTAGGTGTAGAAAATACTTAACTCTGCGTAATCTGAACTCGATTATTTAGTGTATAAGCCTACCTTTTTTGAATACGTAATAGAAACACAAACTTTATCTAACAGTTGAAATCTCTGAATGGGCATCAATTGAGGTGAAAATCTCAGTTATACAGTGTGTGATCTTGAAAACGAAACTGCTGAATATTACTGAATTGCTAATAATGCTCTGTGCGTGAGCAATGATGAGATTCTGAGAATTACTTGCAGATGAGAGTCTTTCCTGCCCCCAACGGTGCAATTGTCGAATCCAGCGCGACGCTCTGAAGGCGGTTTGGGGTCAGTTCTCTGTAATTTTTCAGCCAAGGTGAATTGTGTCTGTCAATGAACTTGATATTGCAGCATGCAATTGATTTTCTGCACGGCAACACCAACCAATTCCTCTGCAATTTCTGGATTTACCCGCACTCACCATCGTGGGTATTTCTGTAATTTTGTCACAAATACTTGCATAATGACCATGAAGTCAATCCCTCTGATGAAAAGTGAAAGGTGCAACCGCAGCTTCAGTGTGGCGACCGTTAAAACGAGCAATAAGGAGAAAAAAGCAGAAACACAGAGAAGATTTGAGGCCTCTTTTTGTGCGGTGTTTTCCCACCCATCAGGGAAGACTTTTTGGGGGATTTTCACAGAACAGAACCAGATTTGTCACAGAAGTCTTTTTGTAGCGTCTGTGGTTGTCAAGCAACAATAAACCACAAGAGCCAGAGCTAAAACAGCACTTTTTGCCGTATCGTGGAAGTGAATCAAATGTATGGAGAAAAATCTGGTGGATTAACTATATCACATGACGCGGAATTCTGCCGAGTGAATCAACAACATAATAAAACTGTGACCGAAAAGCGAGAGTGATGCCAAGATAGATTCATCATTGATTTCCTCTTGAAGCGAAACCCTCGACGAGCGCGGGGGTGTTCTCAGTGGGATACTTAGTGGAACGGAAGTGATGTCGATGGGCAGAGAAAAAAAAGGATTGCCGAAGGTTAGGAGGACATCGAGTGAGTCGCCAGAATTGGCACAAATAAACCCACCGACAATTGGCCAAGTTTCAAGGCTTCATCTCGGCCCCAGAAGAAAATCCCATCTCACTCTGGTGGCTTCTGCAAAAATTGTGCCATTCTCTGTTGATGTAATTGCAACAAATTGGGAGGTATGTTGCAAAGTATTCGACGCAGAATGAAGCCATTCTTGGGCGACAATAAATTTGCAAGAAAAGAAGGTCAGTATCATAAAGAATTGTGGAGTAATTGAATCACTGCAGTTACAGATATTGCGAAATCTATCTTAGTGGAATCAGGACAGATTTTATTCAATGACATAGAAAAAAAAATGCTTTGAGATTTTTCATCAACACTAGAACTACCTAAAAATGTTTTCTGGTCACAGGTTTCTATGCGTTTCGCCGTTCAACACATAGAATTTTATCTAATCATTATATATTTTGTGTAATTGAATATGAAAAACATTTATCGACTTATAAAAAAGTTCAACATTCTCAGCAGTTCTAGTGTTAAATAATTCGTAATGCTTGATTGCATTTATTCTAAATATTTTTCTGGGTGTAGGATAATGAATGGTCGATGTCTGCTCGCGTGAATTCTTGAAGTACACACTTGCAAGTTTGAGAAAAAAGACAGCACAACTATTGAGACTTTAGAAAATGGTTCATTAAACTTGTCTGAAACACTTCGTGACGGCACAAGGTCAGCTCTCATGGGGAAAAACGACTCTGTTGGCACAGAGAATATCTCTTTGACTTCCAGCGTGAAGTCCGGAGAGATCTCTTGGTATCGCACACAATAAATTGGGATAAATTGAACCATAATTTCGACATTTCTCAAAAGACACATTTTCGCCATCAAATGCGAGAGATGCTCAAAGTGAGTAAAATATGGCATGTCATTAATAATTGCTATAGAAGATGTCTAAATGTGTGATGTCAACATTCCTCTTTGCCGCTTCCTTCCCCTCATTGAATGCCATGTATTTTTCATCCTTTCCACGAAAAAAGTCCTTCCGCGCAATTTGTTGCACGCCGAAACTCGTGTTGGGCCATTAATATCCTATGGCCGAGTGGGTTTGTAATTAAAAATCCCATTAAAATGGACATGATTTTGGGATTACTTTTGCCACTGCAGTTGTATTAATTATGATTGATGTTTGGTAAATTAAACTAATTGAGCATCGTTAGATGTCCATATTGCATTCAGAATCCCCGTCATATTTTATGAATTCTCATTTTACATGGATTATACAGTTTATTGGGGGAGAGAGAGAGAGTGAATGAATAAGTAAAAATGTGTCATGAATGGCTTTAATATTGGAGGATTCTGTTCAAATGGATGTTGTCTCCCGGGCAAAACAACACGGAACTACATATATGTGTGTATTATGAAATTTCAATGTCACTGCCTGAAAATCGCGCGCTGTGCCCAACTCGGAGTTAAGACATCACATTATACTTCAATTAAATTCCATTCAAATAACAGCCGGACAAGTGTGTTTTTTTTTCGCCACATGATAAAATCAAATCATTGACGATATTTAATGGCATTTACTCCAAAAATCATTAATTCATGCTGTTACACAAGACTGCCGCTTTTTTCCGCACTGGTCGACAAATTTGTCCAATCAGTCACAGAGTGTTAATTCACTGTGATCTACACGAGACGTAATATCACCTGCGAGATCTTCTTGATGTCTTTTTGTTCGTCTCACTGAGAGATTAATGGAGTAAATTGATCAGTCTGCGCGCTCCAATTTGCCGTCTACTCACTCGTGACTTCGCTGGATGGCATTTGCCAGGGAAATATTGGCCATTAAAGTGAGTTGAATTGGAATTTAATTGTGTATGTTTGCCACCCTCGAGGGGGTGGTGAATGTGAGCAATAAAAGAAGGAACGACACGCAAATATTGAAGTTTCCCTTCATTCTCGACTAAGGAGCTGATAAATATTTTATCTTTCTCATTTGAGCACATTCAATGGCGGAGTAGAAGAAGTGAATAGAATATAAAAAAGAATTTACACGTTTATATTGAAGTTCCATCCTCTACTTCGTCAATTCATTCATTCACTATGACACAGAGTTGCTATTTGTCACGCAGATTATAGAATAGATCAATTTTCAGGACAATCGAGGCAGAGATTTCATGTGTGTGCGAGGATTAAAATTGTTGTGACAATTGTGATGATCTTCTTGGCAGATATTTAGAGCTTCATGCTCTTATTAGTCGTATTCAGAAAGTTCCTATTTTGTTCTAAGACACATTTTTCTGAATTTGCAATTGCATTCAAATCTTACATTTGAATATCAATCTTTCCAGTTCTTTCTAGAGATCCTCAAGTCATCGATATTGCCACCTTTTCTCACTCATCAATAATTGTACAAGACTTCTCTTCCTCGAATCACATCTTATGCCGGAGCTGAGCGATTTGCCATACAGCGGAGGATTCGACTTATAAATTGGAAATACATATTTCACGAGATTCATAGCTTTCTGACGTGATCCATATCCAGTGTTGCTGTATCACCCCAACTCAGTGGAATTATTATCGAAACATCTTTCGCCCTTATATCATCTGCAGTGGCAGCGGGTCCTCGGCAAAATGGTCTGATGGAGCCTCTCAAGTACGGTTTGAGGGAGAGATGTATTATGGGGGCACTAAATGGAGGCATTATGGTCCTGCCTCTATTGTTATATCGCCTAGTACTACTGAAAATTGTGGGGAGAGCCAATCATTTCTCCAATTCTTTGTGATTTGTGCGCCTAAGCCCATAAATTGTGGCGTGAGCATCGAGATAAATTATGTGTTTTCACGGATTAATGGATTATTAATCTACATTTTGTCGGGTAGTTTCTCATGTAGCGGAAAAATTCGTGGGTGGGTCTTGAATATTAAAAAAGGCTGTGTGTGTGGGGGATGAGCACTCCATCATTCCTCACGTGAAACTGTGGGATGTCTCGTGATATTTCAAACATGGTACATTCCGGAATGAATAGATGGGAAAATATGTTTTCCTTTCAATGGAACTGGAAAATACAATTGAAATGTGATTCACAAAAGTTTCACCCACTCTTTCGCTGTGACAATACTGGAAGTTTCCCCATTTCATTGGGAATATCAATGTTGCCAGAATGCTGCACAAGGTCTAGGAGATTTTCCACCCCCGCTCCCACACACGTTCGACGCAATTTTGTGGACAGAGGACGTGAATATGGTCAGAATATTCTTATACATCGAGCCCTACTCTGACACTCTCTTTCTCTCTCTTTCTCCTTCCATTACATTTTCACGAGATTCTGGAACTTTTATAGTGTCTCCTCCTTATTGTCTCTCTTGGCAACTTTGTGTAGGAATTTCTTATGCCTCCTCACGGAATCACATAAAAATGCACGATGGAACCTGAATTGCGAATTAGCTTTCCTTACAAAGGCGAAGGACTTTCTCGAGAGTGTGCAAAAAGTAGGTGTAGACTTTTCACAAGGCATATTTCCTAAGTAGCACCTTAACAGCGACGCTTCAATGCTGCGAGGATTGCTAAATGAAAAGTAATCAAATGCCGACGAACGTCTCCAACCATATCTGCTTCTGCAGCAGCTCACAGATATTGAGAGTGAATATTAGTTTTCCAACTTAGTATTACTTACTTATTAGGACACGCAAATTTTAACTAAAGAAAATTTTTGATAATAAAATATTTTTGAGAGATCAATAAAAGTGGGCGGGACTTCAGAAAGGGCAAGTTTTTAAATGGGCGGAGCAATAATCTCCCTTAAATTTACGTGCTCCATCTGTGCGGCTAGAGAAATTTCATGATTTGTTATTCATTCTCTGCTCTATAGAATTCCTCGGAAGCCTTTTAATGCGCATAAGTGGACAGATTACACTGCGGAATCCTAGTTGAATCGTGTACGCTCTAACTATTACCGAAGGCAGACAATTGAAGCACCCACTAGAGTTCCACCAACGCAATGTGATTCCCAAAATTTCTGGAATTAATTTGAAAATCCAACGATTCAAGCATCCTCTTGAGGTGCTGTGAGTCATGCAGCCTAGCGTAAATTTTCCCAATCCACATCTTCATGGCGTTTTCCATCTCTATCGCGTGAATGTGTGAGAGACAAGTGATACATATATCAATCCCAATTTATATTGTTGCGAATTATTTATCTCTCGCCTTTGCCTTGCCAGGAGAAAGAGAGGATATGCCGTAACCATAGTTGACTTGCCATGGACATGCGCCGTGCCACTCTCTGAAGCTCTGGTGGCCTGATGAGCTTTTCACATGAAAGCCCAACACTCAGTTGGCACTCTCAGTTCGTCCTGGAGAGCTACACTTGTCCAGACATTGGAAACTCGTGTGTTGACTGGCATTTCAGTTTTTGGTGCTAAGGAGTGACGTTGAGTGAGAGTGTGAGATTTGGTTCGCCACCAAAGTCTGCAAACCTTTGCCTCGACCGCCGATATATTTGGAGTTGAGGCCACAGTCGGAGTGAAATATGACAAGTTAGTTGGTGGCGTGTATTTGCATCGAGACTGCACACAACTCCACTTTGTCTGTCTGACCGTCTGGTTTATGGCTTTCACCCACCCATTTCCTCGGACCATTTTTTGGGACAGAAGACAGAGCCTGAAAAGACACTTGTGGCAGAAAGGGGGTGTTCACGGGGCAAAAGCACAAATCAAATAGCATTGTGAAAGCTTGTACAGTCATTTTCGCAGTTGTCGACACAATAAAAAGACCACCCCTCCAGAGAGCATTCACAACTCTACGGAGGGCGAGTGAAGTGTGAAGGATTTTTCTGTGTGAAGGCGAAACGCCAAAGCTCAACAACACCCCAACAGTGTGACAACACATTAGAGCCCAGCATTTCATTGATTTTGTGTATTTTTCCCATGTTCACCGCATCACTTATTGGCCTCCTTTCGCGCTGGTGCACCGAGTGACGGAGCTTCTGAGGTGAAGAGCCAGCAAAAGAGCAAAGGTGGCTCAATTGACACTGTAGGGCGAAATTCTAATACATCCCACAAATATCCATCGATGCTGTGCGAGATCCATTTCGAGGCAGGGACACAAGCAGAGCAGTTCATGCAGATCCTCATCTAACAGGTGAGCTCTTGACTTTCCCCAACCATGTGCTCAAATTGCAATCCACTGAGAGTCAGTCAGAGAGAGTAGTTTACCAGCATCCGGTTGCATCCCATTCGACATTCAAATTGGCTGAATTTCATCATTTGGCCTGGGGATTGCACACGATAATTGCAAAAGTTCCACGAGAGCGGCTTGCAATTTGAGCGTAACAGGAAAGCTCTTATCAATATTGATGGCAATTTCTACGCCAGAAAAGCTCTAATCATAAACACAGACCGTTAATTAAGTAATAGTTTCACTCTGGCAAAAATTAACAGTGAAATTCTCCTAATTTCCCTTATGCTTGCGGGTTCGTCAAAGTTCATAAATTTCCTTGTGCGGCGGAATATTGTTTTACAACCCCTTTCATTACCGAAGTATAGCTTGAGTTATAATGAACTTACCGCTGTGAAGTCCCTCGCTTAGAATATATTGTTGAGCAAACCCTACGGAGTAGTTTCGCAATTTCTTTAGAAAATGTGTAATATTACCTATTAAGAAATTGGCGTGTCAAAGTTATGCTTTATGCATTGTTTAATCTTTGACAGGATATGAAATACTCCTTACACATCATATAACATGAAAAATGATAAAATTTCTTTACTTGATAATGGTAAAGTCTATTTGTCTCGCATCGTTGAAAGCATAATTTTAGCAAACTAACGTCAAATAGACGTCTGCAGAGAAACTGCGAGACCGAAGTGTTATTAGGGATGCTTTGAGTACTTCTCTCGAGATTTCGCTATATATCATCATCAGCATCTCCACCCCTTGGGCGCAGAATATGTGCATGAAGATGATACAAAAGCCAACCATTAGCATTAAACATTGTTCTTGTGTATTTATTCTAAACAAAATGACTGGAGGAAGAAGTTGTGCCTTTGTTGCGTCGGTTTTTGTCTCTGGGAAAAATGATGAGTTGCTCGCAAGGGTTGGGTCAAATAGGTCTGCACAACAGAGAAAATCTCTTTAACGTGCATGACTTTAACTATTTCCACATCGCGAGCAGTGAATGAGAAGAGCTTTGTCGTGTTCTCTCATATTTTACCCGGTCGTCGAGGACTGTGGAAAAAGAGGAGGAAAGTCTGTCCTAGCTAATTATGCCAACTTTTTTGCACCGCACATCGCAAAAAAGCTCCCTCTCCATGAGAGTCTCTTATCACGTTCCATCGTACAAAAGTCGAACACGTTTGAGGAGAGACTTTGGTAATATTTCTTCGTATATCTCGTGCTCTTGAGTGTCTTGTCTCACACCCACAGCCGCCCACACCTCCGCCAGAGAGCTTTTAAATGCACTCACAGCACTAAAAGTTAAACAAGAGAGCAATAAATTACAAATATGCTTCGGTGAAGCATATTCACATGGACTTGTGACAGGCCAATAGCATTGGATGTGATCTCAGCGTCGAGATCGTGAGCTTTTGGCGACGCACGAGATGCATTACCAAGTTCACAAGCGCACTGATTTATTGCTACATCGAATTTATGACCCCGATTATGACTCAATTAAGTCGTGAATTGTCAATTGTACCTATCATTAATAGATGTTTCGTACCCGCGATGTTTCTATCCGCGTGACATCAATTAAAATGAGATCACATTTGTTATGTGGAGCACGATTGGTGTTGAACGGAAGTTGAACATTGTATTGTAACAGATTTCTTTCCGCATGTTGAAATCCCAGGCAAATAGCGAGGATGACATTGAGCAAGGAAAAATTGACAATGCCGAGAGAAAAAATTGGGAATATGTAAGCGAACTTATTGAAAAAGTATTCAATAGGAATTACTTGTGCGCGCTTAATCTGATATTTATCTCAGAGTTGATTAAAGCTCAAGGAAATGGAAAAATCGCGGTCTCACTGCCAAAGATAGGTACGGTACAATCACGTACGGAGTTTGGAGTAACTCTCATGCTATCAGACTAAAGATCAACTATATGCCACTAATTGAGAACACATGCTAACGCCGACGAAGGTGTAAGTCAATTAAATCTGAATTTGTGGAAAGTCTAAACAACACTGTGTATACAATAAATACAGGAGTACAGCGTACATTAATCCCGATGAATAGTGCCGAACAATAATTATCCAGAAAGTGGGCTTTGTCACGTCATATTATTGGGTCTCATGAGCCACATCCTTACCCAGGGAGTGTTTGCACAGCCGCCACCCCTTCCACGTGTGTGTGTGTGGGATGATTTGAGTTGGGGAATCTGACAACCGATGAGCGACACACATCATCCATTATTCCTCCCCAGCCGCAGCCCGAGGACAGGCTGAGGAGGTGCACGAGAACAAGACAAAGCGCTCCGGGGAGGCTCTGGGTGGCCAGGTGCTCCAAATATGAGCGACGATGTGGAGGTTGTCGCACAGTTCGGAGCGCGTAAAAGCGCTCAAAAGGTGTGCTTGGGACACACCATGAAAGCGCTAGAAAAGCACACACATGACTATGAGAGCTTCACACAATTTGTCTTGGAGCTCTCATAACTTTTCACAAGAAGCGTCGCTCTTCTACATTTTATATCCATCCCTCGTATAACATCGCTTTCGTCCTCACGCAAAGTGAGTGCTTTCAGTACTCAATGCGGTGAAGTGAAGTGTGCGCTGAAAAATGAGAAAGATCGGAAATATTTCGCCAGAAAGCATGAAACATTTCACTTGCATGCTCGAGAGGGCGGAGCGTAGAAATGAACTAGAAAGAAAAGATTGTTTACTCTAAAGAAAACACACGAAATGACTCTGCAGACCTACGTCTAAAACGAAGGATTTAGAAATTCAGTGCTTTTCCTCTGGATGAGGTAAATTCCACGTGGAATGTTTGAAAGATTCAACCCTCTCGAAGCCACGTACGCTAATGCTCATGGTGAGGGACAGAGGACTCCCAGCACATCTTAAAAGGCAGTGAAATGGGTTTGGCGGAGCGTGAGAGACACCCTTAATCACTAGGGGTCGAGACCGATGGGCCCCAGATTATGTTATTAATATTAACCCAAAATACTGTAAAATATTTTATTAGAGATCTCACTTATTGTGACAAGAGCTCTTGAGCCTCACAGTCACTCTCTGGAGCTTTTGTCGGCCTAACAATCCACCCGTGAGTGTGAAAGAGCAATCATGGGGCGGATTGAGGGGAAGTTTTCGTCTCTTATGTGCAAACACACGGCGATAGTGAAGATGTGGGAGTGTGAAATGTAAAGGAAAAGGATCAGATTTCGCCAGGTTTCAGCCCTGAGTGAGTGTTGATGATGATAATAAATGGGTCATTTCTTTTCACCTTCTCATATTATGTACACATAGTGAGCTTTACGGATCCGCTTCAAAGTAGAGGTATTAAACTGCATTACACATATTAAATTTCTCCGAATGAGTGATGAATGTGGGAGAAAAATGCGAGAGAGCTTTCTGTGTTCCACCTGCACGGAAGTTGGGTGCCAATTCAATTTTCCGATCGGTCGTTTGATTGTCATTTCTCTGCACTTACTGTTTGTCAAACGCTGCAGATACGTGCTCGCATGACACGGGACGTAATGTAGCCCAGAGTTATGGGAATCGGATATGGCAGGAGGAAGAGATAGGGTGCGAGAGCGAAGGAGGGCAAAAAACCTCAATGCTATTCACACATGAATGGGTCTATTCCGTGATGAGATTGATTGAAAATTGTGGCCACGACGGATGCTTTTTATTCGTACTTTTTTGTCCATCTCTCACCTTCTCGCTCTGTGTCAAAGCACAGTTAAGTCCTGAAGAGCCCAAAGTTTTTGTCCATCATCCGGTAGTTTTGCTCAATAAGGAAATTTGAGCGCAATATTTGGGAATTTTTGCCAGCGAATAGCAGCCTGAACAGGAAAAACTCTCCATTATAATTGACGTGGCGTGATTATTTTTAGTATAATAGAGTGGAAGAGGACCAAGAAAATTAGATTCGGTACCTTCCTTCCTTCCTTCCGTCAAAACCCATCCTTTGGTCCGATATTTAACGCAATATAATGTGCGAGAGTGGGTGAATGCGTAATTTCCCAGTGCGAAGAATAGAAGTGCGGTGTGAATGGGAGGAAAACAATTTTCCTATTATTTTTTGGCCTCATTTTTCATTTTCATTTTCCAATGATCTTCTCTTCGCCCGCCAGACAGACATGCCAAGTGTGACAGCCCAACTTTTTGCCGCATTTCGTTGAGATTGTGCCAAAGAAATTGTGCGTAGTACATTTCAATCGAGAGAAATCACAAACATTTACTGCACAACGCACATGTGTTTGGACTCCATTCGCCTCATTCCTCAGCCGCAATATCTTACCGATTTATGGACCATGTTTGGCGCAATCGAGGAAGTGCTTCGAGAGTAAAACCGCAAAGTGAAATATATGTGAAATATATGTGCAAGTTCAAGAGTATTTCCGGCACTAGATAGTGGGCGATATGATTTAATTAATTCGCTTGACTTTCTAGAACGGAAAAGGGAAATTTGATTCACCCAGGAAGTGGCACTTAGAAATGCCCCAGAGACGACTTTTAAGGGCATCACAAAAGCTTCCGATCAGACTGGCAATTTTGCACGGGAATACGGAAGAAATGTGAAATGTTTTCACGGATTTTTGTTCACGCCATTTTCGCAAAAATCATCGCGCCAATTACACGCATGCAAAACACATGTACAGTCAATTTTGTGAGAAATCAATTGAGAGTGTTTTATGGGAAATACTACAAATTTCATTCACTGTAAATTTAGATTCAACAAAAATTTGCAAGGTTTCAACTCCCTCTGAGCTTTGTCTTACAGTTCTCTAACTGTTGGATTCCTCGAAAAACCTTGTCCCATTTCATTACACATTCTTCTCAATTCATGCCACGTGAACTGACGTGGAATATGAATTTTCGTTGCACACATGGAAGTCACTTGACTGTTGAGTGTTCTACGAGATGTTATTTGTCTGAATGTGAATTGCATAGTATACGGAAATGATATTGAAATTGGATGAAATGTTAGGAAAAAAACACTATCTCTATTATAGGCAGAACGCAATTTCACTGGAAGTAATTTCAATCCAGCTACATAATGAAGTAAATATTTGTGTAGGTGTCCATAGATTAAGCTATAATATGATTTTCTCCGAATTTACTCGCAAATTAACTTACCAGGAATTGTACTTGTGTATTGATGCAGTTCTGCAAACGTTAATGCCTGGGTAATGAGCACCAATTTAATAATATCATGACAATTCGTGCTCATTAAGCCGTCCCTCGTGCATTGTGCCGTGGAGTATGCGGTGGCGGAGGATGTCCTGGAAATGATGTTGTCACAAACTGGTGCAACATGAGAGGATGATAAAGCTCTGGCCCAGGCTGCAATGCAATCAATGTTCAACCACGGTTGCATGGAAACACGCTTCACAGAGATAAATAAATAATTTCTGTATGAAAGTTTGTGGTCGGAACAGAGAAACAGATGCTGTGTTAAATGAGAAGAATGGAAGCTACAATTTCTTGCCATTTGCACATTTACCATTCTGCCGCATATGATTAATGAAGATTTCATAAAATGTCCCATTCTCCTTCTATTTCATTAATTTCGACAATGAAAAGCTTTTTCGCTGACGCTTTACTTTGTCTCATTTTCCTCTATACCTTTCATAGAGAGACGAGGAGAGAGCTTTTTCATCCCACAATCACAAGCTGTGATTTCTATACCTGATGAGCAAATGTTAACTCCCCAGGCGTGACGTCAATTCCGCCCACAGATTTTTTAAAGTCTCCCTCACCATTTACAGGATGTCTTCGGCAAACAGAAATGGTCTCGCAATAACGCAATATCGCAAAATATGTCACTCAGCCGGAGAAATAAAAAGAACATTGATAAGTACACGCGGGGCTTTGCTTTGTGGGTTGAGATGAGAATTCTGGAGGTAGCTTGAGTTCGTGGTGGTCTTGAAAGTGCAACTGAAGAAATTTGTTAGGATTTTCACAAACATTTAATGCAAACAAGAGCTACAGTACACTATTTTTGATCCAATTCATTTTTTCTGCCAGTTCAACTTATCTTTTTTGAGGTGTTTTACTAGATTTTCACTAACTGGATAAATCTCTAACTTTTAATTATAACACAATCAAAATGAACGATTTGTATTTAAAACATTTCTCTTCATTCCTTCCAGTTGAGTCTTGTTGTGCAGAATCCGCGGCAAATGGGGAGTCTACCGAATTTGAATGATCTATATCGCGAGCGGGAGGAGAAGAAGACGCGCGAGAAGGAGCGAGAATTGGCCAGGGAATTGGCGAGAGAGCGTGATTTCTCCAGAGACCGAGATCGGGATCGTCTTCCCGTGTTCACACACCAGGTGAGTTGTGCGGGATCATGTAACATTTAAGGCGATTCCCCGGGAAAAGGGAAGCAGACACTGATTTACGACCAAGGCCAGTTTGCATGGAACATTCATAAATCGAAGAGCTACAGTGGGGACGCCGGGTATTTGCAATTCACTCTCTGCGCCACAATATATGCTGATGTGTGCGATGGGATGGGAACAGGGTGGCAGAGAGATAGTGCTTTCAGGAGAATCTGCCCCATATTTCTCCCCATTCCACGCGTGCCGTTTAATTCCTTCATCCTTGATTAAATGAAAAATCCCCTTTTGTATAGGCGCCACTTCCGAAGCAGCCCCATAGACATTCATTAACCAGCAGACGAGTCCTGCGAACACGGAGCTCAGGTGCAACTTATCACATTTGGGATGATCCCATGATTGAGGTGAGTCTTATCTCTTGCTCAACCTTGACACTTTCAGTCTCTTCTGAGGATGTGAGTGTGTGGGATTCAGGAAAATGCACCGTCATCTCTAATCCCCGCCCTTTTCTCGCTCTAAGCTGATTTTTCTCGGCATAAATCTCACGCAAATTTCCCAGAATTCACCCCCATTCAGTATCGTCACGGAGTTTATCAAGTTTCTCGGGAAGCGCGGGAAAGAAATCTCATCTGGTTTTCTGGCCGTAATTACAAACTTCCTCAATTTTTTCCTTCGCCCCACTTGGAGAACGAATAATTCTGTTCTTTTTTCGCTTTATTGACACTTTCCAGAATTGATCTTCTCTCTTGATGACAGAAACTTTTATTACATTCGCTCATCTCGTGATGTGTGTATGATAAAATTTTAATCAGTTAACTAAAGCTTGACGTATTAATTAAAATGATTTAACAGCAGCAATGGAAAAGCTTTGGGAAATCATAGAAAATCAGAGAGTGAGAATGAAAGCAGCGTTTTCAATTTTTAATTAGTCTGGGATTTTATGTTTCAGGATTTATTAAATGTAGGTCATAAAGTTCGTAGCAAAGGGCTGTTCATTGCAACATGAAAGAATCTGATTTGTTATTTTGAATTTATTTTGCTATTTAGTCTTAAAGCTGACCATGAAGAACTTCATACTTAGGTTTTGTTTCCACACAAGTTGGGATCAAAGTTTGAGGACTTTGCAGGCAAAAAGCCCTGCCCCTGAGGTTCAGAACTGTAAGTTAGAGGACTTTTCCTGTGCTTTTCATGGTCCTTTCATTTGAGAGTGTATCCCAAAATCCATATCATCTGTCTTTATGACCTTTTCAGACATTCCTGCGCGTGCACGTGTCTGTGCTTTTTCTTTACAAAAGGATCAAGAATTGAAATAATTACAGTGTCTCATGGTCTTATTTGAGGGTGGAGATTAAACAAGACCATTTTCATTATATCTCCCTTTGATATGGTGGAATTTTCCCCTCCGGAGTGCCGCCCAACTTGTCGTGCTTTTTCTCCAATCCACACACCCGCCCCATTGAGATGTTTGCTATGTACAATAAGCAAATTGGTGTCCTCACATAGGAATCATCAGTCTCAAGGCTTCACTTAATCCCACATCACATAAACTTGTGTCTTGTGTTCAGCATTATTTACTCTGCCACAAGAATTGTTTGTTCACCGCCGAAAGACTTTAGAAGAGGCTTTACCATCACTTTTGGATCACTTTCGTCTCGTTAAACTTGTGTGCGTCCAAACACAGAAATAGATACATAAGAAAAGAAATCACGCTTCGCTCACGGATCGAAAGGGTGAAAGAGAGTGAGCATAATTCAATGTGAAACGTGACTAATATTTCCTCGCAGTCGCACGAAACTTTCGTCATCTTTCTTCGCTTTTCCCTGGCACTGGAGTGCTGAGAAGATGAGTGAAAGAAAACAAATCAATGGTAATAACCATTTTATTTAATTTCCCCATTTTGTCACCAGTTCAACCACACAAGAAACGATGCCAGCAATTTCCTCACACCGTCGGCCTATTTTCAAGCTCAGAGGACTGAGAAGATCCTCGGCAATCCATACTCACAGATGAAAGGGAATAAGGATGAATTTTCCAGACAGTAAAATTTGAATATGTTGCACGTCCTCGATTTCTTTCACGACCACTCACCAGTGGCGTAGTGAAGATTAGGCGGAGGCAAATTTATAAATAATTTCACTTTTCATTTGCTTTTCCGAGAAGTCACTGTATTTCAATATTTTTTCATAATAAAAGAATTTATCCAGACAGAACTTAGTCTAAAAGTTCTTGAATTCACCCGGAAAATTGGAAAAAATGCTTATTTTTCAAATTACTTATCTTAGAGAAAAATCTGCTCCGGCACTGTGCGTATCATTGATGGAGGAAAATGTGTGGTTCAAGGAGAATTCTCAATGATATACTTTTATCCGCTGGAGTACAATAAAATTAAAATTCCTCCCCTCTGCAATTGGATTGCGAATTCCTTCACCACAGGCTCTCGTTATACACATCTTTGGACCTAATCATTTATCCATAATTCAAATCCACCCCCAAAAGTCTCTCGTCCATGAGAATTCTTCGGGCATTGCTCTCTGAGTTGTCTCATTTGTTAAATCTCTGGGCGCACAATTGAAAGCGATGTGATGAATTTCACATAGAGAATTGTTGAATTTTTAACAAACGCGCTTCGGTCAAAGGAATCAAATTGAATTTTTCCCGTGAATTCGTGGAATGCTCTACTCTCAGAATTCCTATGACGTGCTTTTTGTGCAAAATTTGGACAAAGTGCAGATGGACACGGAGTGTTTGCATAGTGTAGTTTTTCTATATCGTGCTATGTCCTCACTTAAATTGGAGATGGTTGCCAAGCGAGGACGTAGAATGTGATATGAATGGCTCATAGAAAAGGCATTCTCAACTTTATTATTTGATCCCTCTTTTCACTCTATTGGCCATTGGGTGATTGAATGAGCATTCTCCACGGGATTAGTTTCAGTCCCCAGCAAATAGTGGAGAATATATATTTGGTTGTTGTTTCCCGAGAGAAATCTTCATGCGATTTATTTGTTTATCTCATACGTTTTTCCACCCTCGTTTTTGTTGTGTATATGAAATTCTGCTATTATTCACAAGATTTCGATCCCATCGCGTTCAGCCTTCTGGCAATTGACAACACACAGAATCTTGGTCTCCGCCAGGGTGAATGACTGGAATATTATATTTCAAAGGCACACAACAGTCGTGAGATGATGTGCGAGGGTCTGATGTGAATAATTTCCCATTCTAGCATATGACCGCCTATTCGCCCATCTCGTCCCGCAGCCACCGCGTGGGGCCGCAGAGCCAACCGCCGCTGAGTGGCCTCGCGGGCCCCGTGAACACGCGGGCGCGTCGTGACTCCGTCAACAGCTCAATCGGCGCCAACTCCGTGCGACGCCTCCTGACCGTGAATCGTGGGTGTCGCCATAAGATCCCAGTTCACGTTCGTGCCAAAGTAATAAAGAATTTTATATTGCTAGTTATCGCTCACGGATTAACCACAGCCGCCTTAGTGCCTCTCATCGGATTACAGGTGAGTGTCATCGTCCAAATCCCGACGCAAAGTCCCGTGATAAATTTTTAAGTCCCCCAAATTGGCCCGGAAACTTTATCCTCGTGAGTCAGAGTTGTGGAACAGAAATTGCATGAGATTCACTCATTAGAGGCGTAGTGAAAAGACATTAAAATCCTACCGCAAAATTCGATTTTTATTGAATTCCAATGATTTTAAAACAAAATTTCTCTACTATCTTCCCTTATTTCTATGATGATTCAGCAAAAGAGTCGATAGTCGAAGCTTTATTTTCACATCAATGATGCTTCACTTTTCACAGAGCTTTAATTTATATTTTGCGGTGTGTCTACAAGAGTCTGCTTCTAAAGAAAATTCACTCAAGTTTTACATGAACAGACAACAACAGATAATCTAATAGACATACACAATCGATAAGAATTTCAATTCAAAAGAGTATCAAGCGCGACACCACTGTCTTCGCATTGAGTTACTTAGTGATGCTTATCTGCTGTCTATTCAACTCTGTCTCTAGGGTGAGAAGTCCATTTATAACTGCCCCCTAATCCAGTTTTAAATGCCCACAATTTATGTGGATTTAATTGACTCACCCTTTTCCCAAACAGGGATCCAGCTCTGCATGGTTCGAACAGAACTCGTGGATCTATTTCGGGCCAGACATTGGCTCCATTCTGCTCAGCCTCAGCTTCTTCATCACGGCCGGCATGTGCTTGCTGGCCACGCGCCTCATCCGGAAGCTCGGCTACTACGTTGTGATCCTCGTGAGCTACACCGGGCTCTGCGTGTACCTCGCCACGCACTTCTTCCCGTCAATCTACGTGCTGCTTCCGGGCTATGTGGTGCTAGGCATCACGCTGGGACCCGCCTGGGTAGGGAAGCAGAGTCTGGTAGTGTCCATGGCCGGAAAGCTGAGTTGTGGTCAGCACGAATGCTATCCAGCGGATGCTTATGACTCAGATCACCGGAATCTCTGCAGTCGGGAAGAGAATGTGCGTCGTTTGGCGAGATGGTATCACGCTGCCCAGGATTTGGGCATTATCTTCGGAGCCCTGCTGGCCTCGACGATCCTGTCGTGTGTTTCCAGAAGCGAGACAGCCTGTCTGAGTACGAACATCACCAGTGCATTTGTGCCTCTGCGACAAACTATAGAAATGGCAGGAATCCCAACGATGAATGCCACTAGAGTGGCAAATATCAGTGAATCCTCTCCACTGAACGGCACAAGCACTGAGAAATCCCTGATCATCTCACCCGAAGGCTTCCTGGACGCCTTCTTCGACACGAATGAGCACGGAGAGAGGATTTGCGGGGCGGATTTGTGTCCCGTTTGGTTGAGACCTACTCAATTTGGCAATGCCTCGGAGATCTTGAGTGGCTCCTTTGAGCTCCACATCGGCACGAAGACCATCATCGGAGTATTCCTAGGCATGTCGCTCATCGCGCTGGCGCTCAGCTCGCTCTCCGGCCACATCGACAGTAATTTGCGCGTGGAGCCGATCCGTGGCATCTCCGACACGCTCCTGTTCGCCGGTCCGATGGCCTATTTCATTGGCACAGAGCAGGGATACATCCTCTCGGATTATATGAAGGTGAGAGGATTACTATTGAGGAAAGAGTGGTACACAAATTGCTGAGAAAATTATGCAAATACCATAATCTTGCTTTGAGGGCATTCACAATTGGAGCACAATAGCGGCATTTGAGAAGTCTTTGCCATATCCGTTGTGTGTTTTATGAAATTTTTACAAGATACCCTGAAGAATACAGAGGATATTCTTGGGATCATTTTATAATATTTGCATAATTGACCGGTGTTCTCGAGGAGGTTGGGCAATTTGATATTCCGACAGCATCCCACGTGCAGCTTATCACGATTTCCAATTCGGCCAGTACTGACCTACTTGCCGTCCCGTGCATAGAAAATCGTGCAGCAAGTAAACAGCGGAATAATTGTGGGGAATTAATTCCCTTATTCAGTTAGTGTCATCAATTTATACGGTATCGCTCGCCTGATTGAGACTGACGGGGTGGAAAGTGTCTCGGTGCCCAGCATCTCGGCACAGGAGACGCTGCGCGACAATGAGCTTTCTGGGTGTGTGGAAAAAGTTTTAATCAATGTCAAGATTTCGTGTAAAAGTAAACTGTCAGCGTGTTCGCTTGAGAAAATTGCTGGAGTTCAAGGGAAAGGGGCGCCCGATAGTGGGGTTGTTTGTCTCGCCTACACGAGAGAACTGGGAAGGTATACAAAAGAGTGTGTATATTCTTTAAGCTCATCTTCTCTGCAGTGGCGTAACAACAAATTGCACGTAACTTCTAATTCTTGTATATCATTCTGAGCATTTGCACTTCCTAAAAACCATGCGAATTACTCGATTGTACACTTTACCACAAACATTTGACTGAAAGGATCACAAAATCACAACTACGCCACTGCGGAACTCTCCTCTTTTCATATATTGCGGCGCGTTGTGGCGGTGAGGAACAATTTCAAATTCAATCTCTCCGCTGTTTTTTTTTCAATACGCCCCTAATAATATTAGCGTGTCATTTAAACTCCACAATGGCGAAGATAAATACGTGAAAATTTCACGTCTAAATGGCAATTTCTTTCCCAAAAGATGGTGTTTATGGAGTGAATAAGGGCGTTTGTGTGTGCCAAGGGTGGGAAAGTAAGCCAGTTTTGGGGTGTTTAGTGTGCAATTCAGAAAATCCCCAATGACTTTCTGTCTCTAATAAAAGATTGAGTAGATTCGCAAGAGTCTCACAGGCCAGAGAGGACAATGTATCGTGGGAATATTCCTTTTCACGCGCTCCTCAGGAATTGATTTCGGTGGTAAAAAGACCCTTCCCTGTTTGATCAGGAGTTTAGCACCATCAGGAAAGGTCAGAGAAGTCACGAAATTTCTCAAAATATCGGACCACGGAGGAATTTGAGCTGTGAATTTTGCATGGAAAACTTTAATTTCCTCTGGCGAAGAGTATTAAATTGAAGCATGATTAATGCTCTTCGTTTCTTGTCAGGAAGAAATCTCAGAGAAACCTTGAGCACAGGGTCATTTTTTGTGTCAGCTAAATACCCCCTTTCGCTTGTCCTTGGAGAGGCAAGAAAAAGGGTCGCCTAGGGAAAGTGAAAAGTGTTTTGAATTGATTTGATTTTAATGCTCAATCTTGCCATGTCTCGAGGCACACAATTTACGAATAAATTTCCTCTGTCTCCAGGCGTTCGTCTCGTGCTCCCTGGGACCCCACATGGTGGCCGGCGCCCTCGTTGGAATGGGCATAATGCAATCAATCGCTTCCTGCACCCTCAGCATGCTGTTGCGCCATACAAAGCGGATTGTTGTCATCGGTGAGTATCAGCAAATCCACGCTGTCCGGATGGAGTCTCTAATTGAATTTCTTCCGCTCCAGTGGCAGGATTTTTCTTCCACGCCTGCCTGTTGCTCGTGCTGTCGCAATGGAAACCGTCGAGTGATGATAGCGCCCTGTTCTATGTCATCACGGCCGCCTGGGGCGTGTGCAATGCCGTCTGGGAGACGCTCATCTTCGCCTTGGTCTCCATTACCCACACCAATCACGTGGCCGAGGTCACGTCGCCTCTCCAGGCGCTACGCTTCCTGGGCCTGGGCGTCACCTTCGCCGCCCACGGCTTCCTCTGCGAGAACCCCAAGATCCTCATCCTCTCCGTGCTCCTGGTCCTGTGCGTGCCGCCGTACGCGATGCTGGAGATGCGCCTGGAGGCGCAGAGAAAGTCGCAGGCGCCGCAATTGTGACGCTAACCCTCGGCCAGGAGCTCATCTGCGCCTTCGCTCCTGCAGTTGTCCGCCGCAAAGGCGCGCGAACCACGCCACAAGTCCACCTTTGCTCGACTCTGCATCCCTCCATCTCTAGTCCTTTACTACTACTATAACTCATTCAATACTCGATAAAGTGTGTCCCTTCTGGGCGAATGTTCTGTGTGAAAATATTGCAAGAGCCTGTGAAATTGCATTTTGAGGAAGTCGCTTTGGAGTTGATGATCACTTTTAGGTGCAATTGAGAGACACTCAGTTGAAATTAATCAAAAGAAACGATATTTTAAACAATTTCAAGATCCACATTTTTACATTCTTTTTGAAATTCATTGCGTTTTACTTAGATAGAAATATCTGGAATTTTCCAATTTCCTATGTTCATTATACCAGAGGTTAACGTACAAAATCAATTGATATTTCTTCCGGAATTCAAATAATTAATTTTTGATTGGTTTGTGTCTGAGATTTTTTCGAAATTTCCTTGATCTTGAGACAAAATATTTCTCTGAACATCTTGCTCTAATGCTTTCAAAGCAGAGCCCTAAAACTGAAATGGATTTTGAAGCATTTTCTCCTATTTGGCCTGAATAAGTGCACATGATCAAAAGACTTTCAAAATAGAATGTCAAATAGTAAGTCAATAATCCAGAAATATAATCAAAGATTAGCTTAACATATAGAACTTGTCTGCTGAACCCCAAAAATTGATTGATGTATTCAAGATATTATGAATCGTTTTATTGTGTAGGTGTGATATTGACGGTGCGAAATGTTAGCTGTTAAGAGATTATTAAGGAGATGAACTCAAGTGTGTGGACGTCACTGGTATCAAAAGTTCATAGTTAACAGCATATTTTGTATGGGCAAATACTGAAAATCTATTGGACTTTACCTCAGAGATGCGTTCCAATGTGAAAAATTCATGTGATCAACTTGGAGTCATGCAAAATTGTCGCCCTGTTTTTGAGCACGCTCAGTCCATTTGATAACGATGATAGTGTTGAATAAAATCGTTTAGGAGAAATCAAAAACTACAAGTATTATTTTACATATCAAAAGATTCATACAATTACTGTAATACTCAATTATGAGATAGTCGTGTAGGTGATAAGAAAGTCATTAATTGTGTGTAAATGAATGTAAGTTTATCTGAGTGGCTTCTGCGCTGGAGAAATGCTGGAATGATGCCACAAGTTGTTAACTGACAAGTCATATTGTGCGTAGATGCGAAATTCAGTTGAAGAAAATAAATATATGAGTAATTGTTAATACCGCAGTGATTTTTTTTGTCTTTGTAACGATTTCAGTTTTATTTCTGTAATAATTAAATTTTACAGCCATTGTTTCACTAATCATCATGTATTTAATATACCTAAAAGTTTAATTGAATTCGTTTGCATGTAGGTTTTCATCTCTTTTGCCTCTGTTCCACAGAAATCCTGCATTGTATTTCTCTCATTCATGAGATATTCCTGCAATTTTGAAACATTTTCGTTTTATTTGCCATGTGTTATTTGATTTTTGAAAATCGCAAAATCTGTCTTCTCTCGTACAGCAGCTGCTCAACTCACCAATGCAATTTCTGCTTCATCTTGCGGAGCGAGGAGTTCAACGAATAAATCCATGTGAGATTGCCATCAATTAAGAAAAGAAAAACTATAAGTTAAAGCATTTGACTCATCGCCATGAGAGTCAAATTAGCACGTGCTATTTATCAGTTTTACAAGAAGAGAATTTAAGTGATATCATTTTGTCAAAAACATTCGTCAATCCAATTGAACTTTATACATTCACATCAATTAATTTCTTACACTTCTCGTCACATTATTGTCAAGTGGATAAATATTCATTTTATCTATCGATACATTTTCTTGTATTCTTCATCATTTCATTTCATTTTTTTTTCTTTAATATTTAATTGCTTAGCGCAAACAGCACATCTAATATATTAATTTTAATTTATTTTTCAACCCATTTCATCTGCTTCCGCCTGCGATATAACATGTATACTTGAAATTTCATCAATATTACGTTAGCATTGTGTGTATTACATCATTTCTCATCTCTCGCCTTTAAACTATATGTATATTTTACAATTACTTTAATGGACATGATCCGATGTATTAGCTTGCTCGCTGATGTCTTCTCGGGGGCGCCAAAGCCACTGCAGTCCTCCAGGTCAACCCCATTGCCACCCCCGCGGCCCAGAGTACGCACAATACCGCGACTTTAGTGTTACAGTTTGTCAGTGGAATTTTCCTATGGATGGAATTGACAGGGTGCTCCAGATTCTGCATTCCGGAGAGTGAAAACGACGCACAATTTGCTGAGGGAATTTAATTGTATTGCGGAGGCCCTAAACTCAGAACACCCGCCTTTTGACTCCCTGTGCACAGAGTATATGTAGATTGAAGAATAGTGGAACAACTTCCATGTATGATTAAGATAAGAACCCTGGTTATTTGTGCTTGCAATATCCCTTCTCTTCAATATCATTCATCAGTATCTTTTACATTAATTCTTGCATCAAATTTGTGAGTATGTCAAAAGAGACTACAAATAAAATATTACATTTTCAAACAATAAAAGAAAATAAACAGATAATCTACAATCAAATTTGTAAAAATCACAAAAATACTATACAACACTTGATACAAATAAGATCTAATATGAAAAAAATAACTCTTCCTTCTCTGATGAAGATCGCGGTCTTTTTCATCGCCACACTTTTGACAGATTGTTTTCTTTCATTATTCCTAAAGTATATCTAACAGAACATCATTGTGTTGCAATTTCTCGCCTCTCCCCCTTCTCTCTCTCTCTCCATCCCGTCAATTCCAAGAGGTACTTCTGTGTAGTATAAGCTGTGAAACGAAATTTAGATGGGCACGTAATTCCCCTTCGGATTGTAGAAGAGCTTCCCAGTCATGAGTCGACGGATGATCTCGGACCGCAAGAGTTGCTTCTCCTTCTTGATCTTCTTCAGCACGCCCTTGTTCTCTTGTGCGCGTCGCGACAAATACGGCAGGACCTCCTTCACGGGCCCATAAGGGATGTACTTGTACGCAGAGTAGCCAGCTTGACCTGCAAACAACACACTCTCTCAGTTGAAGCGCCCACGCAAAGCATGCAAAATCGATGGAAGTTACCAAGCGGGAATGTTATGTAGTCACACATTCCGAGCAATTGACCAAAGCAAATCACTTTGTCCTCAGGCAGGATGCCGATTTCGTTCATCTTCTCAATAGCAAAGCGAACAGTGTCCTCATTGTGACTCGCCACCATGATTCCAATCTTCTTTGCATCCTCACCGGATTCCTTCAGCTTCTGCAGGGGCACAGAGGAAAAAGGGATTAAATCAGAATGAGAAAATCCAATATGAAAGCACATAAACAACACTGTTATTGTCATGCCGATATTGATTATGGAAATAGGATGAAAAATCTCTATTGTTCCTTCACAATTTCCAATTATTCCACAGTCTTTCACTGAGATGATTTATTGGATTTTATCAATGCAGTGATTTAATTAACGTATAGAAGAATAATCAAGTAAATTTAAACTTTAGCACTATTTGAAGATCTTTTCATTAACATTAATATTTAATATAATTCAACATGTCATGATAATTGATATAACAAGGAGAATCCAGATTTATTTCGAAAATATTGGCTTTTAGTAAAATTCTTTCACTCCGTAAATTATTCAAATAGAGAGAAATGCAAAGAATATTTACAGAGTACAGAACAGAATCCAATATTATGGTTCATTTGACTTCTCACTTGATAAACCCTTCTATTTACTCACTCAATCGCACTACAAATTGCGATGAAAAATAGTTCTTGCAAACGTACACTAAATGATTTTGCATGAAGAAGCAAATTTTCTAAAGTCAAAGTCTCATTGCTATTCAAAGTACGTTCCTCGGCATTTAATCATCTCCCCACACTCCAGCATAATCTATTCAATCACCCATTTCTATGCAGAACCAGGCAAGATGATAGGCTCGAAACTATGCAATATGACTCTCCAAGTTTAGCTAAAGCAATCACTTCATAATCATCAGCATAACTTTCAAACGGGCTCCACTAACCTTGATCCGCCGCAGGCATTCAGTCAGGGTCTTGTGGTACATTTCAGTGGTGGCCTCGAAGTTGGGGTTCGTCGGATCTGGATAGCCCAGCGCTTCGGCACGCGCCCTCTCCTGCTCAATGTAAGCTCCTCTCACCAATTTGGCGCCAAAGTAGAAATTTTGACGCTTCGCTTGCTCCAAATCAGTCGTAACCTGCAAGCAAATGCATAGTTTGTCACTTTCCTCTTGCCATTGACATGGATTTCAGGGAGGACTCACCTCTTGAAATGCGTTGTTCAAGTAACATTGGTAAGTGTTGAACACAATGGCTTTCTTCGTGTTGTACTTCCTCATCATTTCGAGGGTAATGCGAGAAATTGCCGGTTGGAAGTATGTTTGTTCAGCATCAATCATTATGCGGACATCCAATTCTTCAGCAGTCTGGAAAGGAGAAATAATTTGTCATTCAATTCATAGTGAGGAAAATGTTGATTTGTCAATACCTTAACAATAGTATTTACTCTCCTAATCATATTTCGAAACATCTCCTCTTCTTTGGGTGGAATCTGTGAGATCAATCGCCTCATTTGGCCAGTATTCGGATCAGGAACACGGAAACTGTCGCTCAGCTCGAAATTCTCATTTATAATGCCCGACCATGGGAACAGATGAAGAATTCTGTTAGAAAATCGAGAAATATTGATTAATACTTAAAGAGAATTCATTGAATATTGATGCAAGATTCTCACCCTTCCTTGTCAGTTGTCATATTCTGTAAGAACTCCTTGATTTCCTTCTTATCACTTATGCCACCGTAATACTGCTCGAGATCCTTAATTGTCTTGTGGTGTGTCAAGACATTTCCGGCTCCGCCACACAATTCCAGCATATACTGTCGTGCACGCATAATTACTTCAGACAATTGTAGCTATTAGGAAAAGTACAAAGTTATTAGTTTAATTCACCGTGATTGCAATTTATTCACTCTCACCAAAAGCTGTGGTCTGCCCAGGGCAGTTAGTTTGATTGCAGTAATGCCAGTTCCGAATGTAGCGCCTTAAGAGCGTCGAAAGCATAGAGAAAGAATGAGACATAAATTTAATATTAGGCCAATTCAGTGGCTTCATTGCTATGGCACTATATTTAATGCTTTACTTTATGTCATATCTACATTTATTGACTTATTGCCAATTTATAAACAGCTCGTATACAGTAAATAAACTATAATAGTTAACATAGCGAAAGGGATAATTTTGTCGTGTCATGCAAATACTGAAACACATTTATTACAACACAAACAACACAGAAATTGATTTAATACCAAAGGCCAAGGAACTGAAATCGAGGGTCAAAGGTCAAACGATAAAGAAAACCAAAAGGGACTCGAAATTAATACTGGACTAAATAAAAAAAATATAACATAGAGTGTAACTATAAATATGAACATCCCAATATTAAGACACAAAATCTTACCATCAGACTTGGGACTATTCGACTTTCGGTCGTAATCTTCATTATTGAATTATTTCGATTACAGTACGATTAGACACATTTTCATGGTTGGTTAGTAGAACAGTTTTTTGTGTTATTTGGTAAATTTTTGGTTATGCATTGTTTGTTTTGAGACCCAAGATTGGAAATTCATTTTTGCAAGATTCATCGGTGAACACACAAGAATTAACAAAGGAATTGAAATGAAAAAGAAGAAAAGAAAAGACAATATTAAACTGAAATCAAGAAATATTTTCGGACATTATTCAAAAGTGTTCTTCTAAAGGACAGAAAAACAGTGTTCTTCTCTAAATCTAACTTCTAAGTGTGATATAGAGAAAGAGTTACGTGAAGAGTATTGCATAAGAGCATGAGAACTAAATAATGACAGCTAGAGAGTGAAATGGAAATTAAACAGTCTTCGTGCTTCTACTAAAAATCGCAAGAGCACCAAATGGGACTTTTTAAAACCTCCTCATTGTACGCACAACCGGAAAATGCGCGTGCAAATAGTATTTGATATGGGCGAAGCGTGACGATGACGTCAGGAACAAGCCTCCAAGAAAACTGTGGCGCACACGAGGATATATCGATCGCACACAGTGCTGATGGCAGAGTGAAAGAGACGAATGTCAACGAGAAATTACGTAAACCTCACCAAGAGTCTCGTAAAATCGATAAAACGCAAAAGGCCCGAACATTCATCTATTCAGCCAAGCAAAATAGATCCTTTTTATGTCTCTTCCAACCCACAAAAATTCACGAGAATGAAAATGAGAAATTAATTGAATCGGAATGTTTAGAAATATTTTAGAAAGTGCCTGGCGTGATGTTTTTTAAGTGTGAGAAAAACCATGTCTCTCATTTGAAATCCGGCCAAATTTTAACATGAGTGTGACACAGAATCAAAGAGTCAACAAGCAAAGCTTGAACTCAAATTCGCTCATCTGTCTAGAAGAATTTCATGATATATTGTTAGAGAAACAAAACTATCAAAACCAATTGGCTTCCTGATATGAGTTTGCGAGCAATAATGGAGTTAATTCAAATCATGTGCAATGAAGCTACAATGTTAATTTTATGCAATACAAAAAATCTCTTGGGTGACAGTGAGTCTGACGAGGCAGGAGGTAAAAATAATCCCTCTGATCGTTGTGTACAGACTTTTATGCAATGACATTTGCATACAATTGCCATTAGTTCATGCTAAATTACAGACCAATTGCCATATCTTTCAAACATGAATGCATTCTAATGATATTCAATTGAAATTTAGTGTCTACTCTTGCAAATTAATCCACTCTCACGAATGAAGTTCATCATGAGAGAATATAAAGAAATGAGGAGAAATGATAAAGACAAAATTCTTCAGCAAATCGCATAATTTTGCTCTAACACAGAGAGATCAAGAATCCAAGAAAAGTAAATGATCATTCGATTATGCAAAGTAACACTCAGAAAAATCTGCATAATGTGGCACAATTCAAAAAAGTGTGTCTTCTGTTCTTGTAAAAACGGTTCTTCTTGTGCTCACAAGATTATTTCGTGCAAACACTGAGTTTGAATTTGAGAAAATTGACCCATTTTGATTATCAAAGTAACACAATTAATATCTTCACAGGACTTTATTGCAGTCATTTTTCAACTGATTTTAATCATCTTTTCAAGAAAAGATTTACAATTCAGTTGAAAATTAATTGATTTTTTTGAGTGAATGCATAATAAGGATAATAAGTATGAAATATCAAGTCATTCCGCAACTTCTACCAGCATGTCAAACTCAAACAATTGTAAGGGATCTTAGAAGACAGTCACAGATTAGAAAAATCAGAGTTATTAAGTCACGTCTCCCAGTTCATTTGGGGTGTGATTGGAAAAGGGGTAAAGAGATTGCTAACAGAAGGAAAGTATATATGAATTTACCGGAAACTGCCTCAAGACATTCAATGAACGTCTCCATGTTGCGCTCGCAAGTAGCCTCATTGAGGTAGAAGTAGGTCCTTGCACTCTGCACCTTGTACCGCCGATCGGCGAACGTCTTGTCCACTTTGTACTGCGGCAGCGTTGTGGTGTCCTGCGAGCTCTCCGACACTGACGACCTGTATCCGTGTGACAAGGCAATCGGCAAACGGATTAGCGAACACATTGTGAGGATGGCAAAATGTGGCGAAAGGTGACGAAATAAAAGAAAGAAAAAAGAACATTCCTAAACTAAGATATACTGAATATGAATTAAATTCACGTGGGCTTCTTGCCGCCACCACAGAAAACTCACTCTACTTCGCGCTTCTCTGCCTCTTCCTGGGAAATGTCCTCCTCCACAGAGTAATCAAGAATGGGCTTAACGCCAAATGAGCGCAATCTGCAAAGGAGGGAAGTGTCATGATGTTAGTTTTCGCATATGAAAATATCGCCATGGTTTTGCTAGCGAGAAAACTTTAACTGACAAAATTAACAAACGAAATCGCCCATTGGAATGGGAAAAGTGGCAAAAGATCAAGCATTAATTTAGGCCTTTAGCCAGTGTGAACAATTGAACATTAATGATTCTTCAACTTTTGCCACTTCTCGCAACATTGAGCGATGCATAACATAGACTTTATTCTGCGAAATTTCCATGCAAATTCACATTAGAAAAATTTGTACACCTCTCAGCAATTTGAGTGCAAATTCCGCAGATCACAAGCTTGGCAAAATGTTATATACACACATGAAATGTGTACATAGATGATATACAATGTACAGCAGAATTTTTTAGGAAATGCTTCTAACAATAGACTTTATGTAATGCCTTTTACAAGTTCACATTTGCATATCTTCCAATTTGTCATTAGTAACATTCAATTCAGACCATGAGGGAATAAAAGAGGAACAATTTTGGTGAATATTATACTGAAAAAAATGCGGTTAAGAATAAATTGGGCGAATTTTTCTCTTTCCGGCACAATTCTCTCTAATCACGAATATATCCCACGAAATTCGCATGCTGACAAAACACTGCTGAGAATTTGCCTATTTGATGATCACCCTGAAGATCACACGAACTTCATATGCAAGATTTGTGTGTGTGTTTGTGTGATTTTAATGAGAAGAAAATTTAGAAAACCCACGAATATCACTTCCCTCAGCCAATTTTCACTCACATTTAATGCTCAAAGCCAACAAAAATGCGGAAGTTAGTGTTTTCAAGACCATCCAATTTTCATGTTCATCTGAGAAAAGTTAGGACAGAAAAGAATGTTTTAATTCGCAAGAACACAGAGTAATTGACATCATGATTCAATCTCTTTCTAGTTAGCTATTAGCAATGATCTGTTGATGCCATTTTTTTCATCTTGCGATGGTTTTGTATCAACAAAATTTTGAACCACATTTGTTATAACCTCTCCAAAGTGGGTACGATCTTAAAGCGATCTTCTCCGGCAACGAAATGTCCATAAAATGTTGACTGCATTAGCCAAACGAAGAGTTTGTCACCCAGTAAAGCTTGTGCCAATTTCATGAGCTGTTGATAAAGAGAAACAGAAAAAACTACATTTTAACAATATTCTGTTAAGGAAGGAAATTACCTTTCAAGAGTTGGAATTATGGCTCTCTGATCTTCACCAGCGACAAAATGACCGTAAAACGTTGATTTCATCAAAGCCGTGAACAGTTTATCACCCAAGATTCGATTCGTCCATTTCATAAGCTATACACAATACGCCGATATATTTTTGGTTATATTTGGGCATATTTTTTTTTGGCAATCCCCGCGTGTTCGGAAGATAAGAGAGAGCAAAAAAGAGAGAGAGACAGAAAAAGTGTGGTCAGTCTTTTGCATTTAACAAATTGCATACAACAAAATACAATTAAAACATCTTATTATGAAACCAAATCTAAAAGAGAAAATAATTATCACTTTAATCATTGCACGCGCACTGAGAAACCCCGCCACACCCCGCGCGAAGGTAGAACAATCGCGCACAACTACACCATCAGCAAACACACACGGGAACCCAAAATAGAACTCTGCTGGCCTATTGTTGAGTATGCAAAATCGAAAATCAATTTCTGTGAGAAAGAACGGAAAAATTGTATACATTCATATAGAAATTTACAACACAGACTCTGGCTTTTGCCAATGCAATAAAAAATCATGCGAATGTATTGCATAATAGCAAACTTCGCGCGAACATATTCATATGTAGTATTTCTCCAGAGTCAAGCTCAAGTTCAATTAAAGACGCGAGGCAGCAGCTGAGAGCCTTGACAATACGCGACGTTGGATGTAAAGCAAATATTTTATGTGCAAACCAAACGGTTCTCCCCACAGAAACTACACACTTTTTTCTTCTTCCATCGTACGATGCTTAGGGAAATGGTATTACTATACTCAACACTTTGCCACTGATGGATAAATCTCAGTGATTGCTCGCGAGAGGTGATCCTCATCCGTTTTGGCTTTTATCACTTTTTATCACTTTTGAGTGAATTGAGTGTCTTCAACCAGAAGTGTTAATTGTGCTCAAATTGGCGTCGCAGACTTGTTACTGTATTTATTGGGATAGAAGGACTGATAAATGGGCGGAGAATCACGATGGGCGGGCCGAATTATCAGAACAACGGGGAAAAAGATCATTCAGTACACTGAGTTCGGTTTTATCAAATTAAAGGTAGTCATTCGATCCAGATCTCTATAAAAATAAAGTATAGTCAAGAGAATACATAAAACTTTAGATGACCGTATTTTTCAAGATACTGATCTTTTATTTTAATAACATTAAGCACCACTCATATTAATGAACGGGTTTCCACCCATAACAATTAGCAATTTCCTATATTTATCCTTTACGTTACGTATAACCCATCGAATGTAATGACAATGATTGCACTGGAGACACAAGCATGCGACATATCAATTTAATCTGACTCCATTGGCACGCTAAAACTATTTAAACTGATTATCCCCACCGCTGTGCTGTGCGAGGTCGCAGAACTAGCAAATAATGATCTCTTGGACCGTCTCTATGTACCAATTAGTGGTCAATTTGAGATGTCCCAAATAGCGCACACGATCCTCGGCCGCGTGCAAATATCTTGACATTGAGCAGCCACAGCTCATTTACATTCCCCTCCATGTGGTTTGTATTCCGAGTTCATCTCATTTCCACCTCTGCAAGAAGTGCTAACATTTTGGCTAAATATATCTCTGCCGCTTTTTTTTTCGTGTGCCCACATCAAAAGGTGCCACGTTCTTGACTCACAATCATGTGTTTTCTGCTGAAATACTCTGTCTCCACGAAGCCGGCACGCAGATATTTACCGGTGTGTCCAGACAGCAGTGGAACAGAGTCACATTCGCGTGACTCCTCCAGACCGCGAATTTTCATACTTTTTCATATTTGAATATCTATTTCTTTTCCATCACAGAGGCGCAATTGGGCGGTGAGTCGTAATTTTGGGGGTGTGTCAAGTTTATATGAAAATAGATCGCATTTGGGGAATTTCCTCGAGGCGGTTGAGAGAGAAAAAATTCCACTTGCCCCGGCGTCTGCGTAGGAAAAGTCTCACCTCCGCACAGACAAAATAATTGGAAAGGTGTTAATTGGCCCACATCAAGATAATGTGTGCCCGTCTTGAACTTAAGGCCCAGACACGGAGTCTCACCATTCATTCAACTTTCATCGCATTTATTGATTCGACATTGAAAGAATTTTCCATGGCAAGAGACACGCGGTATATTTTTGTTGCTTGTTTGCCTGACCATTAAAAATATCCCGTGTGGTCGAGACATTGTCAGACAGATTTACAATGCAGCGTAAAAAATGCAAATAGATGTGCGAATCAACATGAGGAAAAAACATTCAGGGATGAATGCACCTTTCGCAACATCGCAGACTGACGGAAATCTCCCAGAATATTGAATCATCTTCAAAGTCAAGGAACAATATAGTGTTACATGTTATCCAGTCTCAAGCACTATAAGCTTCTCTAATTTATTCTCACTGAGCAAATCTCGAAAGATTGCCACAGAGATTGCAGCAGAGCGGATGTCGGCAAGTGTCCAAAAATCTAACATGGATATCCATGATAAAGATAGACAACGTATGATGCAAGAATCCGTGTTACATAAAAGGTGCTTTGCGGTGAACAAACACACATTTCAGCAAATTGTAAATCATTTTCAGTGCAATATGAAACAATTTCCAAGCTAAATTAGCACCTTCGTCAGTTGACTCTTCGCTGTGCTGTAATTTGCACAGTAAATCTTCAATGTGAGAGAGAATGAGTCGCAGACATAAGAAATCAGTCTACAAAGCACATGCTAAGACTCATGATATGACACAGGCCCGTCTAAAATGTATTAGTGACACGTGCTCTGGGGATTTTGTCCTCCGCGGCGAAAATAGATCGTGAAACATGATGAAAATGCTTGAGAAAAGAGATCACGTGAAAAATTTTACGATTTTTTTTCTACACACGCCGCCGCGCACTCAAAGTGTCGCTTTGGCTTCTTCTATCGTCTCTCTGGCAAATAGATAAAATAGTCAGAACTTTTAGCTGACAAAACATGGCGCGCGAGAATGAGCTTAATTGGCAAAAATGAGGAGCACACATTGCCTAATCCGGCATCTGGGGAAATTCCAACTCGGCGCGCGAGATGCCTCGATGCACCTCTGCTCGCGGCAGCTGAGAAGCGGACTTGGCGAAATTTCACTGAAATCATGTGTAACGCGAAGGTGGGCGGGCGCCCTTCTCCACCCGCGCCTTATCGATCGCACAAGGGAAATGTGCGTGCCCCACACACACCCCACAGTCATCGTCAATCACAGTCATTGCAGCATCTGCGCAGACGCGCGCGAGTGTGTTCGTTGGAGATGAATGGGGGACCGCGGAAAAGAGGTCGTGCGCCGCACAAGCACTCACACTTGGGCGCCGCACGAGAGGAAAAATCGATGACGAAAGTATTTCCCGGTCGTCCTCAGCCGGCCCAGAAGCACAGTGGCGAGCGAAAGAAGTGCAACACACTTGTGAACTCATTGGAAATGGTCAGGGACAACAGCAGGAGTCAAGACAATTTAGCTACATATTTGTGATACATCGACTTAAATGACTAAAAAGTCAATAAATCTAAGAGATTAGAGATTAAACTTCCTTTCATATTTTCTTCAATACTTTCTCAATTTTTTGTACCCTAAAAGAACCCAATGATTGGAAAGATAGATATTTCAAAATGAGGGTAAATGCCCAATATCGCATCCTGTTCTCGGGCGTTGCACTTCTTTTGACCACCACTGTGCATCGCACACAGCGAGGAGCCTCGGTAGTCTCGGCGGACTTGTGGCACTCCCACGCGCTGGGTTTTGGGGAATGTGAGACTGTGAGGATTTTCTGGCGGCACAAAAATGCCGCAAATGTCGAATCTGTAGCTCGCAGCTAGAATTCCATGATTCCCAGAGATCAGATCACACAAATTGAGCGCGACTCTGAGATGGCGCACAATTGGTTACATAACTGGCGAAGACACGTTTCACTCGCATTTTTTTCTGCCAAAACGGATGGGACACGCGGGCAATCACGGGGGCCATCCTCAAAGTGTGTACCTGCATGTTGTGCTCCACGAGATAGCTGGACGAGCAGACCAGGTAGACAAGGTAGGCGCGGATGAGCTCGAAAGTCGTCTTACTCTTGAAAGCGGCGTTGGGGTCGGCAAACCTCACGTCCAGCGGATCGCGCTGGGGCTGCTCCAGGTGCCCCGCGGCGGCCACGGTTGAGTTGGCACGGCTGCGGACATCCTGGCTCAGGCTACGCGCGTGCAGGTCCTTGGGCACGGCGTGCTGCTCGAGGATGGAGAAGAGGCTGGCGGCCGGGCTGGCATGAGGACAACGTCCGGAGAGGAAGTCCAAGGCAGACGCTTTCCCGGTGACTTTGCGCGCAAACAAGAGATGATTGTAGCGAACGGCCGATCGCAAAAACGCCATTACACGGTGGCACAGGAGGACTCGCAATTTCCTGCCCTATTCGCACTGACACTCTGCCGCAGATCTCAGTCAATTGGAGCGACTCTCGAGCTTTTGCTCTCTTTCCTCTCGACGGCGCAAAACCACAGACGATTTTTCTTCAGACGAAGAGCAGTCAGAAAGATTGTGGAGACCGGAGAAGTGCAAAATGGGAACGCGCGAAGAAACCACACACAAATTGGCCTCTGAATCCACTGAATCACACTTGATTTCTTCTTGGCAAAAATATGCGCGCCTCGACGGTCTTCAACCCCGCGATTTTTTGCGTCTTGAAAACGCGTTCTGTGTGCACAGAATCACGCGTGAAAGTCAACCCTGAAAGTGGTGGCAAAAAGTATGAATCTCTTTGCCCCAATTCAATCGTAACGGAGAACGCCCAAATTCTTCTACTGACAAACTTTGTGCAGAATTTCTGGCTTCTTCTTTCCTCTCTCCAGAGCCACACAGAGAATTGGAAGGAACACACGACAAATTTTGGGATCTGTCTCACTTCACTTTGCTGCGCACTCTGCGATACTCAACCGACGAATGAGTCGGTGCCGAGCATCGAACAAACGGGTTTCCCCTCGTCAGCGCAATTCTCGCGCCCCATTCCTCTCTCTCGGCGCTACCAGTCATGCTGATGATGACTGCAATTCGGCGCGACTGTGTGCGTTCTTCTCTCGACTCGCCGGCTCTGCGCTTTCCCTCTGAACACGACTATGGCTGTACACATCATCAACAGGCTACGCAGCGCACTACCGACCGCTACCTGACCAGCGCGCAGTCTCCCGGCGCAGGTACAGAAGCCACAGAAGCCAGAGAGGCACAAGGATTGTATGGGCTGCCGTATGGCTCGATAAGCTGTTCGGGTGGATTTTCAATAAAGGGATAAAATTCAATTAGGCATTTGCTGTTGTTCAGCAGAGAATTTTGAACAGAATCTCCCATGTCCGTTGGGAGCTTGAGAAATCCCAGCATTATCATTTTCCAAGAAATACGTTATATGTTTACAGCTTCAGTGTAGGTCCAGGTAATCGAAAATTGAAGAATTTGGGGCATTTTGTGACCTTTTATGGTAATTTTGGACTCAAAACTGTCTCAAAGCATAAAAATATATGTATATTGGCAAGCATATTGCGTTTTAAAGAATGTTGAAAATGGGCTTAGGAATCCTTGCTTTTTGCCTATTGCAAATGAGCTTCAAAAGGCTTCATTCGTTTCCAAAATGCTGTCTTATATAAAATAATAAATAAAACATTTGGGATTCTAGAATTAGACTTATTCCACAAATCTGGCTTGAAATACAATTTCCATATCAGAAAAGAAGCTTACAAACTAAGGAAATAATACAGAAGTATGTTTATGATACCACGCCCTCTAATATGCTCCGCCCACTCCTATATACATTTTGTGCCTTGGATGCTTTAGGTATGCAATTTGAAAACGTCTCCCCTTTCTATATTCGTCAATAGCGCTATAGAAAACTTTGTAGGCATTGCAAAACTATAATTTCAATGTACACAAAGCAGTTAACAAATCACGGAATGAAGAGTTGGACTTCCAACTGCAGAATAATTGATGAATTCTTGTGAAAATCAATAATGTTATTTGCAGAGCAAGAAACACTGCTGCATATCTGAGGATTTGTCGTAAAAATTCGCCAGTAGAATGAAGACTTTAAAATTGCAACGCACACGGTCTTCGCATCTCCAGTTTCCATCGAGAATTTGTCGCCACTTTTTTTTTTCCTCCTCGCACTCGAAGCCATACAGCAATATTGAGGCAGACAGAGACAAAACGGCCGATGAACCCAATTCTATAATTAAAAAATTCTATAAATACGCACCGCAGAGGATTTTCAATTTTCCAACGCATATAAGAAATTCTAATCAAGCGAATCCGGTGCAGTCCGGTTTCGTGCCACTTCAGGCCATTCGACCACTGCAAAAGTGACAAAGTGTAAAAAGAAAAACTTTATTAATCATCTCACTCGCAGGTTCTACAACTTCTCAACCATTACAAGATATTCTCTCATCTCACTGTAAAAATTAGAGTTGCTCTTCTTTCGTAAAAATAACTTTGCCTCTGTGGTAAATGTCTTTTAGAATTTCGGGAATATTTGGGTGGAATGTTAAATGCAGGGTTTTTTTTGTAATTTTTTTTAACTTCTCTTTTCACACAATCTTTGATATGATGGTAAAATTGCTGCCGATTTTTTTTCTACTTTGTTTCATCTTCAACCTCACTTTTCTTCACGGGGTTTCCCTATTTCACTGTACTTAGGGGAGAAAATAGCTATTTTATCTTTTTCATTTTGCACAATTTACATCACAGACGACAGCATTTTGTCCCAGGAAAAATCATAATTTGTCTCTGCTCTGTTTTGGTTCCTTCGCAAACTCATTAACCACGCACTAATTGCCATTGGCCTACAACGCTTCTCCTTTGCTCTCTCACTCATCTACCCAATAAACTGTCAATGTGTAACTTTCTCTTCTTGCACAATGTTAACTGGAAAATATCCTTAAGTACACTCTTAAGCACTACCCAAATTGTTAACAAATAAATTCTCTCTCATTTACGGTATAAAAAAATCTTCAGTATAGACAACAATTGACAAATAGCAACTATAGTTAAAATACTACGTATTAAATTAATAACATAAAATATTACATTTGAAAAAATCACAAACTCGTGGTCAGACCTATAGTGATAAAGAGGGAATATTTTCCTAGCTTACGTGGTACGAATTAAATTACAGCGCCGCTCAACTTCTCCTCGTTCCGCAATAAATTAAGATTCAAGGGTGCGCATCGTCGATCATGATCAGTCACGGTACTCACTAGCTGTGTTCAGCATCACAATCTCATCCTCGCTTCCATCATCTGTGTCTGTGATCGGGTCTCTCTCATCATCGTAGTACGGCTGCATCTTCACGCCTTCTGCACAAGGACAAGAGAGCGATTAGGATGCGATCTCTCAGCAAGGAAAGCAAGAAATGTACCTGACTTCTTTGCAGTCAGTTTTATGAACAAATGTCGCAAATGCATTTAGAAGATTTCAATAGTTTTAACGTGGATTGAGTTTACGTAATGTAATTTAGCTGAAAAACTATAAAAACTTTGAATTCAAACATGCTTTTGCGACATTTGCACATTAAATTAATCTTCTTCATTTTAATTAAGTGATGACTTCAACTCACTCTTGATCGGGGATCTGAAGAGCTCCGTTTCGTCATTATCCTCATCGTCGTCCTCGAAGAGCTTTTTCGAATTGTTGGTCCGCAAGAGGGAGAAAGAGTAGTTCTGGTAGTTGTTTCGCCTATTCTGCCACGCTGTGATGCAGAAAGCCCCGCAAGCAACCGCTGCAACGCACAGAGATCCCGCCAACAGGATGAACACCATCCTCGGCATCCCGAGGACACGCTCATCCTTGTCCAGCCTGAAGATGACATTCTTCGTGGGGTGGAATGCTTGCACGTGCACCACTCGAGAGTCCCTCAAGTGTCCAGGAGCGTCCACAGTCACCTTGACATCACCAACAGGAGCACCTAGGATCTTATATCCGCCCACAGAGTCCGTGAAGGAATGTAGAGTGTTCACAGTCACTTTGGCATTTGAGATGGGATGATTAAGGGCATCGAGGATGAATCCCGAAATCTCTCCAGATTTCTCCTCATTCTGCTGACTCTTGTCCGCGACATTAAGCTTGATGTCGCCCAGATTCAGCACATCATTGCGAACAGTCACTGGAATTGTGGTTTTGCCGTGAGCCTCGCAATAGATTTCCAGTTTGTAATCTCCGGGAGGCAGAATGAGACGGAAGAAGGCAAGATTCGCCGTGACTTTGTGCGTCAGATCCATTCCTTGCACTTTCACCATTGCTTCCCTGAGCTCTTTGCCTTCGATGTCCTTCACATATCCCATCACACCAGTGTCTGTGAGATGGAGGAAATTCACCATGCGCTCCAGATTATTCCTCCACACGCTGGCAATGTTCTCTGGCATTTTGCAGCAGGAAACTTGGAGTGTCATCAAGGGCACGTCGTAGTAATTGTAAAGGAGATTTGTCAGTCTCTCAGACACTTCCAGTTGATGTTTCCGGGCTGCTGTTGAAGAGCACCCAACATTTACCACCTTTCTGCTGACTGTGTCCACTCGTTGTGCCATTTGAGCGTAAATTGGCAACTGATCTTTCATTCTGGGGTAATATAACTCGCTTCCGCCTGACGTGAAAGTCACTGCCAAATCGAATTTTTCATCCTGCAGCATCTTTATCAGCATGTCACGCTTCTTGTCCGTCTCAGGACTCAACAGCTTGTCCGCCAACTCCTCCTTCAGAGTTGGATCACAGATTGCAGCGTCATTGTAGAACTGATTGTAGACATCGCTGAAATGCTCCATGATGGGCACAAAATGCAGAACTGTGTTGTTCATCAGCCTCTCAATCAGTGGCTCACCAATGGCATATCCTCCGACCACATGTCTGGCCAAATTCAGCACCATTTCCCGTCCGATAGGCGCTGAGTTGAATAGAGACGACAAGATGAGGATGTGGAGCTTCTTCTCCTCCGGTGATCCAATGTCGCCCGTCACTTTGAGCGTGTGGTACTGCATGCTGACCTCATTGTCTCCAGCATCGAGGCTGGCAATCTTGAAATTGGCCGCCTCGAGCTTCTGAAACTCATCGTTAATCTCCGCATCGGCGTGATACCTCGTCTTCACCACATTCTCAATTATCCGATAGTCATACGCCGATGACCAGTGCTGAGGATCATCTCGCATCAGCACAAAGTCCTTCCGCGCCGAACCATTCAAAGGAACTTCAACCTCCTCGACTATCGCCTCAAATCCGTCCGCCTCAATTGTGATATTGTACCGTCCGGGTAGCAGCAGGCGCCAGTAATCGCCATCCTTGGCGCTCAGCGTGTTGTGCTGGATCCTGTTCACGTAGATCCGGGCGCCGGCCACCGGATGCCCAATGCTGCTGCGAATAAATCCGTGAATGCCAATATGAACCTGCTCGATATACGTGAGCAATGCCTCTCTATTCTGCTCCCAGAAGCTCTGCAGTTCCGCGCTGGGTGGGAATTTCTTGCAGCTCACCTCCAGGGTCAACTCCATGGCGCCACCTTTCAAGTACGACCAATCCTGCATGCCGCCGGTCACACTGTACCACGCCGCGCCATTCGTTATGCCCTCCGGGAAGTGTTCAGACAGAAAGTCGATGCACGACTGGGCGTTGTGCATTGTCGTGTGCGCATTGGAATATGTCCGGGCGAGATACTTGAACAGCTCGTTCTCCTCCGTGGGATTCTGCTGCGTTCTCCTGTCGCTGCCGGCCACAAAGTCCTTCGGAGTGTCGTCATAGGGATAATTGGCCACCAGTGAGCCTCCGTGGAGATTTGCTGAGAGAACGAAAGGCGTGGAAAGTGACCATTTCATCACAGCGGCCGTTTCTGGCTCTTGCTTCGTATTCAACTTATTCGTTCCATACTGATCCGGAAAGTTCCGGTTCAGATCCACGTCGTGAGCATTCTCTCGGCCATGCTTCATCCAATTATTGTCCCTGGCAATCTCATATCCATCCGGATTCATGCTAGGCATCAGATGAATTCTCGTGCCATCAATCATCTTCGTGATCCTCTCGCTGCTGCCGTAGTTCTCGCACAGATATTGCGCCAGCAATAGCAACAGTTCGCGCCCAACAACCTCATTTCCATGCATATTTGCAATGTACTTGAACTCTGGAATTCCCGGCGTATGAATTCCTGGATGTTGAGTGATTTCCAGTACCCACAATTCTCGTCCTTCCACAGTCTTTCCAATGCTGTAAAGATTCGTGATGTTTGGATATGTGCTATTGAGCTCTTGCAGAACCGCCGTCATGTCTTGATAACCATGATGCCTGAACTCAGCGTCCAGTAGAAAACCATCTTTGCTAGGCTTCTCTCTAATTGTCACCAAATGACGATAAGAACCTGCAAAGATGGACGAAAGATCAATAATAATTTCCCTCAATTTCCATGAAATACTTTAGTGGTCGCTAGTCGCAAAAAGCACATGAATGTCATGCAATTCGGAGGGATTTTAAACAGGGTATTGAAGAAAAATTATAAACAATTCATGTGCCTCTTTTGATTAATTGCCACTGTAAAGTGCAACTTAAAACTAGGATAAAATATTGTGTTTCATTTACAAACCCCATCATTCTTTGGTCAATAAACCACAAAACAAGCACTAAACATTTGTTATTTCGCTCATAAACTCTCAACATGATTTGTGTTTTCTTTCACTCCTTTTCCACACACCAGAATCCAGAGCAGAGTCAGTCAGCCAAAAGAACCACAACTTCCCAAATATTTCACATTCCTCACAGAAACCTCTTCTCAGAACTTTGACCAGAGGTGAAACGATCACACAAATTGAATCAATTAAGAAGTTAGACACCCACTTTCTCGCATTCTTTCGCCAGATTAATTGCATCTCAATAGGAAATAGCTGCTGATAAAGAACGCTTAAGAATGCATAACTTCTTAATTGACTCTTTATCTCGACCGGAAAGTGCAAAATAATAGGGTGAAATAAAAAGTTAATACGGATAACGAAACAATAAACTAAAGCTTATGTGATAAAAAAGATATTTACAGAAAGTTTGCAATTGCTTTATTCCTTTCATTGATTTTTGTGTCCTTTTTATCATTTTCAATATGTATTTTAAGGATATATATTGTAGTGCTTTTCCGTTAAAACATACATAAATTTCACTTTTGATACAACTATATAGTTCTTTTTAAAATTATACACATCATTTTGTATGTTAGACAATATGTATTGATAAAGAGATTAACAATCACCAGAATCTGTGCATTTCTTCACCAATTGATATTATTAGTAATGACAGAAATTCTACATTTATAATAGACATGATTATTTTCTTTTTGTATAACATAAGCTTTAGATTTTTTTTCCCATTCACAAATCTACCAATTTTACAACATTACTTTCTTTTCTATATGTCACAAATTGCTGCACATTTCCGTACTAAATAAATCCTCTTTTCCTTTCGCCATGAAAATAATCACAGAAAACTCAAGAATATAAACTATTGTCGCTCTTCCTAAAAAAAATCAACTATAAAGCAAAGTTATTAACAAAATTTACAGATCCAAAAATGATGACTAGAAATTGTATTTTCATAGTGCTCTAAAGGAAATCAATTCAACTTGAGCCACAACCAAAAAATACTCAAAACTTGATTTGTTCATGGAATTTTGATCATCAGTATGTTTTTAGGTACTATTTAATGACTAATTTTACTTCTCAATCCAACCTGAAAATGTAAGTAATGCAAATTTAAAATCACTCAATTGAAATATTAAACCAAAACAGTGACACAAAAAGCTAAATAAAAACGACACAAAAAGCCTAAGCAAAAGTGTAAATAGAAACAGACTCAGCAAATAAAGATCTCACTGGTGCAAAAATGTTTTTTAACTAAAGTAAAAGTACAAAAAAAAACCTTATAGAAAAAGGAAGAAACTAAAATTGCGAGACAAAAGTGCAAAATAAAATGTGAACCAAAACCAAAAAGTGCAGAAAACATCGCTTTCTAATGCACAACTATTGTACCTTCAACATTATCAGATGGTTTCAAATTAAAATCAACTCTCGCAGCACTGGCATTGGTAACAAGAACTTCCTGCACGGCACTGGGTTCATAGCTACAAAAATACACATGAAGAATTATTACCATGAATTCATATACTGGAGACAATAGAAATCACTGGCCTAGAAAATTCTACGCAAGATTGTCCAAGTTCAATGGCTTAACTTTAGGCAAAAGCAGAGCAAATTCCATTGGCTACTGAAATTCAGAATTGGAAGGAACTAAAGGATGAGCGGAGCTTCAGATTGCGTGCGAGCTTAAGTTATATTAAAGTAACGAATTACTTTAGAAAAAAACTGACAGTAACTTTCGCTAGTGAACAATCAACAGTTCTTCCGCGTTCTGTTAATTCTTATTAACGTTCTTTATGACTTTGTTGATCTTGAAGATGAATTTGTCGTCTTGGCTAAGCTTGAGAGAATTTAGCCTTAATTTGTCACATTGGCACGCATAAAATTTTTCAGTGCAAACCTTTTGCTACTGTTCAACTAAAGTTTAGCTCAATTTCTAATTGAACGAACAATCTTGCAAAATGGCATAATGAGCAACCAACTCACCCAAAAGCCACAGCTTGAACTCCATACGCGCCCGGTTTCAACAGACGCCAATATTCTCCGCGCTCGGTCGTCTTGATGGGCTTCATTCCCTCGACGATAATCTCAGCATTCTTGATCGGATACCCGTTGGTGTCTTTCACGATGCCCTGATTGAGAACACACTGTCAATCAGAGCCCACATGCGTCTGCCTTTCACTCACCTTGACACCCATATGCACGAGCTTCATGTACTCCAGCAGACTGCGCTTGTTCTTCGCCCACTCGCCGGCCAATTTGTTGGCCTTCGGGAACTTGCAGCAGGACAGCTCCAGCGTGACATCAAAGCAGTTGGAGAAGACGTAGTTAAAGTCCTGCATGCCACCATTCAGTTCGTACCAGAACGCACCATTCGTCACGCCGCCCGGGAAAGTTTCATTGCAATCCAGACCAGTCTTCATCACGGGATGATTGGACGCATAAGTGTGCGCCAGTAGCTTGAAGACCCCATCATCAGGTGTCAAACTCTCAGAACAGCACTCGTGTTGATTGCTGAAAGAGAAAAGCAGTGAATTGAAATAATTACACACTCAAGAGCCTTTCTAGCATTGTGCATTCACACACCCATTCCGCGATGGCGCGACAGAGTGACATCATCACAAAAGGCGTCGAGTCGACAAGGTTAAAAGAAGCATTGAAAAATCATAATATTTGCTAGCATTGTTGCTAACATTCCACCAATAATTATCAGCAATTTTGCATTCTTCTTTCCGCATGTCAAGACAGAAATTTTTAACTTGGTCAAAGCTCAAAACGTGAAAAGGACATCGCGAGTATGAAGTGTGGATATTTAGATTGTGTGAAAGCTCTTGTAAAATGTCATCAATCTTCTCAAGAGCTGAGAAAACATTTGGATTAAATTTCACAATGTGTATTCAAAAATCGAGATGTTTGTAGAAAATAGGTCACATTAAATCAGAGTTAAGAGGATTTTTTTTTAAAGTTCCAAGCTTGTTGCAAACACTCTCTTTAAAATTTACAACTCTTCTCAGCAAAAGATGTTTGCAAAATGAACTTTAATGAAAATCTTTGAACTAAATCGTTTATCTTCACTTCAAGTCAGCTCTAAATCGTCTCTGTCACATTCCCAAATGTCCGACAAAAGTCCAGCAGCACAAGCTAAGCAACGTGCATGCTACACGTGCCGTGAATTGAGATTCATGCTTAAAAAATGACTCATCTCACTTGGGGGAGTGTTATTTTAATCACACCAATTTTCACGCTGAAGCAACAGCGCGAGCGAGATGGAAAATCGAGACTGGGTCAACGAGTTTTCCCATAACACTGAAAGTCAGTGCATTACTTATGAATGTCTTCATCCAAAGCTCATGAGTGCATGGAATGTGTCTCCCTTCTGGGAGAGTAAAAGGCGACCGGACAATTTTGCCAAGAGCCACAACGTGCGATTGACTCTAGAAGTGATACTTTCTCCCCCTCTCGCACTATTCCAACCTGTGTGTTGTCTCTCTGTGGATGTTAAGAGACAGGTATTATGTAATAAAACAAGTTTTCGAAGATCTGTATTCCTCGCGACTCTCTTCGTCACACCACACTCATAATCATTCTGCTGGGATTTTGAGGTGTGTTGCTCTCGCTCTACACTTACAATATTCACACATTCCCGCAGTCAATATCACGGGTTAGAACGTGTTGCATTTCTACGCGCGTTTTGTGTAGAATTCTATCGACACAATAGCCGGAAAAATCATTATTATAGAGAGTGTTCTTCTATTCATCGGCCAGTGATTTTACGCACCCATTGAAATGGGAAAGACACACGGCATAGCAATTAATAGCACCAACACTCTCTGCCCAGGCATTTCCTCGCCTCTCCCACTCCCGTTCCGAAAATGAATGAAAATTGTGATGTGTGCCGCAAATTAGAAAGTGCAATTGCTGACCACTTTGTGCAGTTGTGACAGCTTTTTTCCCCGCGTGCGTTCTTGTGCCACAATCTCGGATAATTATATACTCACATGGAGTTGTCATAAGGATAGCTCGCCACCACCGCGCCACCGTGCAAATTGGCCGACAGGACGAAGGGTGAGTTGAGGATCCAGGTCATCATCGCCACCGTTTCTGGCTGGCGTGTCATCGCCCGAAAGTGCCTCATGAGTGACGAGTCGAATCTGTCCGGGAAGTCTCGATTGAGATCCACACCTGCGGCATTGTAGCGTCCCGCGTAGTTCTGCGGCGATTCGCAGCTTCCCTCCTGCAAATGCAGCACTAAATATAGACGCACTGGCAAAACACGGTGCCATGGGAAATCATGAGGATATTTAGAGACACGCTGACGCAATTATTCCATCAGTGAAAGTTGCCATCACACAGATCCGTGCACTCTCTCATGACGCATCGCGTCGCACAGACATTAAATGTTTTTTCGCTTACGATTTTCTAAGCATCACAACAAATTTCAAAAAAATACAAAAGCAAGACTCCATCCATCAAATTGCTATTCATGTACTTTGTATAGTATATAAAGTACAGACAAAAAATTAACACTTCCACACTTTTTAGAGGCCACAATTTGTTATTCCTAATTCAATTTGCATAGTTTTCCGGAGAATTTACAACAGACTGTTTTTGCTCATTTGAAAACACTTGGAGAAATTTTTGGAATCACGTGAATTACAGACAGGAGTGAAATTGAAGGCGTGGCAATTGCGTGGGCGGAGCATCAAGCTCCAAAGAAAGTCATATACAAAAATAGACTCATTATTACAGCCCTAAGACTTTGTGAAAATTGAAACTTCAAGATTTTCAAATTAACTAACATCTGTTTAGCAAGATGTGTAAATGAAAGATCTCAATCAAAATATTGATTTCTTGTTTAGTATCTTACGCCATAATGGCCATAATTGACCTTTACAACTGCTTTGTTTTTTTTCCACTCACATTTCCCACTCATTCTTTCAGGGAATTTCCGTACTTATTCATCTTCACGTCTTCATTTCTAAGTGAATTTCTTCACAAAACTTGAGCAAAACATGGATCAAATTTGCACAGCTGTTTGTTTTCCCTGGTGTTTTCCAGATTTTGCTCTCCTCTGTGAAAAGTGCCATTGGCGGACAATTTTCACGTTTTGCGTGAAATTGTGGCTCGCTTATCTCAGTGGGGCTTCTATTTCGGGCCTCATCTGTCCCGGAGGGCGATAGTTAGCGCCCAGGGGAAAAAGTGACCCCGCGACACGGCTGTTTTGCGAAAAGACTCATCGTGTTATCGTGCCCGAAAGTCGCAGAGGCGTTATCGATTTTTCGCGTGTGTGTGTTATCGAGGCAGGACAGAGAGGCTGTGACGTGGGCAGCGCGGACCGTGGGCGGGAGGCGCTTAGGATGCCCATCAGGGGGGCAATTTTCCCATCGGGGCGCACTTTGCGCTGATGGAGACTGTTTTGGGGGGCAGCAGGTGGCGGAATCGCGCTTACCTTGGAAAACTCGAAGCCGTCAGGATTGAGCGAGGGCATGAGAAAGATGTCCGTGCTGTCCACGAGCTGCGTCACTTCCGGCACGAGGCCGTAGTTGGTGAGCAAGTACTCGGCCAAGTAGATTAGCAGCTGTCGTCCGACGGTCTCGTCTCCGTGCATGTTGGCGACATACTTAAACATCGGTGTCAGCAGTGATCTCTTGCGTACGTTCTTGTTAATCTCGAGCACAGTGAGCTCTCGACCGCGGGCGGATTTCCCGATCGAGTGCACCCTCGCCATCGTGGGGAACTCCTTCTGCAGTCGCGCGAACAGGTCCTCCAGCTCGCTGGTGGTGTGGTAGTGTGGTTCCGCGAGGAATTTCTCGTTCTCCAGGGCGAAGCCCTGCCTTTCCGTGAAGCCATGGCAGCACAGCACCCACAGTGACGTGCACAGCGCGAAATTGAACGCACTCAAGCGACTGAACCCCATTTCTTTTCACTTTCTGCACTGTCTTCGAGCCCCGGGACACGATGGGCTGCTGGATAATTGCGGGGGATGATCACCCTTCCATTCACAGCACGCAAATAAGAAAATCTTGACGTCTCGCGCATCGCCAACACTTTCGCTCCACTGTGCGACACCAGCGCGTCGCGTGGCAGATAGCACAGGCACATATTCGACGAGTTTTTGAACACTGGGTAACGGTCGTGACCACGCGAGAATGCATTTCCCCATTGAATTGTTGAGCTTCGCGAGCTCTTATCTCTGTTTGCGCTGTCCCGCGACAGCCAATGAAATCAGAATGTGAGTGCTCAGGTGCTCTAAATTAATCGATCGTGGTGGCACTTTTCCCGCGAGGCCCTATGAGCAATACTTCAGCACTCTTTCTTATCTATTGTTGACTCGGGTGTTGATGGTATGAATTTAATCTGAAAAAATGTACACACTCAAACAGCGAAGCCACATTGACCACAAGAAAGCACCATTTCTCACGCTGTGTCAACACTGACTGAGAAAATCAATTCACAGTTCAATTCTACTCTCGGCAGGTTGGTGTGAAGCTCCAAAATGCTCGATGACGAGGAGCAGCCACAGTCGCTGGCTGATATCAAGCGGAGTCTCTTTCAGCGGGGATTGACGGATCACCAGGTAAAAATAGAGAATTCTTTGTTACAACGCACGATTTCTTATCGACACCTGCAAACAACGCCCCTCTTTCTCAGCTCCTCAGCCGAGCAGTGTTACAGAAGAAGCCCTCAGAGGTGGAAAACAAGCGCCGCAGTCGCAGTTTTGGTGACATTGTAGACATCGCACACGAACAGCCCAAGGAGATCAAGCGCAACGCCAGCTTTCGCTTCCAGAAGCCGGTGAGTCTGCATCAGCAGAAGCGGGACTTGCTGGTGGAGATCAAGGCGCGTCTGGAGCAGAGAACACAGCAAGAGGAGCACGAGGAGAAGCTTGAGAATCAGGAAAAGATAGAGGATGGAAAAGAGGCCACGAATGTGACATCACCGACATCACCGGAGATAAGAAAACGCTATTCGCCAGTGTATACGAGAACACGCAGCATTTGCCGAACATCCGACACGTCGTCCACATACTCGAGCAGCTGGCGAAACAGCGTGAAGGAGATGCAAGTGCCTCAGAGCACACCCGAGCAAGCCCCAGCCGGAGAAACCGCAGTCGTGAAGCGTGAATCCAATCCCGCCCGGAAGTCCGTAAAGAGTCTCTATTCGCCCAGTGAATTTCCGCACTTGGCGGGCTTTCAATTCGATGTGATTAAGCGGAACTCGTCGGTGCCGAAGCTCTCGCCACCGCAGCGCAACACTTATTCCGCCCATCCGAGTCTGTACTTCATCGAGATCGATGACGGCAGTGATACGTCGGATATGGAGAAGTCCACTTCGAATGCCAAGATTAAGCGCCATCAGAGCCTCAGGCAGACCATCAAGAAGAAGCTGCAGAAGACCTTCAGTCAGCATACAGTGCCAGCGACGCTGGAAAATGTCCCGAAGGCGCCGGGAACGAAGATTCCCAAGTTCGTGGTGTCGTGCATTGGGACGCTGACGAAGCAGGATCTGCTGAAGACAGAGGGAATCTACAGATCATCGCCATCCCAAATGGACATCAGAAGAGTCACAAAAGAGGTGAGTTTGTGACAAGAACAAAAACTATTCCTAACAATCAATTTAAATTTAAATTTGTATTGATATTATATCAATCATATAAAAGCTTGATTGAAGTTCATTTAATATATTCTGAAGCTTAAACTTTGATCTTTTTGCTTTTCTTTCAGACCCAAAAGGGCAATTTTGACATTCTGGAGAAACTGAGTGAACCTGCTTTGCTCGCTGGTCTTCTCAAGAACTTCTTCTTCACCCTGAAAGAGCATTTAATCAGCGAGGAGACTTTTGAGCGTCACTTTCCCATCGACAAGAACGAGTCTCTGATTGAGGAAGATTTCCTGGACCGCCTCAAGATTCTAATTTTGGACCTGGACGACATCGCCTTCGACACGCTGTCCTACTTAATGAAGCACTTGAGAGAGTGAGTGTTTAATTAGAGCAGTCTTCTGAAATAGATCAATTGATGGTTGTAATTAATTGCAGAGTGGCGGATTTGAGCGACCGCAACTTGATGAAGTCATCGAATCTGGGTCTGGTGTTCGCGCCGTGCTTGTTCACCAACTGCGAGAAGAAGTCCAGCACAATCGATCTGCTGAATTGCATGGGATTGCAGGCCAAAGTCACTGAATTGATGATTGACAATTTCGAGGAGTTGTTTGGTGCCGAAGCGCCCCGGTTTGCCGAGGCTCAGTCAATTGTTGTGAGTCCGCAGAAGAGGACTCCAAATGCCGCCGGGAAGAAGGTGAAGAGAGAGCGCAGCAAGACAGTCTGTGTGCTGAGTTGAGTTGGGTTGGGAAAACGATGTAAGAATTAACTTGTACATAGCACTATGTTTCAATTACATTAGCGATGTGTGGATGGTTTTATCACCACATACACACAGAGACTTTCCTGGGCTTTTCATTCTGTATCTTACCCACGCTGCTGATAACATTTATCACTAATGTTGCGAATGAGTAAGAGCCACAAGTGTTCCTCAGTCACAATTGCGATACACTCTGAAGACATTTCTGCTGTGATTCTCCGCCCAGAAGTGATTCGGGATTTGTTTTCCAATTAATCGGTTGATTTAAAGTCTTCACATGAGCGACAAGAAGCCCAAAGGTCTGCATCAAGTGTTTGAGCGCGGAAGGTGAGTCTGTCCCAGAGAGAATCTGATTGACTGGTGAAGGGAGTGAATATCATCATTTGAAGCCTGATAAGCTAAAGTGTGTTTCTCGCTTGAATTTTTCCAAGGGCAGATCTTCAAAGGCGTCCTTCCGCGCAAATGAGCGATACAGTAAAATAAGCGACATTGCCACTGATCGTTCCTCGAAATCCTCCAACGTTTCCAACTTGAGTTACAAAAAGTACATTCAGAGTCTTGAGCAGGAATGTAAGGCACTGAGAACGGACAATTCAGAGCTGCAAAGGGCTCTTGCAGAGGATAAAGCTCAGAAACAAAAACTGGCGGAAGAATGTGCAGTCCTGAAAAAGGGGAACATGGAGAAGGATCAGCAGATCCAGGAGCTTCAGGAGAAGCTGGAGGAACTACAAACCATGAAAACCAGTAAACACTCGCGATTCTTCAGCTTGAGGCATAACTTCAACAGCATTTTCCAGCGCAGGAAGACTAAAGACGAACTTGTGCACAAAAAAATCCTCCAAAGTATCCCAGAAGATGAAGAGACAAGACTCCAAAGCATTTCTAATCCTTGTGCTGTCTCTTCAACAGATGAACCAAATTTCAGGACCACTCTGGACAAGATGGAGAAGGACCAGGATCACAAAACCATTCCTCGAGTCCTCGTTGAGTCTGTAAAGATTCTAGAAGCGAAGTTCATGCACACCATTGGCTTGTACAGAGTATCCGGTAATTACGCTGTGGTGCAAGATTTGCGATTTCATGTGAGTAATTAGGCTTCCTAGAAATCATTCGATAAAACTCACATCAAAAAAGCACTTTAACACAGATTAACAGCAATAACTACGACGCTCTGCGCAACCAGAAAGATCCACACGCCATCACAGGTATCATAAAGCTACTGTTCAGGGAATTGGAAGAGCCTTTGATCTCCATGAAGCACCTCGACATGTACATCAATGACAAGAACTTCCTGGAGCTCGACCGAGAGACACAGAAGTGGCAGATCACGAACATGGTGGACACGCTCCATCCCGTGGCCAGAGACACGCTCTGCTTCCTGATGCGACATCTGAACCGGTGAGTTGCTGCCCTTCGCACAAAAGTACACCTTCTTAACTTCCTCTCGCAACAGCGTGATCAGCAATCCCGGGAACCAGAACAACGCCCACACACTGTCCGTGGTCGTGGGAGCGTGCATCTTCTACGAGCTGCTCTCGGACGTGGACTTCCACATGAACCTGGCCAAGTGCACAGTCTCCAATAAGTGCATCGAGATCATGATTGAGGACATTTCAGACATTTTCGATGCTGTATAGAAAGGCCAATAAATAAAATCGCATGGAAATTTTTTCGCACGTGTTTTCTAATTGCCTCAGCTTCTTTTCCTTAGTCACTGAAATTTTGTAATCACTCTCAGTGCAGAAGCTGCTTCAAATTCTATTAACGTCACTCACATGTAAATGTTGTGCATTTATTCAGAGTTTTTTTTACCTGGAAAGTTGCAGGAATGTACATGAAATTGTTAAGATCAACTCACTAGAGACTTATGTATCTGAAGAGGTTTTTTCTATCTATTTGTATTAAAGGTTATTTTATTAACTATCTCTAGATTTACAAATGTACATACTTCTTTTTAATACTTTTATACCCAACGATGAAAGCATACAATCTTACCACCTCTTGCTAAAATATAGCAAGTGGTTACTAAAAATTTAGAAATACCTCTTGCTAAAATCTAGCAAATTTTTATTAAAAATCTAACCGCTATTTGCTAAAATGTATTATAGAAAATATATTAATTACATTCCGCTTTGATCTCATATAGATCATCCTATAAATCTTTCAATTTCAACATTATTGTTTTTTAATTCCTATTTCACACCATGTTCTGATGAGATGAATTGCAATTGCATATTGATGTTTTTAATAGCGGTGCGTGTGGCACATATTTCAACTCCATAAAAAAGCGTCTGCAATTTGATCCATTTCCCTATTTACAAATTATCATCTGTGACACATTGAGATGCTTTTCAAATGTTGAACAATTCCGACCTTATTTGCTTATCACGAAATTAGAACGAATAATACGAACGAGAGGAGTGACAATTGGATCAAGATGAAGCTCAAACATTCCAATAATCACTGCATTCGTACTTAATCGACATAGAAGCGATGAGAGATCGAACAATTTTGCGAAAACGTGAGTAAAATTCTATATTTACTCCATTTACACTGAGTCTATTTGAATGTGAAGTCCGTGTGTTTGCGTTAAAAATTACACCAAAATACACTGCGAAGCGGAGTCAAAGACCTTAGTGCAGAATTAATTCATTTAGCAATTGTTTCACCTATTTAGTGTCCCAAATGAGAGAGACATGAGAGAATTATTTGAGTAATAAGCATAGTGCTAAGGTCGTCAGGTAGCGCAGTCTTAAGTGTAATATACACACACACAGTGCTTTTTTCATATTTCATGATGCAAAATCAAGGATTTCCAGCGCGTGTTTGTGAACTGTTTCGGACTTTACATCAAAACCGGGTGATCAGTCGCCAATGATTGTCTGTCAGCGCATTTGTGAGTCGCGTGTGCTTTTCCACTCACTTTTCGCCCTGTGTTGGCGTCGCCGAATCTAAGTCTGAGCGCACAGCCAGACAGAAATCACAATCAAAACTCGCTAGACCGTCTGATCGTGTGGATCATCGCCAGATCGGTTCTGAATGAAACAGCAAGTGCTGTAAAATCGCCAAACAATCTCACTTTTTTCAGTGATAGTGAAAGTGCTTCACATTTTGATGCGAAGATGAGTGTGGAATTAGTGCTGATATCAGTGATATTCGCAGTGATTGCGGGCTTTCTGTGGCACGAGAAGTTCTCAAGGAGAGCGACTTTGGCAGCAAAATTCCGAGGGCCATCGCCGTATCCACTCATTGGCAATGGGCACTTATTTCTGGGTTCTTCGCCACCGGAAATCCTCCAAACCATCGGGAAGTTGGTGAAGGAATACGGAAAAGTCGTTCGCATATTTTTGGGCGTCGATTTTCTCCTGTTCATCACTGATCCCAAAGTTGTTGAAGTGAGTGTAAAAACGTGCAAATTTTCCATGTCGCCATGTGAAAAGGTGGCTCTCCAATTAGTATTCCGGAGTGTGACTTTGTCGGAGATTCTTTCAGCCACCTGCATTTTTTGCACGCATGATCGACGATCGGCAAAAAAAAACTTTAGCAAAACAAACAATAAATCTCTTGGTATTTTCCGGTTCTCAAAGGCAAGCAAGAATTCTAGTTTTTTTCGGCTTGAGAACCTCACAATCACTTTATAATGATGGCCACATGTGCTTTCGATTGCGAACGGCGCCGGATAATTTTTTCATGGTATTTCTTAGCGCCCAAGTGAATATTGAAGATTTGATAAGAAAATGCCAAGTTGTAAATATTGTCAGCTGTTGAAAACTGATCTCGTATGCTGAACTTTACCAACTTTACACAAAAACTTGACAAAATGACCATTATCAAGTCAAAAACTTATGCAATCTACAACACGAAAGCGACGAAAGCAAATCAGCGAGTATTGAGAAAGACCCGTGCAAGCGTGTGCCAATGACATTGATTTATTTTTCTTATTAAACTTAAGATTTTTCCAAGATCAAACAGCTTAAACTGAATAAATTTTTAATGGCTATAGAAATATGATTACATAGAGTTGAAATATTAATTTCTCACTCATTTCTTTTCAGTCAAAAAGAACTAATATGAAATAAAAATTTGCTGGAGAAAAAAATTAAACAACTATGATTGAAATGTCAAGCGTAGAAAAGATTGAACCAGATTAAACCTTCCAATGTTAAAAGGGGGTAAAATCCATCACAATTTGCCACTTAATTAGACGAATTTTAAGCTAAGGATTCAGAATAACAAATTTTAACTCTTCAGTTTACTTCCTTTCAGTTATAATATTTTTTTAAACAATATGATCTGCTTTTTAGTCATCGTTAATTAATCTTTCTTGCTTTATTTCTCTATACGGAAAAAACATATGATTTTTATAAAACTTTACTTTTATCTCTCAAAATGCAAACAATTTAGGTTAATAATCTTCAATGAAACGGGACCGTGACTTTTTGGAAAACGCGTAAATTTAAGAATTCATTGAACATGCGACTTTCTTCATTTCAGATTCCTGTTGAGGTTTTTACACCATTAATGTATATTTAGACTTTCTTGTCATGCTATCAGAGCGAGTTTACTTCACATACTTAATATATTATTACGAGTTGAGCACGCAAGAATGATAACAATGGTTCAGCACCTTATCATTAAACAGTAATTTCCAAGCATTTCCCTTGTTAATTTGGCATTTGTTTTTTTCCATTCTGAAACTGAAAGATGAAGTTGGAGATCTCTAAAGAAAATCCTCTTTTTTCCGGTTAGGGAATAAAAAGCAAAGTTGCAGATCATTAGAGATAATTTTCATCATTATAAAAAAACGCATTTTCCAAGTAGTACTTAAATGATCTTCTACATTTTTCACTACGTAGTTTCCAATTAGGTCTTCTTGACTGTGCAAAAAGCATCTGCTTGTGAAAGGAGATAATTAAAAAAAATAGGTCTTTGATTGAAATCTGTCAAATATTCATGATAATTACTATGACAATGAGAATCTAACTTATAATGATCGGCTCAAAGATAAATACTGAGTCACGATGTAATTTATATTGTTTTGCAGATTCATACTACATTCGTAGATCTTTTTCATTCAAATTTCAACAAAAACAGAATAGAGTATTTGTAGTAGTCCACAAAATATGCTCTTATCGAATTTGAGATTGTGTGGTTAAATAGATAATCTTACATGCTTCCGAGAATAAAAGCACAAGAGCCAAAAACACTTGTTTCAGTTGATAATTGGAAATTACACAGCAATGGGCGATATTTTGCTCCAAATCGTGCTCTTCGCGATCCCAATATTCATATACTATCTTATAGTTGACTATCAGAAGAAGAAACACGCGATCAAAGGCAATGTAGTCAAAGGACCTCCGATTTATCCGATTATTGGTAGTGGTTATGTCTTTTTCGGGAAGACACCACCAGAAATCGTAACAACTGCTGAGAATCTTGTGAAAACATATGGAAAAGCTGTAAGAATTTGGATCGGAAACACTCTTAATGTTCTGATTACTGATCCCAAAGAAGTTGAGGTGTGATTTTTGTGGTTAACTCAGGATTTTCATTGTAATTCTGGTGCTCAAATATCTCGAATATCTTTCCAGGCGGTGCTGAGCAGTAATACACTGATTTCCAAGTCCAAAGAGTACACATTTCTGCGCAATTGGCTCGGAGATGGACTTCTTCTGAGCACAGGTGAGGCAAAAAGCACGACTAAAGCCGCCAAGGTGACCGCTGAAGCTTAATTGTGCTTTTCAGGCAAAAAGTGGCACAGCCGTAGGAAAATCATCACGCCGACGTTTCACTTCAAGATCCTGGAGCAATTCGTGGAAGTGTTTGACCGCCAAGGAAACATTTTTGTGCAGCAGCTGAAGGCGCTGAAGCCCAATCAGCCCGTCGATATCTATCCTTTGGTCACTCTCTATGCATTGGACGTGATTTGCGGTGAGTATTGAGCGTCTGTCGCTATCTAATCACACACAGACGAATTCCATATCGACGAGGGCAAAAGTCTCGGGGGAAATTAATGTGGGATTGGAATTGTACACCCAGAGAAAAGCCGGAAAAATAACAGTTGTACTTGCAGAATCCGCCATGGGTACAACGGCCAATGCTCAGCTCAACAGCGACTCGGAATACGTTCAGGCGGTGAAAGAGTGAGTCATTCGCGATCTTGACCATGAACTCGTCAACATTCTTCTTCTCCCTCTCTCACAGCATCACACATGTGCTGCACTTGCGTATGTTCGACTTTTTGCTGCGACCGGAGCCCTTCTTCAAGATGTCCAAGAGCGCGACGCAGGAGAAGAAGGCAATTAAAGTCCTGCACGATTTCACGGACCGCGTGATTGTGGCGCGACGGAACGAGCTTCTGCAGCAGAACGGGAAGCACGACGAGAATCGCAATAGTCACGTGGGCGATGAGAGTCTAGGCATCAAGAAGAAAATGGCCTTCCTGGACGTCCTGCTGCAGTCCACTGTGGACGGCAAGCCGCTCACGAACATGGACATTCGCGAGGAAGTGGACACTTTCATGTTTGAGGGTCACGACACCACAACCTCGGGTAAGAGTTGAACTTGCACTTTTGGCGTGTGGCGCAAGCGACAATCTGATATTTGTATTAAGCAATTCGAATGGTCTTTATAATGTTATCAGACGCGCATTAAAATTCACGAGTCGCACTTTTGAAAAAAACCGCTCATGAATTAGTAAAAGGAGAAACTATGTGAATGTCAGGATAACCTAGATCTGCTCAAGAACGTCTAAAGAAAAATTAGGACACAGAATATTCTGAAAATTTGCTTTTCCTATTCACACAATTTGCAGAATGTTTAGCACGTTTTGTTTGAATAACAAATTAATAATAATCAATTGAGTAAAAATGGAAAGGAAAAAAACTCATTTGCATGACGAAGAATAACTTAATTATTAAAAACAGGTTTTGCATCTTTCACATTCATTAAATTACAGCTATAAATGAAAAAAATATTCTTGAATTCATTTTAAATTACAAATAAATACGAGGCAATTTTACGATTGTAGGAGAATTTTGATTCTATTCAGAGTCCTCAGAATCAAGGATAAAGGATTATTCAGCACTTTGATATTTAATTTCTCATCTTCAGGCATTTCATTCCTTCTGTATAACATTGCGTTGTATCCTGAAGTGCAGAAGAAGGTTGTGGATGAACTTCAAGACGTCTTCGGAAATGACACTCGAGTGCCCACAATCAGTGACCTGAATAACTTGCAGTACATGGACTTGGTGATAAAGGTGAGCTATTGTGCAATTCGCAATAAAATGCATCTTCTAATTGCCTTTCGCCAATGAACAGGAAACAATGAGACTCTTCCCATCTGTGCCAATCATTGGGCGCGAGGCGCAAACAGAGGCGAAGCTCAACGATTTGACCATTCCAGCCGGATCGGGAATTGCAATTGGCACGTATTTTATGGGGCGCGACCCTGATTTGTTCCCTGACCCAGAAACCTTCAATCCCGAGCGCTTCAGCGTGGAGCGCAGCGCCGAGACTCTGAATCCCTACAGTTATGTGCCTTTCAGCGCCGGTCCGCGAAATTGTATCGGCCAGAAGTTCGCCATTCTCGAGATGAAAAGCACGGCAGCGAAGATTCTGAGGAACTTCGAGCTCAGTGTGGATGAATCGTACAAAACGCCTGTTCTGATGGCCGAACTTATTCTGAGGCCCGAGAATGGCGTCGTGCTGAAGTTCAATCCGAGGCAATAGAGGAAATCAACCGGGCATTAAACACTGTGATGTTGAGCAATTCGGGCTGTTTAGTATTTCCGTCACTCTACTATAAGTTTTGGGACATTTTGAGGGCCAAAAGCGAGGTGTAAATCTTAATAGTTTAAGACTCAGAAGCTGAAGAGCACAACGTCACGGTGAATATCAGCGTCATACTTATAATTGTATACTTGGGAATAAGATGAATATTTAAGTGTTTTGTACGAATTTCTCATGAAACATGCAATAAAAACACAGTATAATTGTTGTTTCGGAACTTATCAAAGCCTTTATATTTTAGGTATAATTCTTCTTTTATGTATATATATATATACTCTGATTTCTCACGTCGCAATATATAGTTTTCTCATTTTCTTCCTCATCCTCTTCTCTTAAATCCTCAATGAGACTAAACCTATTAACAATAAATTCAACTCTTGTCTCAATTTCTGGTTTTCTTTTATGTATAATAATATAATCTGCAACTACACAACGTTTTTTTTTCGAATACATGCTTATCTTTTATATGTTCAATAAATCTTATCAGAGAAAGGATCAATTTTTATTTAAGGTACTGGGAGATAATCTAAAGTTTCTCTTACGGCCTTTCCTTTAAAGATGTAAATTTTAGAAGATTTTTTTTTACATGACACTTCTTTATCAACTGAATGTCATGAAGAATACATTTGCCTTAATGCCTTATGATGAAAAGTCAGGAGGAAATCAAATTCTCACCCGTCAATATACAATAAAATTTATTTATAACTTTGATAAACTCTGCAATGAGATCGATGTACCATTAAATCCTTTTATTGACGTTACTTTATACACTAGAGTTAGTGATTAAATAAACTCCGCCCCGTCTTGTTACTATAATAGGCTTCTTTTTGCAATATGTATCGGATATTGGTGAATTTTTCATTGTATTTCTCAGCTATTTTACTTGGTTGTCACTTTGTGTTGAATATCATTTTACAGCTATTTTGTGTATGATTTGTTCCTTCATACTTTGGACTCTCTTTTCCGTTTATTTTGTTGTTAGATTGTGTTGTAATAATATGATTCTTCTCATCTCCTAATGTCGTGGAATTCAATATTTTCTGCTTTTACTAGCAATACAATGTATCGTCTCTTTATATAAATTGAAGTTGTTTTCATTAGTGTTGTCTTTTGCGTAAACCTTTCAGTAAATTGTTATGATTTCTCCAGTGTAAATCGCCTTGAATTCACCTGTCGCCTATCTTTTCTTCGTCTTCTCGTGTATATAATACCATAATTACAAAATAAACACAATATATATTGTTACTTTATACACACAGTGAGACATTTAACTAAAAATAATCTCATCCCTTAAACCTAGTTACTTTTATTTACACCCATGAAGGAAAAAATACACTTTGCTCCTAAATATCATCTTCCTATCATTCACTATCATCAGTTTGGAGAGCAAAACTCTCGAGCCACGAAACAATAATTCGTTTCACACATGTTTTTTTTTTATATGAAAATAAAGGTAAATTTACAGCTATTCAGTGGATCCACCTCAATAGGGGTAGGGATACGACTTTTTCCTACAGTACAAACCATCGAATCCTGCGCAAAGTGCGTTAAAAATATTTATTTTGACCACCGGCATGTGAAGAGGAGTCGCATGAAAGAGATATTATTGGATTTTTGACTTAAACTCACTCGCATTCACTTGTATTTTGTCCTATGTAGCAATAAATTATGTTTTCATATATCAAAATGGATGATTCTTAAATATATATAAAAATTCACAACATAGTCATTTTCTCTAATGATGAAAAGAACGAAACGACATAGTTTTAAGGACAAGGGCATGAAAAGTAATCGAATCGAGCACAAACAGAGATATTACAAGTTTTTCGGCTATTCTTCCTCTTTGCAAAAATTCCTACAAATCTACACAAGCAGTGACTTGACATTAAATAAGTACAGACGGTCGATTTCCAAATCACAATCAATTTGAAGGCAGGAAAGTCTTTTAGCTCTCTAAAAGTTAGGGATATTTGTGGCAAACGTTTTGTTCTAGATTGCTTGAATTATATTGTTATAATTATGGTATAAACACGTCTAAAACTTAGTGAGATTGGCAGAAAGCCAAGAAGATTCTTGTTATGGATCTATCATCCACTTCGTGTAGCTAAAATTCGATATCAAATTTTGAAACAACTAATCTCAGAGGAATGAAAATATCAAGAGAAACATGAGCAGTGCTTGTGCAGAGAAATTTTAAAACTTTAAAATAATAATCGTGGAAATTCACTGCTTATCGATATGTACAAAATCTTCGTCTGTCCCTATTTAATTTCCAGTCACTGCAAACATTGCAATATCAATGACTGTGCGCGACCCTGTATTAAAATGAAAAAGCAAGCATATCTAAAATTACTAACTTTTAAGTGCATGAACGTCATATAAACACGCTTATTTCCATCATATTTATATAATAAAATTTTGGTGATTTTACTGCCTTCCCCACACTGCCTCATAAATCATTTTCACATCATATATTTCCCCGCGCACAGTTACTATGAAAATTTGCATTGTTCATAGAACTACAATCCTTGGTTATCAGCAAATTTTGGTTGAGGTCAAAATCATAAGTTTTTTCGCTTCCACTAGTAAAATTTTGCACACATGCTTTAAAGATACGAAAAAATATGAATTCATGAGAAAAACAAACTCTCGTCTCTTTTCTCTCTTGTAAATGGTTTTTAGCAACGCCCAATGCAGTTGTAAAGAGAAAAGAGCTGTGGCTAACAATCGAGCAGAAAGCAATGTTTGTATCGCGCAATAAGGAAATTACAATGAAAAAAAGGGAGAAAAACTTTGAAAACTGTGCCAATCATCAGAAACACTGATACTTTGCAACATAAATTCACAATTTCTACCATGTTTTATGATGTCTCTTTATTAAATTTATGTTTTTATTTTGTTTAATTGTAACTAAACAAACAACTAAGAACAAAGTATAAATTATTAAATTTTCTGATTAATGAATTTCTCTTGATGAAATTAAACTCCCATCGTGATCTAACTAATAAGAAGCTTGTAAATTTGGGATGAAGACTTAATCCAGAGTCTTGAGACGTGTGAATTAAAACGAAAAAGAAATGAACGGAGCCACGACTAATATGGAAATGTTCTATTATTCATATTCATTCGCATTCTTTGTCTACCTCTGTGCATCACGGAGTTATACGTTGGCAAGTAGAGAGCTCCCTTCGCCTTGCCGTGCTCCTCAGCCACTCGCACCGTCAGGGGTTGATTGCCACCTTGTGGAATCACATTGTTTAGGGCAGATATTGCTTCTTGGGCCTCCTCTCGCTTATTAAATCTGCACGCACGACGCGCCGAATGGAATTGAAATTGATACAGCGTCACTTCAAATATTCAACACAGAATTATCCTACGGAAGAAGGTGTCAAATGGAGTGAGAGACAAGGAAAGGATTCAGCCCTGGGCGGCGAATGAGGCTGCATAGGGGAGAGCGGGGATGATTTGAGCAGTCTAAACAGACTTCAACACTCGTCGCAGAACCGATTGTGTGTATTGTTGACCGTTTTTTTGTTGATTTGTGTAAATGATAAAAATATGAAGTCGAGACATTTCAGGCTTCAAATTTTCTTATAAGTAATAGATTCAAATTGTAATATGTGGTCATATTTCCCCATCTTCCCATACCTCAATTTTGCGCTTCGTTTGTACAATTTCCATGTAATGCATACTGTTTATGAATTCAGCAGCTCTATTCCCGCCGCACCTCCTAAATTTACTATTGCTATGCGAATAAATAGCGACAAAGAGTTGAAAAGTTCGTGTGGATGCATAATATTTTTACTTGTGGGTACAATTCGCCGCTGGAAAAATCAATAAAGCGCGCCTGCATTAAAATATAGCCTCACTGGAAAATTAATTTATTACCGCATTTCCCCTCCCCGAAAATCCTCATCCTTGATCTGTGTTATCATCGCACTCCTATCTCCGATTCGCAAGTCAATCAAATATTAATCACCCCAAGTCACAGAGTGAAATCGATATTTCATCAGGTTATTTATACAAATATGGACCACAAATCCTTGAAATCGCTGTGCACGAATCTTGCCAGCAACTCAATCCAAGAGATGCCAGCGCCAGTGCAATTCCCACGCCAAAAACAATCTCCAAAATGCAATTTTTGCCAGTGGGAAAATCGTATTTCCGGGGGCGCAGAGAATGTCTGTCACCTCGCAAACAAGTGCATAAATACACGAGCTTTCCAAAGGGATATTAATAGATCATTTCATGCATTGTGCGATGCCACATTCCATCCTCCCCTTGAACTCGACGGTCAGGGCGCGCGGGAATCGATTCGCCGGCGGAATCGGTATCAACTTTCCCCTTCAGAGCACCCCAGACACTGAGACTCCTCCGGGGAAAACGCATTGTTGGCGCACAGATAAATAATGGCCTGTGTGGCCGAAAGATTTCACTGGCCGCCCAGAGAGACTCAGCGCTTTGGACCCTTGCCAGCGCACATCTTCTCTCGCCAGCGCCTTCTCGGCCGCCCATTGTCAATATTTACATTGCGTCACAGTGGCAAAAGACTGGGCGAAAATGGGGAAAATCGGAAGGACAAAAAGGAACTTTATGGCATGAATACATCATATTCAGTGTCTGCGAATCTCTGACCCAGAAGGCGCGCGCGAAAGTGGGTGGCGAAGCGAGTGCCAGCCGCAGGAAATGCTCAGTAGGAAGATGAGGGAATTGGAAAAGTTGGGTGTTGTGTGTGTGAAAAGGGGCAGCGCGCAAATGAGGTCAAGGACTCACCGTACAAATGCAACACCACGCGGTTGTCCAGTTATTTTATCCCTAAGTATGTTCTTTTGTACAATGGTTCCGTATTTACCGAAAATTACGTCTAGCATCTCTTCAGTTATGGTGCGTGGAAGATTCGTGACATATAAATTTGTTTCCTTCAGATCATCACCTGACGGTCTGGCGTATGAAACCTGAAATCGAGAAAAAGGCATTATTTTGTGCTCCTGCAAAGCCTGCGCCAGGCAAGGTGTCTCGAAAATTTACAAATTTGCTTTGATGGGATGAAATCTACAAGAATGCCACAATATTTACAAACAAAATTATTCCTTTATCAATCATTCTTATCGAATTCAATTGAATTTACAGCCTTTTCGTGGATTCCTGAATGTAAAGTTTTTAGGTATTTACAAGTGAATATTTATCGAAAAGGATTCGAAATTATGTGCTTCTGGAGCAGTTAAAGTGCACTCAAAAGATATGAAATGTGACAAATATACACAAAATAAGCCATAATTAGCCGAAAAGGTCCAAATACTACGGACAATGCAGATATTTAAGGTAGTAATAAGCTAATATTGATAAATTTCGCATATTTATGAAAGTATAACTCTGCTTTCTGTTTTGTTTGAATCCTTACATCGGATTCAGATTAAATTTGAAAAACACACTCAATAAATGCTCTTTCTCCCTTAAGAAATAACGAGTTACAGGACGAATTTAGGAACAAATCTTCTCATATATTCTCTACACCCTACAGTCGTCTTGTGAGGGTTAACACACACTCGACAAGTTCGAATGTCGACGAAGGGTTAATATGAATCACGCGAATGCTTATAAAATCCCTAATTTTCTGAATATCTCCAGAAACTGCGTTACATCTTTTGGACAGGAAAAGTAGGTCAAGCGCGCAATCCTCGGGACACCTTGGCCGAGCCATCGTGTGGACTTAAAATAGGTTCAAGAACGCACCTTCAATCGCTTGTTTCGCACTGTTAAACCATTGAGGCATTTGATTGCCCTGGAAGCCGCCTCTTCCGTGCCGTAATTGATAAATCCGAAGCCGTAGCTATATCCAGTCTAAAAATACGGGAGCAAATTGGATTACGGACGCTGGCTGGGCGGGGGCGCGCTCACCTTCATGTCTCGCATAATTTTGCAGCTCTCAATGGGGCCCATCGTGGAGAACAGTGAGTACAACTCTCGCTCGGACATGTCCTGAGGTAAGTAATTGATAATGAGATTCGTGCCGCCGACGCCCGTCAGCGAGCTGGTGCTGGACGAGGACGCGTGTCCGGCGGCGCCAAAGGTGCTGCTGGCCGGGAAGTTCATCCCGCCGCGTCGTGTGTTGTACATGAGCGAGAAATCCGTGTCCTGATAAGCGTAATGTGACTAAAAACAGTTACGAGAATCTCTCTCAACTCGAAAGCGGAACAAAGCTGCGACTCTTGGATTTGTGGGTGGCGTGCGGAGTGGCGCAAAGGCAGGAGGCTCTGCTCCCGCCGGGGGCGCTGCCGTGGCTCCACTGGCGGGGCGGAGCGTCCTCCTTTGGCCAGTCCGAGCGGGGGAAGTGTGTGTGTTGTGCGCGGAGGCGTCAATCTACAGCCCATACATACCATGCCCGAGGGCAGCGAGTGAGACATTCCCCACATGCGTCCGGAGCTGCAAAGAGACACACGGATGAGTGCGGGAGTGCGGAGCGCCCCTCGCGCGATGGGGTTATGTTTGATAAACAATTCAGGCAATCGTGGGCCAGCCAAAAATCGATTGACGCTAATTTACTCACCTCGACCTAAATGGGGCATAACCATTCATTTTGTTATACATTTCTCATAGATGCACACACGTATTCCAATGGCCAAATCCTTTCCGTCACACACACTCTTCACTCTTTGGGGACTCGCAGTTTATCCGAGCACTGATTTCCTCCTTATCCTCTTGTCACATCCCACTCCGCATTGCGTTCAGTGAACCTGGGAGAGTCCGCGGACGCCACTTTGGGGAGCTATTGCACACAGAACCCACGAGAACTACGCGAGAGTGGCAGGAAAAGAACGCGCAATTCACAAGGAGATGGCAACGTCGAAAGCATTTCTGTCGACAGCACGCTCGGCCCACTGACGAACTTTTCCGAGCAGGATCTGAGGACTTCCTCCTCTGTCAGGCTCAGGAAACACGACGACGGATTGCAAGGAAGCCACACCAGCGAATTAGACTTTTACACTCTGTGTTTTGCTTACATTCTTTGCAAGTTGCTCGAGATTTGTCGGCAAATTTGCGGAAAACACACGGACGGAAAGTCTCAGTTCAGCGGAGAAATCTGATAGAATTCCTTGAAGGGAAGCTTTTTCTTTCATTGTTCTGCAGATGGCGCTGACGACTGAAAAGTAAGGCCCAACAAACTTCTCTGGTTAGGATTCTCAAGTAAGTCTGTGGCTTGAAACTAAGACCTTACAGTTTTAAAGTAAACAAATTATTTTTAAATATAAATTAAATCTGCAGTAAACGAAATGGTCAGTTCGACATTCTAAAAACACTCAAAACTTTCACTTAGAAAACCAAATAGTTCCGAAATCTATTATCAAATTTGGGTCAAATTATTGCCCACACAAAGTATTTCTCATTGAATTACAATATCAATGAACTTTGCGAATACACATCGCTGAGGAAAGAAACACTTCAACAGCAGCATGTTTATTTGGATCTACAGAATTATTTCACAGAAATTCATTTAATCCCACGGATAAGGCTTTCCAGGAGTTGGCAATTTCTTAGCTTCGCCAGCACTGAAATAAAATAAAGCTGGTTAAAACAGGATCAAGTGAAAGGAATACTCAAATAAAACCTTTTTCCTTCACCGAGAAGAGCTTGATTTACATCGGTCGGAGGTTGAACTTCTCTCCGTGCGTCACGATTAACGTAGTAATTGGCCGAGAGCCTTAAAAACCAAACATTTTGTTAGCTAAAGCACTTCACTGGGGTTTGTAGGGATTTACTTGTGAGCAGGACCACCAGGAACATCCGGAGGAGGCTGAGTTCTGGCCGCGATTCCGTCCTCAAAGCGCAGCGCAATCGTGTGTTCTCGCTGCAAATGTGGAAATTATGTAACAAGAATTCGAAGATTCTTCATATTTCCGGATATTTACACCTAGCAGGAATGCTCTCACTCGCTGCAGTAATGGGGAAACATCTCGTCTCGCGGCATTTGCCATTTTAGAGGCGTTAAAGGAAGAAAAATACCAAAAAATCTGCCTCTGAAAATTTTCACACACGCAAAATCACGAAATCAAAACAAGTTAGCTGTCAAGCAGAGTTTTGCTAATCAGCACCAGATGGCGACGATGAGAAGCCCAAAAGATTTGAATTTGGCGACGGTGTGAATTTTTTGGGAACAGTTGAAATAAAAAAAAACACCAAGAATTCTCATTTATGTCTTTATTACACATAAATGCGAAACTCAACATAACTGGAGAAATATAAATCGAAGGAGTATATAGCTTTAAAGGATACTATAATATTGGTATAATGTTCTCCTGTTCGGCCCAACAAATTGCACTATGGTCACGATAAACTGGATTATATGGCGTCAAAAGTCTGGTTTTCAAATTAATCCTATCGATGAAATCTAAATATTACCATTTGTCGATAAATACAATAATCCTTAATATTTAAAGAGACAGTTTGCATCATTAATAGCGTGTAAATACAATAATGATGAGTACATAGATTTTGGCCTTAATTCCTATCCACTATCTGGCTTCCTCAGCATGTCTAGATAGAAAACTATATATGTTCTCATCCTTCTGCTACATCTAACGTGGTTACCGTCTTACATGTTCTACAGATTCTTTAGGGAAAAATATATAGTGTTAGTTATTCTTTAAATTCCTGATCATCAAGGCCGTGTAAATTTGCCATGGTTTCTCCTCATTTTATTCACTCCACGCTTTATCGAAAAATGAATGACAGTCATTGATTCTGTTTTTTACGCCTCTACGTTGAAAGTACAAAAAACGTCCTAGAGGTAAAATACTAGTTACAAAGTTTAGCAAAAAAAAGAGAAAGGAAAATATCGATTGAACTTGTAGAAAGTAAAAATATTTCTCACTCAGCACCAATTTGTAAATCTCTCGCCGTATCCTTTTTTCTCCATTTCATAGTCTCTACAAAAAGTTACAACCCTCTTTAGTCAGTCCAATTAACAATATAAAGTTGCTAATCCTTCTCTTCCCTAAAAACACGCACTTTTGATCCTCGTTCTCTTTGCTCGCTTCGCTCAGGAAAGAAAGGTGAAAATGCTGGATATTTTTCTTTAGAATTTGCATGGTTCAACGACTCAATTTGCATTAATTTCTCTTCATCATCAATTCAATTTGTAATAATAATAAAAATGTCTCAGCTGAAAATCACTTAAAGTGAATTGCGGTGATATAATGAAATTCCTCCATCATTGAATGATCAAGTGAACTTCTTATGCCAGAGAAATGCCAAAAATTAACCACTTCTCTCTCTTCTGCTCAATTAACGTGGACTTCTTTTTCAGCTCTTAATGACCTGCGCCCCCGGGCGGCACTCATGAGCGCCCACTTGCCGCCAAGAAGCCCAAAACATACGATCAAGATGTCAAGATCGCTATCTTTACAGCGCGGGCTCCTCAATTGTCTGCCCGAGACATTCTGTGTCCAAGTCTGGGTCAATAGAGATCCGTCGCCTGGCGCACAGGAGCCGGAATGCGACTCATGCCGCGATCACGCCGCGGCGTCGGTGACGCGACGCCCGAGGCGCTCTCTGAAGACGAAATCGTGGATCCTGCAGACTTCTTCGATGCAGCCTTCGCCGGACCACAGCCCGCGCGATCCAGCGCTCCGTTGCTGTTCACCCACGCCGTGGTGAGATCCAAGCTCTCATACTCGTCCGTGACACTGTTCTCCCTCTCGTACTTTGACAGCAGCTTGCGCATCTTCTCCAGAATCTGCGAGTCGCTCTTGGCGCTGCCCGCTGCTTGCAAGATTTGCTGCGCAAGCGGCGATGTCGTGCTATTCTTCACCGGCGACGTTGTCAGCGAAGTGGACTTCATCCTGCGTCCGTTCTTATCGTACTGCCCTGACACCCGGCTTCCCGCTGAGTTCCTGTGGAAAGGACTCGTGCTGCTCGCCGATCTAGATGGCGGCGTGAAAGTCTCGGTGGTGAGAGAGGATCTCTTCTTCGTCTCGCGTCCGCTCCACGTGTTCTTTTCCACCGAATTCTCCTTCACCGGTGTCGTCTTCCTTACGCTGCGATACACTGGAGTCTTCCTCGTCACCAACGGCAATCCTGTCACGATTTCCGGACTCGCTTCTGCACTCTTCCTCCTCGTGGCCATCGGCGAGCGCGGAATCCTGCTCACAGGCTTCTTCTGACCGTCATCGTAGAGATTGTCCGAGAAACCCGTCTTCCTCAATCCCGTGGCACTGGCAATGTCCACAGTGATTTCATCTTCGGTGATGAAAATACCCGACTTCTCGAAACTGTTCCGCCCATCGGGAGTTGTCACTGGCGTTCTAGCGTCCAATTCATCCGGAGCTGCTGCCGCGGAGTCACTGCTTTCCGCCGTCTTTGTGCTGGGCTCTTCACTCGGGGACACCTGAGAGTCATTGGATGCTTGGTCGAAACGCGCTGAAGAGAAAAAAAAGACCATGAATTAAACTTGAAATTAGATGAATGCACGAGGACTCACCACTGAGCTCTGCGTCTTCATTCGACACCTGACTGTGCAGGGATGTCCTCTTGGACACACCACCATTGGTCCCCTGAATGAGCCCCAAACTGCGATAGCCCTCGTCGCTGATCTCGCTGCCGTTGTCGCTGATATTCTCGAACTTCACCGACGAATCCGTGCCGCTGTTGCCGCCATTGCTCTCCACTGATCCACTTTTGGTATCGTCTTTCTGATCGTCCAGCTCCACGATCGGGGATGCTGTTCCCACTGGCGACTGGCACGAATCCAGTGAGTTCTGCTTTCGCCGCATGTCAGTGAGGCGGCGCACCCCCGGTGACATTGATCGCCTGGTCTCTGGCGACACCACAGACTTCTCAGGTGACTGAAGAGAAAGAGAAAATCCCACCCGAAATTAATCACATGTATTGAGTTCTCGCTCAATTAGAAGACAATGATCTCTTCGGAAGATTACTCGTCACTATTTATGGACATTGAGTGGACTGAGGATTATCGCGGTGTCTCTGTGAACGCTAAATTGCCATTGGAAGATGATCTTGCCTAATTTCTTTCCAATTGTGAGCTTAACTGTTTGCCGCGCTTTTCACCGCGTGAGAGTGTGATCATTGTGTGTTTTGCAATTTCGCTGGTGACTAAAGTACACAAGCTCAAGAGGCAGGCATTTACCTGTGAATTCTCCACCATGCTCTTCTTCTGCGGTGTCGGACTGCGGCTGCGATTGTGACTCCCTCCGGGCGGCGATAATGTGCTAATGAATCCATTTGACGCCGTGTGCTGCTGTCCAGGACCCGCGTTGGCCTGCTTGCGCGCAACTGGCGGCGATCTGGAAACAATCACCAGAGATTACAGCAAACGCTAATTGAGCACCAATTTCATGCGCGCTGCGAGCAGGGCCGAGGAAATGCCCTGGGCCACGTCGATCGCTATCCAGCGCTGGCCCCGCAATAATAATATTAATTAGCCTCATATTTGATTGGGAGTGAGAAAATGCGCGAGAAAATTGCGACACTCTCTCCCCCAAACCATATTTGATTGCCCATCGATAGATTGGAAAATTGCTCAGCGCTCCTTGAGCATTTGCACTTGGAATTAGCGCGAAAATGACTTTCGCGCCTCTTTTTTGCAATGCGCTTCGCTAATGCTCTCCCGGAGCTAGATCAATTCATTGAATTTTTCCTCACTTTTATTGCCAAAGCACGTATAAAGATTTTCCAACTCTTCACTGCCATCAAGCAATCACCGTTTACACTGGTGATTTTAATGATTTGCTAAGTGTTTTCTCACCTCTCGTAGAAGACTTGTGCACGATGCAGCTCAATTCCGTTGGTCGCCGCGTTGGTTCTCGTGATGAGGCGTGCGGCCACGGATGATCGATGTTGAGCGCGGCACCGGCAGGGATCGTGCTTGTCGAGGTAGTGAGAAAGGGTGTCCCAGCCGCCACCCACGCGCACCATCACGTGAGACCGCAGAATCTGCAAGGAAAGGTCAAAAGTCAGGCGTTTGACCCAATTTTTTCTCCCATTTCCTCCACGACTCGGTGACATGAAAGGGTTCACGCGAGGCGCCAGTCCACTCGACGCCACGGTGCTCGGAAAATGCGGTTGCGGTTTCATCCACAAACATTCTCTTTCTCTCTTCTCCTCCTTTCGCGTCATCCCAAATGCACCACCACAGATTTTATTTATTAACAATGCACACGCGGCAGAGTTGCAAATCATAAAGATTTTAGATTATGTTTTGAGAATCAGAATAAATACTGTGAACTTCACTGATATGAAAATTGATTTTTTCATAATATTTTTCAACTTAGATCCCCAAAAATTAAAGCAAAGTCCATGTTTATTATCATCAATAAATTCTTATCTTTATCTACTAATGCTTTTCCTCTCAACTCTCATCCAGTATATATCATATTCAGTACAAACAACATGATGAAGAGTTGCATCTCTCATAGCAATTGTACCACAACTTTGCGAGAATTTTCACACTTACTCGCGAGACAGGACAATTCATAATGCCCAGAAATATGATTCATCATGTCTAGAATGTGGAGTGGCGAAGAGGAAGTCGCTTGAGCCCTACTTTTGGTATCAAAGCAAAATATATCTCGCATACTCACCCGAACGAATATGAGCACTTTGGTGTCACCGATGCGATATTTGCCCTCTGACACGCGCACCATTGGAAACTGCGATGGACATGTGCATTTCTCCACGAGATCGCGAACCTGAAATGAGAAGGGGTGATTTTTCATTACAAGTGCATCTGATATTGAGCGATTGCATTCATCATGATAGGCACGCGGGTCATCAATCTCTCGAGAACCGGATTGCGGGGAATACGCAATGGATGACTTCCTACGACAATTTGCCTGCGTGGATTGCGAGAACAACTGGAGCAAATGCCCCAGAAGAAGCCGTTCACATCGCAGACCGAAATGTGTGAAGATCAATCGATCGTGGAGCAGAAAAGGAACTTCACACTCTTCGCCAGGATGAGTCAGCTCTTCAATGCCGCAGTTACGCGCGTGTTTCGCCAGAGATCAAGTGGGTGTTCTCGCGGACCAGTTCTTCGATCTCTTCCACTCGAAATGTTCCCACATGATCAAGCACGAGAGTGGACACAGAGAGACATGAATTTGCCAATATATGACAATTGTGGAGTTTCGCGCTTCTCCTTTTCCGTCCGTTCGCAATGGCGAAGACTGCGAAAGTTTCATCATTGTCTGCTGAACCAAGGCTGGGTCGCAAATCCAGTGGATTGTGGGAGGCGATCATGCGTGAAAAGTCACGTGAAAAAAAGAGCCATCTCTGGGACATGGAATCACTTTCTCCCGCAGTGACCACAGGAACATGGAAAAGGTACTGATTGGGAATTTGAGTCGTGATCCATTCACATTAAATGCGATTACCATATTTAATATTGAATTGAGAGGCGATATGCAGAGGAGAAGCTGGTGCAGTATCGCAGGTAAAAATCAGCCATAGAGAAGCGTGATGTGGAATAAAAATTGGCGGCAGTGCACAATATTTGCTGCGCACTTTAGCTCACCAAGAGACGATGGATTTTCATAGCATGAAAAATCCACAGAGACGCCACTCGTGATGCACCGAAATCACTTTCCCATTGCCTCAGCGATTGTGGACTTCAGGGGGAGGAGGAGAGATCCCCTTTTATGACAATTTGCCTCCATGTCCAGCCGGCGGCGGCGCATTCTCACGATCATTGCTCGATTTATCGATTTCCGTCTCCCCCGGATGGACTCACATTAAGGACACGATGTGACCATCACGACTCTCCTCGTTTTCAGATATTAATTCACATAATTCCCGGTAAATCGTCGTCTTGTGGCGCAGAGAAGCACCGAAAGTGGCCTCAAGGTGTCTTCCAGTCCACACGAACACACTGTGCAAACAACTGTGCAAGATCTCTGGCGATCTCCACCTTCGTTCTCTCTTATATGGGAGATCACCATTTTCTTTACACATATCCCACCAATTAGACGCTATTCATGTTAAATGAGAATTGGAACAATGACGACTACCGGCGTCATTCGAATTTGTCACGACAATCTCAATAAAATCGCAAGTGAGGCGAAAAGATCGCGCCTGATGCAACCATTTCAATGGAGACCTCTTGTAAATCCCTCGCCAAGTCACGTCTAATGGCAAATCTCCTCAAACTCCGCGCTCCTGAATTAAATAATCCCCAGCAAGAGTGAGATCACACAAGGGCTTTTCATTAGCATTTGAGCGCAGCGAAGGTTTGCTGCTCACTTTCGATTATTGCGCTCACCGGAAGCAACATCACTCTTGACATCAGTGAACTCTTGCAATTCAAATGCGCCTTTTGCATTTCAACCAATGCGTTACATCAAAGCATGGATAAATGTCACTGCATTCATTTTGATAAATCCATGATCTTTGACTGTGTGATCATTGATAAAATGACAAAGAAGATTTCTGCATGCGATTGGCTCAATGTTCCATTTCAGATACACTTTCTTCATTGAACTCACATTCTGTCAATCTTGCTTCTTAGCGTCATTCTAAAACGTCTTGTCAGATATGTATGTGCATCGACTGATCGTTTCTTGAATTCACAGCAAAAATTCTCGTTTTTATTACAATCATAATTAATGCAGAAGATTCCAATTCAGTGCTTTTCACCTCTTGACTTTTGAAGCGCGCCTAAATTGAGATGAAATTCCGAAATCCGTGCCCAAAAATCAATATTCTGGGGGTGGATTTTATCACTGCACACAAAGATCGTAAAACTTTGCGCTTATGGAGTTGCACCTCTCGCGACGCATCCATAATCGATACTGTTGTGTGCCAACGGCAACAACAATGTGAAACAAGTAATTACGAAAGATCAAGAGTGTTTAGGCACTTTTTACTGCAGAAATGTCTGAGGGAATTTAATAAATCGATGATTTACGATCGTGCGTTGTCGTGAAACAATGGGAAGTACTCCAAAAATCCATTAATATTGGAGCTAAACACACTCTCGCGAGTGGGTTGATCATTTGCTGTGATGTTCAACATGCGATCGCGAGAGGACTTTGCGACGATGTCAATACATAAGTGATGATGTGGTGTTTTTGTCCTTCCATTGGCAATGTTATATTGAGCAAGATTGTCTGACTGACTCGATGACTTTTTAATAGAGTCGTTAAGTAGTTGATTAATGTGTCACATTTGATGGTAATTTAATGCAACATAACTGTGCGTACTCATCATGAATATGTGCTTTCTTGCAGTCTTTCTGCAACTTCCAACGAAGACACACATTCGACATATGTTTTATGATGCAAAAGCCAATGCGGGCAATTACTTACAATATATATGTATATATAATGAATATTCCTGGAAGCCATGAAATGTCGCATTTGCTCAATTATTTCCAATAATTTTAATAAGTATACCTCCGCGTGGTATTTTTCCAACTGTGTGCCGTATAAATTTTCATGAATTTCGATAGCGATCAATTTAATATACGATACGTGCTCGCAAACCACTCACCTATTTTTCCTGGCGTGTCGATTTGGTGGTGTTTGGAAACAAAGCCTTAATAAAAAAAGAATGTCTTGCACTCCACATCATTTCCCAATGGCTTTTGCGAAATACGCGTGAAAAAGTAGAAACTTCTCCAGATGATCCTCTGGCAAAACAATTCGCACACATTTGGGAAAGTAGCGCATCGGCTTTCCTTATGAAGCCACCCATCGAAAAGTATGATCCGCGCCATAAATTACCGCAGTCACTCATGAATAGATTTGGTGTCACTCAATCAGTCTCTTTCGCAATATCTTATCTTATGTGTGGCTAAATAAAATTGACATTTGCCTATTGTTTGATGTGATATTGCAAATTGCTGACCTTGTGGGTTGGATGGAGATTTTCCTTCTCCGGACTCTCGTGAGTCAATAAAATTCCAATTTCACCAGAAATGGTCTTGATGGCTTGTCGAAGGAGGGAAAAAGTGGCATGCAAATGACCTCAAAGTGTGTTGCCTGTCGACGCACGACAAACAGCAACAAATGGAGCATTTGATATTGAAATTGCAATTACACATTAGAGCATTATGCTGCCATGATCGCCTTTGCGCAACAATGTTCAACTGAGATGAATACCGCGGTGGTGTTGCTTCAGCTTGTTCGCCATTAATTTGTGCACACGCACAGCTTTTTGGCTAATTGAATGGAATGTCCATCGAAAACATATACACACACCAAGCGATTCAAAACCGTGGCTCTGATCGGAAGGCAAAGTACCAGATCTTGTTAGGTTCTGTGTTTAACATACAATTGATCAATGGTGCAGCATGAGATGCTTGAACTCCTGCAGCCAAACATTCCACTCTGTGTGTACGCGAAGACAGAATACCAGGTGGATGTGCACCGTTGCAAATCATATGATTACATTCAATGGATAGAGATTGGGTGAATGATAAGAGTCGTAAATTTTCTCCGTTTGAGAATTATGCGCGAGCGCGCGCACAACAGCGGACAATTGAATTTCCACAATGCTGCAAGAGCACAGCAAATTTCTCAATTTGACCTATCGCGCCATATTCAATTATCCGCCCCACCGAAAGTCGAGGGTGGCGTGAATGAGGAAGAAGCACCTCATCAATTATTCTCCAGGTTTCACCTATTTGTACACGCTTCGACTGATTTTGATCGGCGCAGCGAGGAAGTTGATTGATTTCGCAAGGTCTTCGCGCATCCCAAGAACTTGCACAACACGGCTGAATTGCTGCACTAAATCGCATAAATTTCATGGAAAAAGAGACGTCGGAAAGTTGTTACATTTATCTGACAAGACATGAGAATGTCGATAAGATATAAACCTGTGAGTATGAAAGTTTGGTAGTAAACGGCTTTTAAGAGCTTCGGACAATTTAAAACCAAATTTCTGTTTGAAAACCAGTTCTTAATGTCTAGGAATTACTAAAACCTAAACAATAAAATCAGAATTTAAGTTATTGAGTAAAAGAATATTAATATATATTCAAAATGATGAAAATAAGATTATGTGTGAATCAAGAACTACTCTGAATGCACGTTTTCACGAAACACTTCGCTCAAAATTGTGCAAAGACCCTCCAAATTTAGACAGACAATTTCTTCACACGCCCTGCATTTCATGGGAAATTAATTTATAATCCCTTTTCAATTAACTCGCGCAGACTGCAATGCTCAATGTTTTTCACCATCTAATCTCCATTGTGACCCAATTTCCCACACATCATGCCACTCTTCCCAGTATTTTGATGTGATTAGAGTGGAATTCATAATGTTGTCAGCATTGCATAACATGTGCACAGCACACATTTAATTATAAATTCAATCAATTTGTTAACATCACATTTTAAATAACCATTTATGATGATAAAATAGCCTCGTTAGCTGCGAGTCACTTTACTTCTAAAATTAATAATATTAATATGATAACCTGCTACTCACATGATCATATTTCTCACATGTTTCTCTGATCATATATTTGCATCTCTTGAATGAGTTGAACACCACACCGTTTATGGGCGTTTGCAATAAATTTATAATCCATACTCTGTGTGTTGTTGCATTTTGTTGCACACCGATTGTTTGTTAACAATTTATGTAAATTTCCTCATTCGATAATTTGCTAAATGAAGAGTCTTGAGCACTGATGCTTGGGGAATGCAAGAAATGCTTTTAATGCGCGATGCCAGAGCATGAATGGACACTTAGAAGAATGAGATGAGAGTCACGTAAATGTCATGTTAATATCACAAAATATTACGCTCAAAATTGCTCAAGTCTTGTGATCACGTGCAAGTGCGCGCTTGTTAGACTCTTTGCGAAGGTACTTTTTAGCAATTTTCTATAGAGTATTACACAGGTCAAGCTTGAAGCTGCAGAGTGTGATCTTTCAGGTGATCTTGTGCATAAGAGATGATTATTTAATCAAGCCTTATCCGTCAATCTAAGCGCAAGATCTCTCGGCGCACAAAATGGTATCACGCCTTGGGAATTGTCTTATTGAAAATGCCATTGTTTGGGTGGAAGAACACCAATTATCCATTGAGGCGCTGAAGAAGGTGCTCCTTCACCATCTGACTGCCCGCTAATTCCGATTAATTTGATTAAAAGGCCCAAGAAGCGCGAGTCTCGGCGTTGATTATGCAATGACACAGCGTTCCCATTCTCATTACAATTATGTACACCATGTACAACATCTATACAGCCAGTTATAATACTCAGCCAATTTCCATCACTTGCCCTCTTGATCATATCCGAAGTCACTCAGCATGATCGCCGCGCAGCGATCTAATGGACAAGTTCGAGACTGAGAATGGTATCGCGCGCGCGGCTTGTGTGAAAAACCTATCGAGACCATTTATACTTGATGGCTTTGGGGAGAAAAATCACCATAAATTTATAATCGACAATGCAGAGTTAATTGAACAATGGCCCATAATCAGTATATCCCACACTAAAGCAGGCACATTTTAAGTGAATTCATCAATGAGATCACTTTTCAATATCAACAACACTCTCAAGCACACACGCTTCCTGATTCACGCTTGCAATTACCAACGTCTGGGTGGGATGACTAGACATATGGAAAAGGTCAAGCAATTAAGGAATGATCATCATTAATCACATGAGAAAATCTATATATACTTCAACATTTTAGGATTGTCATGCATTTTCTCACCGAAAACTTTACGATCGCGCGCACTTTTAGTCATCAACCATTCAAATGGCAGCGACTTCGACAAAACATATAATAAATTGAATTAAAATAAAAACCACAGACAAAGAAATTGGGTGGAGACCACCCAGAATGTTATTTGATACGTCAACACCTCAGCGTGATCGCCTTTTATTGTCGTCTCCATTAAAGTCTCTTCCTGAGTTGTTAGGCATAATTTGATAACTCAAGGTTGAAAGGCAGGTAAATAAATTTCACGGTTAATTATTTCATAAAACACACATTCAATTACACTTCTATTCAATGTGATTATTGAATTTGCCATGCAAGATGTTGGAAGTTCTCTGATGTCGAACCGAGCGGCGTGAGAAAATCATTAATGAACATCTCTCTGAGCGTCACAAAACCGCCATTAAGATATGCGATATCAAAGGGAAAATATAGTCTGAAGATTGAAAATAAGAAGGTTTTGACTGTCCTGAGCGATTGCAAGTGCACAAGCGATCCAAAAGTGTGCGAGATGCGCTCAATCATATGATTATTTTCTTGATCATCTTGTGCCGCATCAGCGGAATTCACAGGTGTGTTGGCGGCTGTGAAATTGCAACTTCGCGGACTGTGATTTACACACTTCGTCGTTACATAACAGTCGAAAACCAAAGTGCGTACGGTGTGAGAAAATCACTTACCATCTCGTCCAGGCTCTTCAAGTCGTTGGTGATAATTTGCGGCTGCGGCCCATACATCAGCATCGGCCCGCTGTTCTCCTCCTCATCCTCAGAGTCCGAGTCGAACATCTCGTTGCCATCCGTGCCAACTGATATCGAATTGACACCATTTTCCGTCTGCGTGCCGCAGCCCACCGAAGACATTCCCATCGCCTTGTTATCGGCGGCAATCTCGCGATCGATCTGTCTCTCCATCTGCACCAACATGGGAGCCAGCATTCCTGCACAAGAACCACAAATTGATGTCTCTATTCCCAATGACTTCTCCACATTATTACAAAACTCACCGAATTTAGCACCACGTCTGGCCACTTCCAGCAAGCACAGAATCACGTGCTTCTCGTTCTTTCGCATTATTAGGTCGTCCGTTTCGAATAGGAGGCACTCAAAGATTTGAAGGCTTTTTCTGCCAATCGAGAGACACACATAGCATTATTATTGTGGTTTTTCATTTTCTTTTGGGTGACAAGAGTTGATGTGCTTTCGTAGTAGAGTCAGAAAAAAGTCCAATGAATTGTTAGTTCGCGCATCTTAAAGAGCTATGAAAAAAGTGTGAATATGTCTAGAAAAAAACAAGTATGAGTAAAATTTCAGGCCGTGCCTCATGGTAAACATTCAATTTCACCATAATATTCTGCGTTTCTTCTATTCAACTGCAATATTTTCAAGGTATTTCAAAGATATGCCATTGTTTATGTTTATGCAAATATAAAGAAGTATACTGATGTTAGGGATTTGCTAAGCAAGGAACTCATATGTAAATAGAACCATTATTGCAATAGTAATAAAATTTGTTAATATAGAAACATAGTAAAAAAAATCTCTCTAGGTTTCTGACGTCACGACTAAATATTCAGACGGGCGTTATTGAATGCTGTTTTGTTTTATCAACTTCTCAATGGGCAAAATTTTCCCAAACATTTCTGTTGATTTGCAAACATAATGTATGCATCCATTACACCTTGTGCTGTCTGTTCATCACCTTGTGTGTGTATTTTCACGTTCAATTGTACACAGAGGTGTGTACGAAAAAAAGCAATAAAGCCAACGAAATACAGGTGACAATCGCCAAAAAACCACCTTGACACTTGGAAGTTAAGTAATTCATGCACATAATGTACCTTCAGTCAGTTGACTATTGAGAAGATAAAAAAAATTGTATTGCCTCTTTCACGGTTGGACTTTTTTCTGCCCTCGCGCGCGCGCGCGCACCTTTATCAGTGTCAGCGCAGGAGAACAATGGCTTGGAGACAAATTTATCACACTCACCGGCACCATGCAATGAAGTTGGACACGTTGTCGCGGGCGAAGAAGGTCCCACTCTTGGCTGCTGGCAGAAAGTGGACATTGCCCATGGCCAGGATCGGTCCGGCCAATCCCGAAGTCATCGATTTCGTCATGGACTTGTTGCGCGCCTGTCGCCTGGCCAGATATTCCTCGGCGGCGCACCGCACATTATTGGCATGCTGCAAAGAGATGATAAATAGCGTTGCCATTTTAGTATCATGTGTGATTAATTATATATTAATTTATTGTAATAAATTCTTGTTCACAGTGCTCCGTGTGTATCAATGCAGGAAAGTAATTAAGTTAAACATTATTTATTGTAAAAGATATTGCCTGTGTAACATGGTTGGTGTATTAGTCCCACGCTTCTCTCTCTCAGGCGCACACCGAAAAAACCCATGTTAAGCTTCATGTTGTCTTGTGAAGAAAAAATACCATGTCTTTACCAGCGACACACGCAAAGTTGAAAATTGCAAAAGATCAGCCGCGTAGCTTGATTTGATTGTAAGTAAATGACCAAGTGCTGTATTGCGAATTAGGCCTATTCTGCAAGCAGTCCTAATTACTGCATCTCCCCGACTTTATTGCTGTCATTCAGAGCAACATATACACACACAGCGAATCGACTAGGAAGTGAGTGGGATCGTTGATATTTCGCCTAATTGAAAACCCGATGGATTACAATGTTTCTCTTTTGGCAAACCACTCAAGAGAGTGCGAGTAATAAAATCAATGCAAAAGCAAGACATATTTCATGGGTGCTTTTTGCCAAATAACTAATTAATGTGATTGTACGCCATTCACTGTGAGTTGGAGGAGTAAAAAAATGTGTTACATAGTGCGTAATGTCTAAACATTATACTCTCACTTTCTGCTTATGCATGCACGAGAGTCTAATGCAAATTTAACGAGGAAACATTGTCCAAACAGTGGAAAACAATACACAAACTCTTTTCTTTCCCTGATCATGGCTCTGAGCACGCGAGAAATTGATCTCTTCTTTTCTTCTCACCCGCGTGAGATCTTCCTTGTTCATCCAACTGTGAAAACATGCCCAGCATTGTGTTGTGGAAACTCCATCTCAGACTATCTTATGATGTGACTGGGAATCAAATACATTTGGTAGGCATTTTCTTATCAACACAACGATCGCGCTCTTCTTACGGCGACAGAGAGAAAACGCCCAAAACCACAGCTTCTTATCACACAAGTTCAGGCCTTTTTTCTGCTCCTCGCGCCGCTAATTTATGGATCTCGATACGAATTTACAACTCTCAAACAAATTAGTGCGGCCAATTTTGGCTAGATCACTTAAGCGAATTTCTGGGGCAATGATCCGTTTTTTCTCCTCATCAATTCGATGTGATCTTTTCACCTGAAATGCTGACAACAAGAGGAGTTCAAGACAAAATGTAAGGCTGTCTTTATTTTTAGCTTTTCGCAGGCATTAAATCTCAGCTCTACACGGGCGTTCAAGCCATAAATGGAGGCCTCAAGTACGTCCACGTTGACAGGTTGCTGGTCATATGAAGACAACAGCGTGCGTTTTATCGAGAATAGCGCACAACACATTATCATACCATTTTGCTAATGCCGCGCGATGCATTCAGCATTTTTGCATACGCCGTACGGTAATTGTATTATTAAAATCGTATTTGAACACTGATTATAAGATCATGTCAGCAACGTGAGAAATGGCAGCTGCATTTCTGCCTGTCTCCTTCCAATGATTTCCATTACACCGACACACGAAAGGGCGAGATCTTGATCGTGAATGCGGGTGGCACCGTGATAGGTTATAAGGTGTCATAAATATTGCAGGACATCTCTCGCGACTGGGAGAAATAGAAAAGGCACAGAGAAGACAATGTAACCCTTGAAACGAGATCATGCGCGATTGTTGCAAACAATGAGGTCATTTTCCTATGGACCATTTTTACTATATGTATTTCTCAACATGCGCCAAGCATTGCGATTTGAGTGTGTGACTCAGAAAAGCCACCCTTCGGCCTCTCTTTTCCCTGGCCGACCTCAGCATTGGCTCGTATTTCTTGCGGAGGAGACGAAACAACAAAGAATTTGTAGCAAGATCGCCGATCATTGATCAGCGCGCGCAACATGATCAGCCCAGGGGACAAATGTATGGAAATGAAATGAAATCGGCCCAACCGCAACTTCCTATTGGTCTCCAAGACTCGCTTGCCACGAAAAAGACATCCTTGAGCAATTCTCATGTGCGCCTATTGAACTCTCAAACGGAAAAAAAAGTTTCGTCATCATCCATTCGCCATCAATCGTAATTCTTGCGTTCTATAGAAAAGCAGCGCGCCATTTGAATAATATCATGTGTCTCTCTCTCAAATGGTAGACGAGAATTTCGACACACTCCTCCACGATAGTGCATTTTAAAAGCAAATTCTGACCAATATTTTGAGCTCACACTCCCATGTTGTATGGCCTCAATCACTGTCGCTCGCGGAGCTTATCTGTCGCCCATGAGCTTTATGCACTCTCCATACATTTTTTCCTCACTTTATTTCTTCCTCACTCAATTAAAAACACCACGATCTGTCGCGATATCATCATCAGCCCAGCTGACAAATGGATCGCGCTGCACAGCCAACAAACCCATAAGCAATGCTCGAGTGACACAATCATTTATTAAAAATCCCATGCATTTATTTATGTATGTCGTATTGGACGATCGGTGATCTTGCAATGCAGCCACCATCAGTCTTGCATGAAAGTTTAATGGGTGATGAAATGGATGTTTGGTCAAAGAGCGCACAAAGGGTTTTTCTAGTCACAGTATCGCTTGTTTTAGCAGTAATTCTGATCATTTTTCAGCTCATAATCTTGTTGATCACATTCCAATTTGCCTCTCAAATCCCATTATCACAAAAACCAAGCACACTCTGCTTATCACTGCCTTCAAACTCTCTTCTTCCTCCGCATGCGCGATCACACGATCGAGGATCATTAATTTTCGACTCTCAAACAATAAATTCCCTCTCAAGATCACCACACAAGTGATCACGACTATGGATTAGTTTTTTCTCCTTTACCACTGAAGAGTGCAACAATCGCTTTAGATATTGACAAGCAAGGTCGACGGTGAATAAATTGCTGAAGAGATATTTTGGCAGAATTGATTTCTCCATTACTTTCCCATGCGATCGCGCACAATGATCACCATGATATCGTGGGGTGTCCCGCGAAATGTGGGCACATACATATCGATTCCAAATGAGATACAACACATTATAAGCGATCGCACGAGTCACAATATTTACAATTATTGCACCTCTCTTTGCCCAACTGCGATCATGAGCGATCGACGGGTGTTTTCAACTGTAGAAAGTGCTAATTGATGGCTAATTGGTGGTGCAATCGCAGTGCCTTTTGCAATGGAAAAAGCATGGTGAGTTTCCACCCACAGTCAATCATTCTTGCTCCACTTTTCACTATCTTTTTCGCGCGATGAATTCCAAAAGTTCAGGAGAGAAGGTGTCATAATTTTTCAGAAAATTGCAGTCTTGTCTGATTAGCATTCGTGAAATGACAGTGAATTGGTGGCAATCTGATCGCCATTCTCAACACTGTCTGGGCAATAAACAGACTCGCGATCGCCACAATACGCAAAATTAAAATTCATTCAGCCCGATCAACTCCACCACAGCCATAAGTTTATGCAAATTGTGGTTTTATGAATGAAAAAGTTCTGCAAGATTTCTGCCCAATCACACGCACACGATCGCGCTCTTTCTGCAAGCTCCAAAATGAACCATATTTTATTCACCATCGAGGATCTCGCCAAGTGGATAAATCGATATGAATGTGAACAGTTATCCCAGAAAATCACCCACGCTAATTGGCAATCTTAAGCAAATTTGGACAGTGGCGGTGTTGTAAAAAAGTCCACTTTAGTCTCTCCCGCTAAATCAAGTCTCGAGATTACACACAATGTGAAGTGAAATACCAAATTTAACGGGCGTTCTAATGGACGAAAAAGAGTCATGTTAATTTTTATGGTACACAACAGTTGAATGTCTTGCTTAATTGATTGATGGATCTATTCTCACTGTGTTCTCACGCGCAATTCTCAGGTTTGTATTCATAATTTGAAAAGCAAATTCCAGCGATGCTGCAAACATTTCTTGCACGCCTCTCAGTGCAACTGAAAAATTCCACCTAATAAACGATCATTTGCCTGATCATTGTCACATTCTTTGATGTCTGTGTGTATTTCTTCCCTGAGAAAACATCACCTGACAAATTGTTCGCGATAAATTCACATCACACTCTGCAATATAATTTTAACAATTCCCAATTACTGATTTATTGCAATGAGTCTGCAAACAATGTACAATTTCACACATTTCAGTGAAACTTCTCAGTCGAACCGCCGAGGAAATTGTATATCCACATAAATATATAAAATTCTACGGACGCGCGATGTGCAACAAATTCATTATATCTCGTCAAAAGTCATAAAATAATACTTTTGTATGTTATTGTAGGCAATAAAACAATTTGAGTGTCGCAAATTCCTTTTCATCTCTTTCAACACCCATTTCACCTCGCGTCTTTTCCACCCAGATTCAATAGCATACCTGTGGCACGATGTACAATTTTGCACGCCAAAAAGGTAACAAATTGCCGTGTGAATAGACTGTGAAAAGTCTTTCTCCATCTCCGCCACGAGGAAATTTGCATTAGGCAAAAAACTCATACAAATTCCCACAGCTCAATGATTTAATGTTGCGATTTTTGCATAAAACCCACCCAAAAGACATCCTCGCAATCACTTTCTCAGCAGCCACACAGAAATTGCGATTGAGTTGAATGAAGGGTCATGAAACTTTTGATTTTGTGCGACTGTCCATGAAGTAACCTCTTTTTTGTCTTCCTCGTCCAAGTGTTTTTTTCCTCAACTATCCAGAGAGCGTTTCACTTTCAGTATATGGCAAGACAATTATCAGTTATTAGTCATCGCCCTTGATTTTATTACCAACTCCACGGAGGCACGATTTGTTCACCGCACAGACTCTTCATGTAGTTCAAATCAGAGATTCATTTTACATGTTCAGCGCCTAATATGGAAATAAGGTAGTGAGAAGGAAAACCATTTCTGACAGACACACGCGAGATAGGAAATCCTCACCATAATCAGACACTA